GGAGGGAGAGAGAGATAGAGAGACAGTGAGACACACAGAGAGAGAGAGAGTGAGGAGGGGAGAGGGGAGAGAGAGGAAGGGAGAAAGAGGGAGATAGAGAGAGACAGTGAGATAGAGAGAGAGATTGGTTTATTTTTATTTTCCTTTCACTGGCTCACTCCTCAAATGCCCACATCTGGGGCTGTGCCAGACCAAAGCCAGAAACATGGAACCACATCTTGGTATCTCCTGTAGGTAGCAGGCCTAAGAAATGAGTTATCTTCTGCAGGCTTCCAGGAGGCTATATTGGAAGCAGAGAAACTGGGCCTGCCATTTTTAATATGGGCTGTACGTGTCCCAGGTGGTTGCCAGCCTGTATCCGTTATGAGAAGTCTTTCTATGCCTTGGTTCTTTAATAAGTTTGCCTTGCACTGGAGAGGATCTTTCTGGCTGAAACCTCTCTGGAGTCCTTTGAGCCTGGAATTTCGTGCCTTTGCCAAGGTTTGGACATTTCCAGCTGTTCCTTGCGTTACTTCTATGCCTTTGCCGACCTTGTTTAATGATGTCCCATAAGTTTGGGAGTCTGTCTTCATTCTCTTTTTGCTTCTGACTTTTATTTCAAATGATCTGTGTTCACGTTTGAAATAATTATTCTGCTGGATCTAGCCTGTTGTCGAGGTGCTCTATTGTAGTTTTTCTTGATTTATTGAGTTCTTTTCTCTAGGTTTTATAATGGACTCTTTTAATGATCTCTCTTGCTTTTTTTGTATTTCATATTCACATCTGGATACTATAATTGTATTGTAGTATCTGTTTATATTTCCTTCTGTTCCATTGCATTTCCTTGGAATTGCTCTTTCAAGTCCCTTTTAGGGATTTCCCAGATTTCTTTCTTTGGGGTCTGTTGCTAGTGCATCACTGTGTCCCTTTGCAGGAGTCCTGCCCCCTTACTTCTCCACACTTCTCTCCCTAGTTGGTGTTTGTGCGTGTGACAGATCTGGGATGTGTACCAACATTACTGGATGGCTACTGTAATAAGAGAGTTTCTCCAAATGATGTGAGTTAGCGCGTTGTTTTGCGAGCTGTGTTGGATTTGGGTCCTGTGGAAGCCTTAGTGTTGATGTATAACAGCTTCTTCAGCTTGATCAGAGGCTCTGGCCAAGGTCACTGTGGCAGTTAGGGCAGAGGGCCTGTCTGTCTCACAGGCTGTGCTGGGGAAGGGACATCCCAGAAGTACAGGGCTTGAGGAACACACAGCAAAGTGATAGAGCTCCACAGTGTGGACTCTCCCCTGGGCTTGGGCACCTGTGTACTTTGCACACATGACAGCAGCACTGGACTTGTCAGACTCCAGCAGTCATGTGACAGAGGGGCTCCTCCCACCCCAAAGAGGGAGGGTGCCCTAGGTGATGTATCAGTGGTAGCAGTCCACTAGTTAGTCTCTGAGGGCAACACTGGGCAAGGGCCACTGCAGTGGCCAAGGAGGTGCCATGCACCTTGTATGGAAGCAGGAGCAGAGAATTTAGGGGGCACAACTTGCAGGTGTCAGTCACTGGGGTCTGTGCAGCAGCACCCCAGTGGCCTGAGTGGAGCTCAGCACGTGCAGAACAGGAGGAGCAGGGCAGGTGCTGAACCCAGGGTGCACCTGTTGTCTCTGGGGTCTGTGCAGGGTGAGGTCTCTCTGACTGTCCAGTGGCCGATCTCTCCATTTCATCTGCAGTGTATTCTAGCGTGCTCCTGTAGGTATTGTGACCCAGAGGTAGTTGTTTCCTCTTTGCTTCTGATCCGTCTCTGTTGGGAAGTGCTCAGGTACCTCTAATCAGCCATCTTGAGTTACAAGGGAGCAAAGAATTTGCAGCCCAATCCAAGATGGAAACATCCAGCAGGGAAAGGGTTGAGACCAGGGTGTTGGTGACTCCTCAGAGCTCAGATGCAACCTGCTAAAGAGTGGTTAAGGGAGAAGTAGCAGGAGGTGAGCTGATACACGTGTCCAAAGTCGTGCTTTCAAAACTGCATGAAACATAGGCCATGAACTCTGTGCTCCCAGCGAGAGCAGACTAATCAACTGTATTTGCTACAGATATGGGCAATGAGGAAATCTCTCCAAGGTAAAGGTAGAACACAGGGCAGTTATAAAGACTAGAATAGATTTTTTTTTCTCACAATGATTAACTTGAGTAGGGCACTGTGCCTACCAATCACATGCTATTGTGATGCATGGCCTGGTGAAAACAATAAAAAAAGATTGGAAAAGCTGATCTAGAAGGCACAATCTGGTGTTCAAATTGCAGGCTGCTGCTCTCTGCTAACATGGTGCTGGGACTGTGGATCACCCTGTGGCGACTGGTGAGGCTGCTGCTCTTGCTCTGTGTGCTGCCCTGGGCTGAGGGTGGCAAGGTGCTGGTGGTGCCCATGGATGGAAGCCCTTGGCTCAGCCTGCGGGAGGTTGTGCGGGAGCTCCACGCCCGAGGCCACCAAGTCCTGGTCCTAGGTCCCGAGGTGACCATGCACATCAAAGGAGAGGACTTTTTCACCCTGCAAACCTACGCCACCCCTTACAGCAAGGAAGAATTTGACCAGCTGATGCAGCACAACTATCAAATGATCTTTAAACCACAACATTCTCTGAAGACACTTTTGGAAACTATGGAAAACTTCAAAAAATTTTCGATGCTGTGCAGTAGGTCTTGCTGGAAGCTACTGCACAACAAACCCTTGATCAAGCACTTGAATGAGAGTTCCTTCGATGTGGTCTTAACTGACCCGCTTGACCTCTGTGGTGCACTGCTGGCTAAGTACCTGTCGGTTCCTTCTGTGTTTTTGCTGCGTTTTATCCTATGTGACCTTGACTTTGAGGGCACACAGTGCCCGAACCCTTCCTCATATATTCCTAGGATGCTAACAATGAATTCAGACCACATGAGCTTCCTGCAAAGGGTCAAGAACATGCTCTACCCTCTGATGATGAAGTACACTTGCCACATTTCTTATGATCCGTATGCGAGCCTGGCGTCTGAGCTTTTTCAGAGAGAGGTGTCGTTGGTGGATATTCTCAGCCATGCGTCCGTGTGGCTGTTCCGAGAAGACTTTGTGCTGGACTACCCCAGGCCCATCATGCCCAACATGGTGTTTATTGGGGGCATCAACTGTGCCAATAGGAAGCCTCTATCTCAGGTCTGTATTGCTGCCTACTCTAATCAGTGCTCTAGTTTGAAAAATTACAAGAGAAACATCTAAGTACTTCCTTAGCTACCTATCTTTCCAGAATGTTCTATGAAGTAGAGGGAGTATGAAGTAAGAGGAACTGTGATGGTGTGCACAAGTAGTGCAACTAAAGATCGCAGTGGTCCCTCAGAAGAATGAGATACAGTCAGTGGTTGTTTCATAAAGCAAGCGAGGAATGCTGTGACGCCACCAAGACTGGCCCTGTGTCCTGGCACCCTTCCTGTGTGAGTGATTTCCTGAGCTGTGCAGGAGCACAGACTATGAGTTGTGAGCTGACTCATCAGGGGGATTTTATTGCAAATTTTTAAGAGAACAATAACAGAATTAGCAATGTGCACATGTTGATATGAGTTTTCAGTAAGAAGTCGGGGAGAGGGGTTGTCTTTTTCTTCCAGGCTCTTGCCATGCAGAAAGGTCAGAATCATAGGTGCTGGCACATAGAAGGTAACTTTCATACAAGAGTTGAGAATGTAAACACCTACACCCAGTACGTGATCATGGGTTGCCTCACAGAAGACATATCTGTTGTGAGTGGGCAGTGGGCTAGGGGCCAAGGGGAGGGGGAGGGGGAGGTATGCAGCACCCACGCACCGCCTTCAGTTGTGGTCTCCAGAGGAACAGAGATCTCCCCACGGTTGCTGGCCTGTTTTGTGAGGTCGCAGGGAGGTGGTGCCTCTACTGCATAAAACCATGTGGGACTTTTATGAAATCTCATTAAACTCCACACGGATCTCAAAATACCCACTTTCGTGTCATCTTCCCCCACGTCCCGGATGAAGCGATGAATCTGGAATGGTGGGCATTTGGATTGACAAGCAGGAGTGTAGTATTGAACCTGGGGCATTTGCTTGTGACATCCAGCTCAGCACATCCTACCTTAGCTGGCTGCTACCCCATATTGAGGACTGCTCTCTTGGGAGGGATGGAAATGCAAGCACAGGGGACCTAAGGTACCCAGGAAGGCAGACGTTTCAAAGAGCTTCAGTAAGTCAAGTGAGAGGGAGATAATGAAGATGGCGCACCTGTGATCAGAGAGTGGCATCCCAGAGTCCTACTTCTCAGAGGTGGAGCCGTGCTGATGGGGTTTCCTCATTGGGGCTTGGTGTCCGCTGTGTAGTGTGGGGACGTTCTAGAGGTGGGAGAAATATGAGGGTTACATGTCAACTAAGTCTTCTACTTGGAACCCTGTAATCTCAATCCATGGGGAATGGTTCTATGGAGCCCACAAACCTGAGGGCCTAGAAAGCCAGAGTGTGGAGATGTGATGAGGAGACAGAGTCTGACGAGGGAATGTTTTCTCAGAAGAGGCCGACTCATCACCCGACCCTCCTGGCCTCATGCTGTATTTCAACAGCGAGCTACTCCTTTGCCAACAGTTTCTGGGCCTTTTTACATTAGGTCTGACTGTTAGGGTTTTAGTGATGTGGGATCTTGGAAGCTGGGTTTTGTTTCTTAACTCTGGAACAAATGTTTTTGAGCAAGAGTCTTCCCACTTGTGCCAATTATTTTAATTCCTGTTGATTTTCCGATTGTACACTTTGATAGTTCCTGTAGTCCTGCTTATCTCTTTCTATCACTAAATTATGTGTTCTTTCAAAGGACTCTAATTTGTTATTGACCAAACCACATGGATCATCTCTTTTTCCCTCTTTTGCAGTGTGCTTATCAATTATATAATTGCTATGTGTCCATTATATTTGTAAAAATGTTGAAAAGCAAGAAAGCAGTTAAACTAATTGTGTTTTCTTTTAGTTTCCCTGTGTGACTATATTCTCTGGAATCATTGATTGCAGTGCTCACTCCCATGTATCTCAGTGGAAGACCTTGTAAATATTATGTATTTGCACTCTCATTTCTGCAGGTTAGCAAAACGCCAGAAGCACCATGTGTGTCAAAAGGAAATCTATGAGTTCCACATCTTTTTGAAGAGAGAAAGTATTTACTCTTAAATCTTCACCATGTATTATATGATAGGAAAATGATGATCATTATTGTTTTCTGAAGTTCTATAATATATGTTTTTTTTGTTTGTTAGATTGTCACCTAAGAATTATGCATACATACATATAATATATATAAATATATAAAATATATAGAACAGCATGTGATTTCTGAATCACATGTACATTGTGTTGTGTTCAAATCCAGATACTCATGTAATATCTGTCTCCTCCAACTTCCATCATTTGTTTGTGGCTACAAGATTCCAAGTCGTTCCTCTGGTTTTCTTTTGGAGATCCATACGTGATCATTGCCTGTAAGTGCTACTGAGCAATGGAGCCCAGCACTTATTTTTCCTGTCACTTTTTCCCACCGACCAACCTTTCCTTGTCTCTTCCTCCCCATTTCACACCCAACCTTTAGAAGCTACTCTTCTACTCTATGAGATCAACTTTTTTTTTTTTAAGATTTGATGTACTTATTAGAGAGGTATACTTACAGAGAGAGAGGGAGAGACAGAGAGTAAGGTCTTCCATCCTCTGGTTCACTCCCCAAATGGCTGCAAAGGCTAGGGCTGAGCTAACCCAAAGCCGGGAGCCAAGAGCTTATTCCAGGTATCCCACGAAGGTGCAGGAGCCCAATACTTGTTCCAACCTCCACTGCTTTTCTAGGCCTTAGCAGAGAGCTGCACACAGAGGAGCAGCTGGGACTAGAACTGGCACCCATATGGGTTGCCAGTGCTACAGGTGGATGCTTAGCCCACAAAGCCAAAGTGCCAGCCCATAGATTAACCTTTTTACATTTTACAAATGAGTGAGATCAAGGGGTACTTGTCTGTCTATACCTGACTTACATCACTTATAATGTCATCTGGCTCTATCCATTTTGTGGCAAATGACAAAATTTCTTATTTTGGTGGCTGCATATGAGATGTGTCAAAGATTCACAGAACTTTCCTATTATAAAAAGTGGGTGTGAATTCACAATATTGTCAACAAAAGCACTTGCTTTGTATTTTCTGCAGACTCTTTGAAGTAAGCTCCCATAGTCACTGTGAATTCTTGTCACGTTTTCTTTGTCCATGTATCGGTAGATGGGTCGTTGGTTGACCCATCTCTTGGCGACTGGGAATCGTGAGTGCTGCAGTAATCATAGCAGTGCGCTTTGTTATGTGGATTTCTTCTGCTTTGCATGCACACTCCTAATGGGGAGTGCTAGAATATACTGTAGTTCTACTTTTAACTTTTCTGAGAAGCTTCCAAACTGTTTTCCACAATGGCTTTACTAATTTACATTCCCATCAACAGTGCGTAAGAGTCCCCTGGTCTCCATCTCCTCACCAGCACCTGTTGTCATTCTGTTTTGATCATCATCGCTCTAACTAGAATGGGGTGATATCTCACTGTGCTTTGGATTTGCATTTTTCCAAGTTAATAATAATTTCAAGTATTTTTTCATATAGTTGTTAGCCCTTTGTATGCCTTTCTTTAAAAAACTTTTAAAATTAATTTATTATCATTGATGAGGCAGAAAGAAGAGGAGACCTATACCCAAAGACCTCACATTCCAATTGGTGTCTGAGTCCATGGTTCCCTATATATGGTGAGGCCATGGTTCCCTAATAGTTCCTGTTTTTTACTGACCAGTGACCATGTCTGCCAATCAAGGATCAGGCATTTTTCCTCCTCCTTGTAGTCTGGCTTTGATTTTGCTTCACCTTCCAGAAATTCTAAGCAGACTATGGTAGATGTTCTCTGTGCCTGTGGGCACTGGTGCTGTGTCAGCACTATATGGCACCCTAAGTCCACCTTTACTCTGGGTCAGCCATTTGAGTTTTCATTGTTTTGGCACTAGAGGGAGCCCAACCAAACTTTGTTGCAAATCTATGGTTTTGAGGGCCTGCACCATGGCTCACTTGGTTAATCCCTCGCTGGCATCCCATATGGGCGCCTGGTTCTAGTCCCGGATGCTTATCTTCCAGTCCAACTCTCTGCTGTGGCCCAGGAAAGCAGTGGAGGATGGCCCAAGTGCTTGGGCCCCTGCACCCATATGGGAGACCAGGAAGGGGTACCTGGCTCCTGGCTTCGGATCGGCACAGCGCCAGCCGTAGTGGCCATTTGGGGAGTGAACCAATGTAAGGAAGACCTTTCTCTCTCTCTTTCTCACTGTCTATAACTCTACCTGTCAAAAAAAAAATCTATGGCTTTGAGTATTTGCATGTTTCTCATGGTGACCTTGGTGTGTCATGAAGCAGGAAGTCCTGCTCAGATCTGTGAGCCAGGGCCTGGGTTTGGGGCAGGGTCAGGTAGCCATCCACAGTCATGGGGTCAGGTGCTGTGGATGCTGCCTGACACTGGGCCTCACCATGGTGGGTCTCACCCTTAGCTCCAGAGCAACAGCCACTGTCTCCCTCCCTCTTCTTCCACAACTGGACCCTGACTCTCTTCTCTCTGCTGTGTTGTTTGGTGTTGGGAGAGGATGCGGTAGGAAGTCCTGTGGCCACTGAAGCTGCTGCCATGCTGGGGTGCAAAGCCCACCTCCCATCAAACCCACGCAGCCCAGAGGCATTTCCAAGGCTCAGACAGCTATGCCTGCCTGCTTTTATGATCTATTCATGGCCTGAGACTACTGCATACAGCTGGGTGATACAGGGCTGGAGTACAAGTCCATCCATGTGGAGCCAAGGGTCTGTGTCTGCTGCTTGGGCATGTCCAGAGGCTATGTGTTCTCCATCAAAGGAAAGAGTTGATAAAGACTTACCAGTAGTGTCACATCCAGCAGAGAAACGAAATTGGGGGCCGGAGCCTTGGTGATTCTTCAGCGCTCAACTGCAACCTGCTAAATGGTAGTTAAAGGACAGATAGCCCGTGATGAAGTGAGGATCCAACGTCTTGTTTTGGAACTAAAAAGAAAAAGAAGAGCATGAACTAGTGTGCTCCCCAAAGAGAGCTGCAGGGTCAGATGAGTTCCTCCAGGATACAGTCGTCACATCTGTCTCTCCTGGGTGAAGGCAGAGGGTAGGGCAGTTATGAAAGACAGGGTAGATTCATTCCACAATGGTTAACTTAACGAGAGCACTGTGCCTTCCATGACATTCTGTTTTGTAACATGGCCTGGTGATAACATAATAACAGGAGGTGCAAACTGGTGTTAAAAACAAGGTAATGTGGGCTTCTGCAGAGATGGCCATGGGGCTGCAGGCTCCCCTGCTGGGGCTGGCGGGGGCTGCTGCTCCTGCTGTGTGCCTTGCCCTGGGCTCAGAGTGGCAAGGTACTGTCCTGTCCATGGAGGGCAGCCACTGGCTCAGCGTGCGGAAGGCCATGCAGGAGCTCTGTGCCCGAGGCCACCAAGCTGTGGTCATCACTCCAGAGGTGAATATGCATGTCAAAGGAGAGGACTTTTTCACCCTGAAAACCTACATCACCTCTTACACCCAGGATGAATTTCATTACCTCATCCTAGGCCAGAGTGGGAGGCTCTTTGAAACAAAACATTTTCTGAAGACATTTTTCAAAACTTCCATAGTTTTGAAAAATGTCTGTGTTCTGTCATAAATCTTGTGCAGAGCTTTTGCACAATAAACCCCTAATCAGGCACCTGAATGGCAGCTCCCTTGATGTGGTTTTAGTGGACCCCATTCACCCCTGTGGGGCACTGCTGGCCAAGTACCTGTCGGTTCCTGCTGTGTTTTTAGTGCGTTCTTTTGCATATGGCCTAGACAATGAGGGCACACAGTGCCCAAACCCTTCCTCATATATTCCCAGGATGCTAACAATGAATTCGGACCACATGAGCTTCTTGCAAAGAGTCAAGAACATGCTCTACCCTCTGCCCCTGAAGTACATTTGCCACATTTCTTATGATCCGTATGCGAGCCTGACATCTGAGCTTTTTCAGAGAGAGGTGTCGTTGGTGGATATTCTCAGCCATGCGTCCGTGTGGCTGTTCTGAGGAGACTTTGTGCTGGACTACCCCAGGCCCATCATGCCCAACATGGTGTTCATTGGGGCATCAACTGTGCCAACAGGAAGCCTTTCCCTCAGGTCTGCATTGCTGCCTTCATATCAATGTGCAGAACATTTTAAAAGAAAACTTGGTGGTGAATGTTTACTTATCTCCCCATGTTTCCAAATGCCTCTACCTCTCATTGTCCTGACAGTCTTCAGCGATGGATCATAGTGTTGTAGCTAAGGGTTTCAGTGGTCCTTGACAGGAATGGGAAGCTGGGAAGAGGGTGGGTAATAGGATTGACAAGCAATGGTGTTACTCCACCAAGACTGTCCATTTGCCAAGGCACCATCTTTCTGGTAGCGTGATATCCTTTGCCTGTGCTGGAGAGGAGAAACTGAGTTGTGAACTGATCCCTAAGAGTATCTTGCTTGTAGATTTTCAGTACAAAGCTGTATTAGCTTTTTGTTACTATAATGAAACACTTGACACAGGCAACTTACAAAACAGAGTGGGTTTTCAGCTTACAGTCAGGGTAGATTCAAGTCCAAGATCAGGTGAGCCCATGGGTTTGATCTCTGATGAAGTGAGCAAAAGGCAATGGTGTGAACACTTGTTAGAATGAGTTGTCATGTCTCAAGCCAGAAACAGAATGATTGATAGACAGAGAGAGAGCGAGAGTGAAAGCGAGAGAGACAGACAGACATAGAGATGGAGAGAGATTAAGATGGAGGGATACCAAGCTCAGGTATAATGGCAATCCTTGTGTGATACCTGTCAAGGAGCCTCATGAGAGCTACCTTCTGAGGGCATGTTATCAACTATCTAAGGACATCCTTCTAGCCCCCCACTTCCTAATTATTCTACCACCTCTCAATAGCTCCACTCCAGAGACCAAGCATTTAATACATGAGCCTTGGGGGGACCATACCAAAGGATAAATGAATTAGCAAATTGCAATTGTGGACATAGCAGTTTTTAGTGGCCTTGTCTTGGAAGGGATTTAGATGCGATCAAAGGTGACCTAAGCTCTCAGAGGAAGTGAAAGTTCAAAGAGGCCAGTAGGCTAAGAGGAAGCTGGATGCCGAAGGTGTGATCTCTGCGATTAGAGAATGGCACCATCGAGTCCTACTCTCCAGAGCTGGAGCAGTGCTGAAGGGAGACTCTCTGTCCAGGAGTTGGTGTGCAGTGGCGAGGTGAGGACATTTCCTGAGTTGGGAGACATTATCCTGGCTGCATGTCAAGTGGGTTCTACTTGGGACACTGACATGATCAAGGAATGGTGGAAGGGGCTAGGAAGGAGACAAAACTGTGAGCCTAGGAATCCATTAAAGGTGCGGTCAGTGTTGAGGAGACATGAGTGTGAAGAAGGAAGGGTTTTAGGGAGAGGCTGACCACACCAGCAACCCCCATCACCTTACGCTGTGCCTCCCAAGCGTGATCTTCTGTACCAAGAGTTCCAGCAGCCTTGACCCTGAACATTTGAGTTTAATTGAAAGGGGACCCTTGAAAGCTGGAGCACATTTCTTAATATATTGGGAAACTACCTTTTTAGGGGAAGGAGAGTCTTCCCATTTATGGCATATTCACTTCATTTGTATCAACTTCCATGAATTCAGCTATTGTATTGGTTTTATATTCTTCTGAACTTTTTTTAGATTTATTTTTATTTATTTGAAAGAGTTACAGAGAGAGAGAGAAAGGTCTTCCATCCACTGGTTCACTCCCCAAATGACCACAACGACCAGAGCTGAGCTGATCCGAAGGCAGGAACCAGGAGCTTCTTCCTGGTCTCCCACATGGGTGTAGGGGTCCAAGGACCTGGGCCATCTTCTACTGCTTTCTTAGGCCATAGCAGAGGGCTGGATTGGAAGAGGAGCAGCTGGGACTCGAACCAGTGCCCATATGGGATGCCAATACTGCAGGCCGGGGCTTTAACTCACTGTACCACAGTACCGGCCCCTCTTCTGTACCTTTTAAAAAAGATTTATCTATTCATTTATTTATTAATTTATTATTTATTTGAAAGGCAGAGTAAGGTGGGGGGGAGAGAGAGAGAGACAGAAACAGAGAGATCTTCCCATCTGCTGGTTCACTCCCCAAGTGGCCACAATGGCTGGAGTTGGGCTGATCCAAAGACAGGAGCCAGGAGCTTCTGGGTCTTCTACGTGGGTGCAGGGCCCAGGCACGTGGCCCATCCTCTGCTGCCTTCCCAGATGCATTAGCAGGGAGCTGGATTGGAAGTGGAACAGCCAGGACTTGAACCAATGCCCATATAGGATATTGGCACCAGAGATGGCCACGTTACCCACTATGCCATAGCACCAGCCCTCTTGTATACTTCTTAATAATACAGCTGTCATTACAAAGGACTCTAAGTCTCATTCTTGGTTTTCTCAGAGCAATGCAGTCATTCTGTTATGGCTATGCATGTCTTTATTATGTCTCTAAAATTTTGAAAAGGAAGAAAGGATTTACAAGGTAACTATTTTTAAAGCTTCACTGTATGGTTATATTCTGTAGAGACGGCGAGATGGCTGTGTTGTCTCAAAGCCTCACTCCCATTTTTTCTAGCTAGATGACCATGGGCAAGTGACTAACCATTCTGGATTTGATGATGTCATAATGAGTATCCACTAAGTATGAGCTTTTATCGTTATTATTAGTACTGCCTAAAAGTTGCCAGCAGGACAAGGTGTGTGCATGACCCAAAGACCTATGTTAGTTCCACCTTATCTGCTGCATGAAAGATCATTTACTCTGAAATCTTTACCATGTATAAGTGATAGGCATGCCATAAGCATTTTTGTCTTATTAAATTATTTTATAGTTTTTATTTGACCCTTAATTATTATACACATAACAGCATGGATGTTTTGATATTTATATATATAATATATATGTATAAATATATAGTGTCAAATCAAGGTAAGCATATCTCCTCAACCATTTATCATTTCTTTATGATGAGAACATGCTAGATCTTTTCTTCTAGGTCTTTTGAGGTATATAAAACATCATCCTTATCAACAATCACCCAAGTGTGCAACAGAACTCCAGAACGTATTTCCCCTTTGAACATGTAATTTATTGTCTGCCTACCAGCGCTTTCCTCCTGTCCTCTCCCTTTTGTCCCGACCTCCAGGCAACCACCATTCTACTCTGAATTTCTATAAGATGAATTCTTTTAGATTCCTGTATTAATGAGATCATGTGGCATTTGTCATTCTGCGTCTGCCTTAATTTGCTTAATGTAGTGCCCTTGTGTTGCGTCAATGTTGTAAACCACAGCATTTGACTGAATAGTGTTGTTTTGTGGATGCCAACCACCTTGAAACAAATCTGTTCATCAGTTGATGGACAGTTAGGTTGATTCCTTTCCTAGTCTCTTGTGGATAAATAGTCCTACAGTAAACACAGGAGTGAAGATGTCTCTTTAATATCCTATTTTCCTTTCCTTTGGATATACACCCAGTAGTGAGAGTGCCAGATCTTTTTTTTTTTTTTTTTTTTACATTTTAGGCTTTTATTTAGTATGAAAGATGCATAGGAGAGGCCATATCTTTTGGTAGTCCTTTTAAAATTTTTTTTGAGGAGGGGCTGGTGCTGTGGCACAGTGGACTAAAGCCCTGGCCGGAAGCACCAGCATCCCATATGGGCACCGGTTCGAGTCCCAGCTGCTCCACTTCAAATCCAGCTCTCTGCTATGGCCTGGGAAAGCAGTAGAAAATGGCTCAGGTCCTTGGGCCCCTGCACTCACGCAGGAGACCTGGAAGAAGCTCCTGGCTCCTGGCTTCGGATTGGCGCAGCTCCAGCCATTGTGGCCAACTGGGGAGTGAACCATCAGATGGAAGACCACCCTCCTACACTTTCTCTGCCTCTCCTCTCTCTGTGTAACTCTGACTTTTGAATAAAATAAATATTTTTAAAAATTTTTTGAAGAAGCTCCACATTGTTTTCTGTAATGGTTGTGCTAGTTTACATTGCTACAATTAGTGTTTCTTCTTCTTTGTATTCCTGACATTGTTGTCTTTTGTCTTTTTATAACAGCCATTCTAACTGGGGTGAGGTGATGTAGCATGATTTCGATTTGCATTTCTCCAGTGTAGAAATGTTGAGCATTTTTTCATTTACATCATAATATTTTGTATGTCTTCTTTTGAGAAATGTCTACTTGGTTCTATTGCCAATATTTCAATCCAATTATTTGGACTTTCATTATGAGTTCCTTGAATTCTGTATATATTCTGGATGTTAACACTTCATCAGACATACAGTTTGCAAACATTTTTCTCCTTTAGATTGTCTACAGGTCTTTAGATCACCTCTTCATTCTGTTGATTGTTTCTTTTGCTATACAGAGGTTTTGAGTTCAGTACTCTCCATTTGGTCTATCATTGCTTTTGTTTCCGGTACTTTTGTAATCTCATCTAAAAAACTCTCATCTTTGTCTTGTCAAATGCTGTGTTTTCCCTAGATTTTTTTCTAGTAATTTCAGGTCTTATTCTTAAATCTTTAACCCATTTTTAATTCATTCTTGTATATGGTGAGCAACAAGGGTCTACTCTAACTCTTCCGCATGTTTATACCCAGTTTCCCCAGCACCATTTTTTGAAAAGACTGCCATTTCCCCAGTGTATATTCTTAGCACCTTAGTAAAAAATCAGTTGGCTTGAGGTTGGGTCAGGAGAGAGGATCTGGGCATTTGGCACAGTGACTCAATTCACTGCTTGGGATGACCACATCCTATACTGAGGTGCCTGGTTTGCGTCTTGCCGGCTCCACTTCTGATCCAGCTTCCTGCTAACGTGCATCTTGGGAGGCAGCAGGTGATGGTCAGATACTTGGGTCCTTGTCACTCACGTGGGAGGTCCAGATGGAGCTTTGGCTCCTGGCTTCAACTTGGCCTTGCCTCCCATGAACCAGTGGATGCAGGATCTCTGTCTCTTTCAAATAACGTAAAAATAAACAAATAAAATTCTAAAATCAGTTGGCTGCAGATGAATGGATTTATTTCTAAGTTCTCTATTCGGTTAAATTGGGCTATTTTGCTATTTGCTATTGCTATTTGCTGTTTTCATAGCAATACCTCAGTTTTTTGATTACTATAATTTTGTAGTATATTACAAAGTCAGGTAAGTGTAATCCATTATGCTTCATATTTTTTCTCAAGACCACTTTATATATGTATATATATATTTACATATATATATGTTATTCCATGTGAATTTTACAATTGTTTTCTTTTGGTTCTGTGAGGAATGTCATTAGCATTTTGACAGATTATCTTGAATCTGTAGGGTTCTTCGGGTAGTATAGACATTTTAACAATATTGATTCTTCCAATCCATGAACACAGGATATCTTTCCAATTTTTTGAGGACTCTTCAATTTCTTTCCTCCATATTTTATAGTTTCCTGTGTTCTTAAAACAGTTATTTTGAATTCTCTAAGAGATCACACATAGGCATCACTTTATGATCAATATTTAGTGACTAATTTTTTCTACTTTGTGACATCATGGTTCCCTGGACATTCTTGATGCTTATTGATGTATGACAACCCCTGCACATTGAATAATTAGATATCTATTGCAGGCTGCACAGTATGGCTTTGTGCCCATCCTTCCAGAAATTCTAATCAGGCTATTTGTTATGTTATCTGAACCTGTGTTCATGACTGCTGTTTCAGCACTAGATTGTATCCTAAGATCAGGTTTATTACAAGTCTGTGATTGGTGTGTTGTCATTGTTTCAGCATTAGAAGGCACCCAAAGCCCATGTTTCCTGCATACCTACAGTGGATGTGTTGTTCAGAATAGGCTTGTGGCATGCATAAGAGGGCAGTCATCTCCTCTGGGTCCACAAGCATCTACCCTCATCCATAATCAAGGCCCTGTAGTTAGGAACCACAGGATTCTACCAGCACTGGGCTTCACCACAGAAGATCTAGCCTTGGGCTCCAGAGCAACATTTTATACCCAACTCTCTGTTCTTCCTCCAAGTGGACAATGACTCTGTTCATGTTGGACTTCCTTGGGTTGGTGGAGGGATAGGATAGGAAGTCTTGTGGCCACTGTGGCCATCAATAATGAATTAGGTCACTCACGAATCCTACAACCTGCGTAGGTTGAGACCCACATAATACAGGGAAATACAAGACCCAGACTACTGCTGTTCTGTCTGGTGCTGTGGACTATTTGTGGCTTGAGACCACTGCAATTGGTCGGGGGTGTTATGGGCCAGAAATACATCTGTCCTACCAGGACCTTAGATCTGTACCTGGTTTAGAGCAAGTCCAGAAGGTGCTTCCATGGGCACTGGCCTGGGATCAACGGCGGCTATTGGGTTCTGCCTGGTGTTGGGCTTCACCATGGTGGAACCAGCACTGATATCCAAAGTCAAGTCCTGTGCTTTCCTCCCTATCCTCCCCTCCAGTGGATGGAGTCTTTTTCTATGCAGTGCTGAGATGGGGGCAGGGATGATGGAGGCAGTGCCTTGACCACCAAGACTGATGCTAACTTGGGTCACACTTGAAGCTCATCATCCCTGCCTGCAGATGGAATTTTTTTCCTTAACATTTTTCAAGATTTTATGTCATGACTGTGGGCACATTTGTCTGAGAGGAGCTAAACCTTCATTACCAGAAGCTGGATATAATGTTAGGTAATTTTAAGATTTATATTTTGTCATGATGAAAAAAATCCCAGTGAAACTTTTTTGGCCTTGAATCAGTGCTATGGCTGAATTTGTGACAAAATTATGAATGTTCTAATGTTCAATGTTTGTTTTGGGTCTCTTTGTCTATTTCAGTCCATATTTACAATTGGTTGCCAAGGCAGACTGTCTTCTGACTTGGTGTCTGATGCCTGTGTGAGGTTAGGTTGTGAGCACAAGGTAGATCCTCATGATGAGGAGAGATGGAAAGTGGCTCTGGGACTTTAAGCTGGACAGCACCGGGTGCCTTTCCACATCATCTTATCCCCCCCCACCCCGCACCCCCCCGGTGAACAAGTGAGGGAGGTGATGATAATCTGCTGAGTACACGTAGAATAACTTACTGGAGTATGGCCAGGCTTGAGTGTGGGACCAATGCAGTCCCATAGGGCCCTGCCCCCACCATAATCCCACAGTGGGATATCCTTGAAATATGAACGCTGGACCCCATGAGTTATGTCATCGTCCTGTTTGGGGGAACTCTGTTCTCATCAGGACTTGTGGCTGGCAATGGCTTTGGAGGAAAACCTGAAGACAGACTTCAGGAAGCAATAAGACCAGAGTCACTGTATACTTTGTTCACTAAACAGAGTACAGGAGACTGCTGAGACCACGCGAAAGAGAGGGGGATCCAAGGCCCAGGCTGCTGCTCTCCGCCTGCTGCTGTATTCCTTCCGTGGCCTGAGACCACCGTGGTTGTGCAGAGATGACGTGGTTCACAAACATTTCCATCGCACCAGGCCCTTGGGTCTCCCTGGCTTCACGCTCAGGGGAAGAGAGATGCAGATGAGGCCAGGTCTGGTCAGATTCTCTCTTCTGTCCGTGTGAGCAGCCAGAGGGAGCAGGTGCTGTCTGAATGCATTGCTTAGTCCTGTCTTGTTCATGCGTCCTTTAGATAATGGCAACTTTTTCCTGTGGGGAGATATGGAGCCTTCAGAATCCCTTCAGTAGAATCAAATCACCAGCCGGCGCCGCGGCTCACTAGGCTAATCCTCCGCCTTGCGGCGCCGGCACACCGGGTTCTAGTCCCAGTCGGGGTGCCGGATTCTGTCCCGGTTGCCCCTCTTCCAGGCCAGCTCTCTGCTGTGGTCAGGGAGTGCAGTGGAGGATGGCCCAAGTGCTTGGGCCCTGCACCCCATGGGAGACCAGGAGAAGTACCTGGCTCCTGGCTTTGGATCAGCGCGGTGCGCTGGCCATGGTGGCCATTGGAGGGTGAACCAACAGAAAAGGAAGACCTTTCTCTCTGTCTCGCTCTCTCACTGTCCACTCTGCCTGTCAAAAAAAAAAAAAAAAAAGATTCAAATCACCATATCCTCAAGTTTGAAAGCTGAGATTCATTTGGTTTTCCCTCCAACAAGTCTCATACTTGAAAGCTGCTTCCAATCAATCCCTTCCTGATCATTACAAGAGTTATGCTGATGCGGAAAATGAACAAAACTGGAGAGCCAGTGACTTCACTCCCATTTAAGGAAATTGGTTTATCAGTGTTTTACGATTTCTGGATCAGTTCCATGTTTCTCATTCATGCCAGGAAAGAATTTAAGGGCTTGTCAAGTAGTATCACGTCCAATAGAGAAGTGAATTTGAGAGAAAGGGTATCAGTGCCTCTCCAGGTTCAGTTGCAGCTGATAGAAGGTGATTCACAGAGAAGCAGTAGGCAATGAAATGGAATGTGTGTCCATAGCCTTTTTTGGAGATTGCATGAAAAGTAGGAAGTGAACTAGGATGTTCCCTGGAGATAGCAGCGGGTTCAGACAAGTTTTTTCCAAGATAGGAGAGAAGAGATTATTCTTTCCTGGGTGGAGGTAGAGGGTAGGGCAGTGATTGAAGTAAGGAACAGGTGTATTCTGCAATGATTAACTCTGCCTTCCAATGACATGCTGTTTTGATAAGGGGCCCGGTGATAGCATAGCAATGATGAGGAAAGCTAATATAGGTGGCACAGCCTGGTGTAGAAAGTGAGCTGCGGACGGTTTCTGTGGAGGCGGCCATGGCAGTGCGGGTTCCCCTGCTGGGGCAGGCGGGGCTGCTGCTCCTGCTCTGTGTGCTGCCCTGGGCTGAGGGCGGCAAGGTGCTGGTGGTGCCCATGGAGGGCAGCCACTGGCTCAGCATGCGAGAGGTCGTGCGGGAGCTCCACGCCCGAGGACACCAGGCTGTGGTCCTTGCTCCAGAGCTCAATGTGCACATCAAAGGAGACAACACTTTCACCCTGAGAACCTACCCCATTCCTTACACCCAGGAGGAGTTTAATGAACTATTCTTCGGCAATGCTGGAAGTATCTTTGAAACGGAAAACTCTCTGAAGACATTTTTGCTAACTATGGCAGCTATGAAAAATGTTTCTACATTCTTTTACAGGTCTTGTGAGGAGCTATTATACAACAAACCTCTAATCGGGCACTTGAATGAGAGCTCCTTTGATATGGTCTTAACTGACCCTGTCTTCACCTGCGGGGCACTGCTGGCTAAGTACCTGTCGGTTCCTGCTGTGTTTTTTTTGCGTGCGATTCCATGTGATCTAGACTTTGAGGGCACACAGTGCCCAAACCCTTCCTCATATATTCCCAGGATGCTAACAATGAATTCAGACCACATGAGTTTCCTGCAAAGGGTCAAGAATATGCTCTACCCTCTGCCCCTGAAGTACCTTTGCCACATTTCTTATGATCCGTATGCGAGCCTGGCATCTGAGCTTTTTCAGAGAGAGGTGTCATTGGTGGATATTCTCAGCCATGCGTCCGTGTGGCTGTTCCGAGGAGACTTTGTGCTGGACTACCCCAGGCCCATCATGCCCAACATGGTGTTCATTGGGGGCATCAACTGTGCCAACAGGAAGCCTCTCTCTCAGGTCTGTATTGCTGCTTCCATCCAATCAAATGTTTACTTTTGAACCCATCTGCACAAATATTTGTGGGTGCATCATGGTGTAGTTAAGGATTGCAGTGGTCTCCAAGAGGAGTGAGAGTCAGGGGAAGAGACCCTGTAATAGGGTGGACAGTGTTGGTGTGACTCTGCTAATTCTGTCTGCTTGGTCAAGGTCCTGTCTTCTTGGTTGTTTGATTTCCTTCAACTGTGTCAGAACAGTTAAGTTGTGAACTACTTCATCAAGGGGTTTTGCTTGCAGATTTTTGGTAGAAGGATGTATTAGATTTTTGTTACTATAAGGAAATACCTGACAGAGGCTACTGACAAAGTAGGATGGAGAGATTTCTTTAGGTCATAGCTTTGGAGTTTCAAGTCCAAGATCAAGCAGTCCCGTTGATTAGGAGTCTGGTGAGGGTGGCAGAAGGCAATGGCAGGAGCACTCATTGAAATGAGGAGATACATGGGAGAGGGGGAGAGAGAGAGAACATCTTTCATCTGTAGGTTCACTCCCCAATAGGCTGCAACATCCAGGACTGTGCCAGGCCAAAGCCAGGAGCCAAAACCCGATCTAGGTCTCCCATAGGGGTGGCAGGGCCCAGGCACTTGTTTTGATGTGAGATTTCAGTCCATTCATAGTGTGTATGTTTAATTTTATTCCTTCTATTGTAAGCATATTCTTTTCATATTACTGTTTCCTTTTGCTTTTATTTTTTAAGACTTCTTTTCAATTTTGGAATCCTATGGCACTTTTCCATTTACATGTGGACACAGTGAGGCATGTTGAGACCTCTGACTTGTAAGAGTGCTTACACTGGGCCCATCGTCCATCTTGAAAGCCTTAATCCAGTCACACCTGTAAGGTCCCTTTGCCATTCACTGTAACCTGGTCAGTTTCCAAGGATTAGAATGTGGACAAGTTTCTGGGGGCCATTATTATGCCTGCCATAGACAGGAAATCTCAAATTATACCTAGATCTTATTCAAAACTTGAAGGTTTTCCCCCCTCTATTATGCCACTGAAATTTTTGGACAGCAGTGGGGAGGGCCACGGGAGCACTAGGACACATCTCTGGGGTACAAGGGCTACAACTGGGAGGAAGGGAGGGTCGCAGAGGGCTCTCCACCTTGGCCTCCCCCCAGAGCTCGGGTCCCAAGGCTGAGCAGGTCTTTCCCAGGAGGAAAACAAGGAACTTCCCTTAGTGGACTCCACTTTGGGTGGGATAAAGGTAGAGAACAGACTAGGAACTTCAATCTGGGCCACCAACTACTTCCCAGCAAGGAGCCACACTGGACAGACAGTGGGTGAAATTACACTGAAATGGATGCCAAGCAAGAGGGAGAAAAAATGAATCTGCATTTGTTGAGAAAGTGGAATCAGGAATTTCTAGAAAGATAAGCAGAGTCAGGTGAATGATTTCCCAAGATGGAGGAGGTCTCTCTCCGTCTGGAGATAAAAGTGTAGAATTAGAGAGAAACGAATAGATTGTTAAATGGTTTTCTGAAAAGAACACCCTCACCTCCAAATGCTTCCCACCATGTGAAGAAAGCTGACCTAAAATCAGCTGTGTGTGAACTGCAGTCAGAAGTGTCTGCCTTTTGGGGTTTTTGGACCAGGAGATGGACTCTGGTCTCCATGTCTCCTGAGGGGCTTCCTCTCCCTGCCTGGTAAACTCACGGTGATCCTGCGGGGAAAATCCACTGCACAGGACATGAGGCAGTCACCTTTGCAGTGGAGAGAAAGCCTTTTCCCACTCTGAAAGCCTACTCAAACCACTCCACAAAGGGCGAACGCCCACATGGAGACCCATATGAGTGGTTTTGTTGTTGTTATTTTTTGGAACCAAGACATTTAAAAGAGATTTTCAATTTTGAAAATTCTTTTAAAAGGAGAACTTTGTATTTACAACATCAGTAAATCCAGGATATGTCAAAGCTGAAGTCTTTTCCCTCAGCTGTTACAAGCCAGGGTTGTTAATAACCCATGACCTCTGAGTGAACTTGGTGCACCAAATTGCTGACCAGTGAACGGTTATCTATTTTAACCAATTCTGTAGATAAAACACACACTAGGTCTATCCTATCCAGAGTGGTGGTTTCCAACATACATACCCTATCACTTCCTCAACTTCTACAGAAACAAACTCACCTCAGCAAACTATTCAGTGAATATCTTCACTGGTCTGAGCTCCCCGGATTGGCATGTAAATTATTTTTTTAAAAAAACATTTGAAAGGAAAAGAGAGTGAGCTGGTTCATATCCCAAATGCCCACAACGCTGGGCCTGAGCCAAGGCCAAAGGTGGGAGTCAGGAACTCAGTCCAGGCCTCCCACGTGGGTGGCAGGAACCCAGTTACTTCTGTCATCACCACTGCCTCCCAGGGTCTGCATTAACAGGAAGCTGAAGTCAGGAGCCAGGGCAGGGGCTTGAACCCAGGCACTCCAGGTGGGACGGAGGCATTTGAACCGGCACAGATGCGTCTCACTGAGCTGTTTCTAACAGCGTGGTAGTCTTTCCTACTCTGCTACTTCTTGATCCAGGGAGACAATTCCTCTGCGGTTTGAGCAGCTCTCACAGGATAGTGCTGGCTGAATCCCAGGCTTGTGTTGGCTGCTGCACTCCCTGAGGATGGCACTCTGAGGGCACTAAAGGGTTTCCCGTGTCGTCCTACTTTGTTGACCACGTGTGCAGGCCACGTAACCGCCTTGCAAAAGGCTAAGAACTTGCTGCATGTGTAGCCTGTCTAGTTCAGCTGTCCTGTGGTTCTCATGACTCATGCAAATCTTCTTCAGAAATAATCGAGGAGATGGGACACTTTGTGAGGAACGTTCTTGAGACAACTATGTCCCCGTAAGAATTCATCTGGGGCACAACCCACACCAAAATAATGCTCTTTCCTTTCATCTGCTGTATGTAGGCACCTCAGCTGCAGCTAATCAGCATTTCAGGTGAAACCCGGTTTCCATAAACCTAATGTATGTGTCATACACGACAGTGGTATTTTGTGCAGCCTCAGGGAGATGCTTTCCTGCATTCCTAGGATCAAGTATGGTCATAGACCAAGTCAGGGCTGAGCATAGTTTAACACACCACTGACCACTCGTGCTATCCTGGGGCAGTTACTTAGGAATGTTGCCCTTAGCTTTCAGAGGATGTGTGCGCTGCCCAATACTGATTCCAGCGCAGTGAAATGGATTTTAGACTTCTGACCTCCAAAAGCTAATAAATGCTTGTTTCACAAGTCATCAAGTTTATGGTGATTGGTTATGGGACCACAAAAAACCAATACACCTGCGGCCAGGCTCACCTGCTTTTAAAAAGCCCGGTGGGTGCTAACATGGTTAAGGCCAGTCAGCGCTCCCTGCACATCAGCAGCAAGTCTGTGGCACTCAACCGTTCACTCCGTGCACTGAAACAACTCAATATGAACGGGCTGAGCGAGCTACCTGGCCACGCTCAACCCAAACCGGGAAAGGGAAGTGTCAAGGTACCGTGGTGAACATTTTGTCCAACTCTAGGAAAGTAAGCGTTTGCCTTGGTATTGAGTTTAATAAATAGCAAAGTGCATACAGATATTTACAACAGTTTCAAAGACAGAGACCCCCGGCACGTGGTCCCAGCAATCAACAACAAAACAGGCACTGGAATGATCCGTTTATGAATCCCTGGTTCTCCAAGCAGAGTTCACTGGCAATCGCTGGGAAGAAAAAAAAAAAAAAGGCAAAGTCCCTGCTGTCCCTCCGACTGCGCTCCGCCGTCGGCGCGGCCGCGGTCACTGGGTGCCGATGCGCAGTAGCTGCTCTTTGCCGTTTATTGTCAGCGACTTCAACTCGCCGTCCTCCTCCACCTCCACCCTCTCCTGGCCGTTCTCCACGACCCGCTTGGTGGTGATCTTCTTGCCGTCCACGATCTCGGTGGAGGTGGACACGGACTTGAAGCCGCCCGTGCCCCCGCTCCCACACGACACGGAGAAGGAAGACAGGCCTCCACCGCCCAGGGACCCGAAGGCAGGGAAGCCCGCGTCGAAGGAGGAGAAGCCGCCCCTGAACGCCGCCGGGAAGTCGCCGACGCTGGAGAAGAGCGGCGCGGACGCCCGGCTCCTGCTGCCCCGGGAGCTCCTCCGAGCGCCGAAGAAGAGGTTCTCCAGCGGGTCCCCGAAGAAGTCGAAGGAGAACGGGTCCCGGCCGCCGAAGAACTCCCTGAAGACGTCGGCGGGGTCGCGGAAGGTGAAGACGCACTCGAAGGGGTCCTCGAAGGGCCCGCCGCCCGCGCCGCCGCCGCCCACCCCGGCCTCGCCGCAGCGGTCGTAGACGGCGCGCTTCCTGGCGTCCGACAGCACCTCGTACGCCTCGGCCACCTGCTTGAACCGCCTCTCGGCTTCCTCCTTGTTCTCGGGGTTCTTGTCCGGGTGCCACTTGAGCGCCAGCTTGCGGTACGCCTTCTTGATGGCGTCGGACGAGGCGTGCCGGGGCACGCCCAGCACCTCGTAGTAGTCCACCATGTCGGAGGCCGCCCCGGCCCGCGGCCACGGCGCGGAGACCCTGCGAGGCGAGCAGCCCAGGGGCCCGGCCCGGGTGCCCGCGTGCCAGGCGACGCCGGGCCGTGCGAGAGCGGCGCCCTTTGTGACGTGGCCGCGTCCCATTGGCCGAGGCCGCGGCGGCCGCCGCATCCCAGAATGCCGTGCGCAGGGCCTGCGCCGGCCTCCCGGAAGCGCTCTGTGACGTCCCGCCGCGGGGTGGGGGCGGCGGTCGCCCAGGTGTCCCCAGGTAGGGTGGCGGGAAGGGGCGCTTAGGAGGGGCCGTGAGTCTGGCTGCCTGTCCCCTCGGCCTGCCGCGTGGACGGAGTGACGGCCGTGGGTTTAGCCCGGCCCTGGGTTTGAAGGGCAGCCGTGTCCGTTGTCCACGGTGCCGGTTCGCCGATGGTTTGTCCTCAGGATTCTTGCGCTTTTGTTAATGCGGGTTTTTCTCTGTCGCTGCTCCGACCATTTAAAAGATACAGGCAGACAAGAGTACGGATGAATCCAGTGCGCACTAACAAGTCGCACTGTTGTGAGGAAATAACTCAGAGTGAGAATGGCGCCCCCCCCCTTCTCTCTTCAGCATCTGCCTGTAGTAGGAGCGAGCTGGTTGCTCTGTCTTCAGTCTCTCGTGAGAGCCTTTGCAATACGCCGGTGTGCGCTTAGGGAATCAGAGGAGAAAACTCAGAAAGCGTCATTATTACGGAAATGGTTTGACTGCAAAACTGCCTGGGGATCCCCCGGATTCCCTGGCCGAGCCCCGAGAGCTGCTGGTCTGATGGGTCAAAATCATCAGAACCTGTGGGCCGTGTTCATGATGCGAGTCCGGGCGAACCTGAGGCGCAGCTGGCATTCCCACAAAGACCGTAGCGTGACCGAGGTTTTCCTCTGACATTTCTTGACGTCTGAGTTAACTTCAGTTTCTCTTTATTCTCTGTCGCCGCTATATGTTCTGCTTGGATAAACTGGGGTGCAACACACCAATTAAGGTCACTTAGTTCCAAGGGGAAAATGATTAACCAGTGAACTCTCTGATTTCACCACAAGAGATAACAGGTCTGCAGAGGCCACACTGTCTCAGCACCACAACCACAGAGCTTCTATCAGGCTGAGTGGCTGAACTTGAAGCTTTGAACTTGACACTTGGTAAGGAAGCAATGAACTGTAGGAAAGTACAGAGCACCCTTTGGGAAGGGCAAGCAATCGAGAATGGAGGGTGAAGGGCAGAGACAGGTGGAGAGAAGTGAGTGTGGACAGGTGGACTGGGGGTCTTTGAAGGGAGTCCTAAGGCCAGGACCACAGGGGCTGAGTTTTCCTCTGGGCCCCGGGAAGCTGCTTACCAAAGTGTCGGAAGTGGTAGTGGAGAGGGGAAGTGCAAGGGGCAGCTGAGTGGGAAATGATAGCTGGAGGTGGGGAGACGGGCAGCTGGGGCCCTGAAACTGGACCATACCTGAGAGATAGTGACGGAATGTTCCGGTCAGCACTTGCTTGGATTTAGGGCCCAGAGCACAGAGAGGGAGTGAAGTCCCCTCTACATAGAAACCTGCTGAGTGCTTACTGTCTGCAAAACCATGTTCTGGGGCCTGTGTGAGCGATTCCAGAGCCCAGACCCTGCCTGTAAGCAGTAGATGCCTCTCTCTGTAGTCTAGTAGCAAGAGCAGTTGTACAAACTGCTACCGGATACGAGGCACAACAGGAAACGAGAATGACAGTTCTGTTCCCACAGGAGATGCCCATAGATGACCCACGGGGCAATGACTGTGTCTAGGTTGCTCCTTTAGTAACAAATCCTTTCACTCTGCTATGATCCAAGAGCTAGGAGTATGCTGAGTGGTGGGGGCCTCTTCTGGCTTTAGCCTAAGAGGAGAGCGCCTCTTAGTGGATTCCAGCCATGCCCCAGCCGGCACTCCACTCTGCAGTAGCCCCAGTGCAAGACCGTGCCACTGCAGCGTTGTGCATTTCCCAGGACACCTGTGCTCCCGTACCAGAACAGAGCTCACCCTGCCCTGTAACTGCCTCGTTCTCTGTCTCTCCCTGCAGGCAGGGACTATTTCTAACCTGGTTTTCTGGCCCCAGCGCCTAGCACAGAGCCTGGGGTGCAGAAGTGCTCACATGTTCCCTACATATTTGTGAGTGAAGGGATTCACAATGGATTTTGAGTGTAGATCTGCTTAGGTTCTAGGAAGGAGGCTGTACTGGATTGCTTAGTCATGGCTGCCAGTCTGATTCATCTGGATTGATCTGCGTGACTCTGGATTTCCTGCAGTCCAGATCAGAAACAACATCTTCTGCATGTCTCAGCCTGTCTTCATTTATAAAATGGGAAAGTAGAGCCTGCCTCTACAGGACAGCTCTGAGGGATTACCAAGGAAGCGTTGTGATGAATTTAGCACCATGCTTGGCACATAGTACACACTCAGTATATTTGAATCCTTACTGTTTTTACCCAGCTCTCCCCTTTGCCTTCAACCCGGTCATCAGAATTTTCCTGAACCTTGGGTTCCTATGAGGAATACAATTTAACTTGCTTTAGTGTTTATCTTGCGAGTACTTCAAAACATTTGTGGAAAACAGAATTGAAAGATAAGTTGTTTGTGGTGCGAAAAGTTTTGAAATTCACGCATACAAGGATCTTCATAAAGTTCATGGAAAATGCATATTGCAGATTTAAAAAACTATGCACCCAAAGAAACTTATCTTTCAATTCTGTTTTCCCACACTTTTGTTTTCAAGTTCCTTCGTATTTTGGCTTTCTGTTTAGAGAATGTTCTTTCTGAGCGATTGCAGATCTGTCTTTGGAGAAGGCTGGCATGCATGTCCTCTCAGAGTTCCCTCTCTGGTCGTCCTCTACCCGGGTATGCCCCAGCCCTGTGCCGCCTCGTCGATTCCAGTCGTAGGCATCGCAGTCTCCAGGGTGCCCATTTGTGCAGTCGGTGAGTCTGATCCTCCTGGTGGAGCGTGAATGCTGAGGAAGCAGGAGACTCTTAGGTGGTGGTCCCAGTGCTGTGCCAGGCTTGATAAATATTCGTTGAAGAATGAGTCAAAAATGATGCCAAGCGGTGATGCAGAGCCCTGAGTGAGATGTGGAGAAGGGTATTGGTGAAGGTCTCCATGGCCGAAGAGGAGTTGCACTGTCTTGTTCTTTTCTTTCTAGAAGTCTTTCTAGAAAACGGTCATTTCTGAAAGGGAAGTCTGATTTGTCACCACATAGTCGTTTCCCCTCTCTGGTGGCACTTTTTGACTGAGGAAAGTACTAATTTAATAGACCCAAAGGTTCTGGAGGAAGTTTGCTTTCTGTGGCCACTCAAGAATCTGAATCAGTCAGTTCAACTGTGACTGCCCATTAAAAAGCCCAGCAAACCACCGTCTTCATCTCGACTTCCTGCTGCTCGAGCAGCTGGCTTTCGCCATGTGACACAGTCAAACATTAACTTGTTGGGTAGATTGGTTCTTGCAACATGTGAGCAGGAGAGAACAGGCGCACTCTGGCAGGAGCAGAGGCAGAGCACCATGGTCACAGGGTGCCAGGACCCACATCGCCTGTCCGTCCTGGGCCTGCTGCTGTGTGTGCTCAGCCCCAGCGTGGCTCATGCCGCCAAGCTGCTATTGGTCCCCATTGACGGCAGCCACTGGCTGAGCATGCTTGGGCTCATCCAGCAGCTCCAGCAGAGGGGACATGAAATAGTGGTCTTAGCGCCCGACGCCTCAGTGTTCATAAAAGAGGGAGCATCTTACACCTTGAGGAAGTACCCCGTGCCATTCCAAAGGAAGGAAGTGGAAGAAAGCTTTATCGCACTCGGGCGTAACTTTTTTGAGAATGCTCCTTTCCTGCAGCGTGTGGTGACAACATACAAGAAAGTCAAAAAGGACTCCGCTCTGCTGCTCTCTGGCTGCTCCCACTTACTGCACAACAAGGATGTCATGGCCTCCCTGGCGGAAGCCGGCTTTGATGCCGTGTTGACTGACCCTTTCCTTCCTTGTGGCTCCATCGTGGCCCGCTACCTGGCTCTGCCCGCCGTGTACTTCTTGAACGCGTTGCCGTGCAGCATGGACTCCAAGGCTACCCAGTGCCCCAGCCCTCTGTCCTACGTGCCCAGGATCTTGACCGTTAGCTCGGATCGCATGAGCTTCCTGCAGCGCGTGAAGAATGCGCTCGTGGCCTTGATGGAAAACTTCCTGTGTGATGTGGTTTATTCCCCGTATGCATCGCTTGCCTCGGAAGTCCTCCAGAGAGACATGAGTGTCCAGGAGCTTATGAGCTCTGCGTCTGTCTGGCTGTTGAGAGGCGACTTCGTGAAGGACTACCCCAGGCCCATCATGCCCAACATGGTTTTTGTTGGGGGGATCAACTGCCTCCACAGAAACCCACTGTCCCCGGTGTGTATGTGAGTAGGCCTCTGTTCTTGCAAGCGCACTGTATGGATGAGCTTGCTGAATGAGTATGCTGAGGTAGTTTAAAGTGACCTGGTTAATTTCTGCCTTGCAAGTCTTCTGGGCCTGAGCTCGTCTGTCTTTGGCATCATCTTCTGGCTTATTTCTTTGTAGCCTCAGGTACAAAGTATATTTTGATATTTTTGATATTTTGCTGTGTGCTCCAGTGGATAAAGATCAGTTGGATGCAACAGGCATTATCTGCCGTGAGCACAGCAGTGTGCGGCGGGCACCTTGATGGGGTCAGGTAGGCAATATTTGAGGTTGATGAAATAGTTGTTTGATATCTATAGATTCTGGCAAGGAAAGTCGTTTTGATGGTCCTGGTTACGGCTGCAGTTTCCAGATCAGGGGCGGGGAATGTCTGGCTGCAAAATCATTTGGTCTGGCCCTGCCAAGGCAACTGCAGGCAGGCCTTGCAATTCAGTGATCCAGCAGAGCGATCTTTAAGTTGACAGTGTTGCATGGCTCGGGAACGATGTTATTAATATCCTAGTGGCTTCTTAGAAAAAGGTTCCCCACCCCTGTTCGAGACGCTCTAGTGGGTGGCTAGATCCTGCAGTTCTTTCCTCCTAATGAGTGAATTGCCCAACTCTCAGGTTGTGACACCGGGCAGAGTCACCTTCCCAGAAATGATAATACATTAATTTCTCCCTCCCCAGATTTCGAAATGTACAAAACATGGCATTCACACCCGCTTCTAAATCTCCTTGAATTTAGTAGAAAGTGAGCAGGAGAGGCATCTTCAGATGGTAGGGGAAGGACTCTCTGGAGGGGGACGTTTCAGTGGCCCGTCATTCCTTTATTCTTCGGATATTTGTCGAGGACCTCCCAGTAGCCCAGGCACTTCCCAGCTGCTGAGTCTGGCTCCTACTAAGGGGCTGTTCTCGCCCGTGGAGACCACTGGGCCTTATTTCTGTGGCAGTCCCAGCCGTGTTCTAAATGATTGTGTGATTGGCGAGGAGAGACGGCACCAGCGAGAGCGCCACGTGAGGAATCAGACGCTGGGCTGCTGCCTGTGCTCCACTGCCTTGTGACCAGATTCCCCTTCTGTGGGCTTCGAGCCTTCATTTGTAATGTGAAGCAGGATCCTATGACCCTTCAGGCATCTGACTCTGTGGCTCTGGCACCCCACAGGCTGTTGCACAGTGTGGTTGGATGGGGTGGTCTGGTTAAGAAAGGAGGTGCTGGTTTCCTGGAAGTAAGATGAGAAAACCCAACAGTACAGAACACCATTAGTGGTTCTCTCTCAAGTAGAGGGCAAGGAATGGTGAGCTACCACCAAGCCAATGAACACCTCTCAAAACAAAGGACAGAGACGGGGCCAGCGTGTCCACATTGGAGAAGTATTCAAGGGGAATATTTTTGACACCATCATGAAGGATCCAAGAGAAAGTCGTTGTGTTTCACATTCACTCTGAAACTTAAGACATTGGAGATGTGCATGCATAATGGACATTCTAATCAAAATGGGAGAAGTCATCTGTAAATCTGGTGGGCATTCCCCAGCTACACTGGCCTTCTGCCTATTCCTGGAACATTCCAGAATCTTTCCCAGTTCAGAACCCTTGAGCATGCTGTTCCCTGAGCTAGTTAGATGTCCACCTTCTCATGTTCCAGGACAGCTTGAATGCTACTTCCTTGCAGAGCTGCCCTCTCTAACCCAGCACTCTCACTTCCCTTTGCAGCACATTCGGTGCTTCAGTCAGCGCATTTAGACCATTGTCCACTGACTGTGTCCTGCACTCCCTGGGCCATGGTCAGGGCAGCTGTGGTTTTGTGTCAGTCACATCTGCTGTGTGCAGCACTCTCAACACCTGCGCCAGCTCTGCAATGCTTGGAGTCCCTTAAATGTTAGCACCCAAGGCAGTGGGCACTCAGCAAATAGTGGCTAAATGAAGGAATACAAACAGATAATATGTAGTTGGGACTGGTTCCTGGAGACTTAGTAAACCCCAATGATTCTTTATTCTCCTACATATATATATATATATATACACACACACACACAGCATTTTTGTTTGTTTTACAAAATTTGGTAATAATATAGGTCCCTATTGCTCACTTATTAATACATCATGAGTATTGCTCCTATTCAAAATATGAGTCAAATTTTTTAACTGTTAAATAACCTTTATGGCGTTTATGTGCCACAGGTTTTTCTGCTGGCCATCTGATCTAGATACCTCTGAAACACACTGAGATTTCTGTTCCAGGACTTTGTCATTGTGACTTCGAAGATCATAATGAAGATTAGTATGTTAGAGTTTTCTTCATATTTGTTGTTTCTTACTCCTTTTTTCTGGTTCTACCTTATTCTTGTTTACAGTTTTTTGGTCACTACTGTGAATGTGTCATTTCTCCCATTTCTGTCTGTAGCTGGTTATCACTATTTTTGTTTCTAGCCAGTTCCTCAGTATTCAACTATTTCACCAGAATGTTGATTTCCATATTTTTTAAAAATTCACATGCAGTCATTTGCTGATAAAGGAATTTTGGCTCCTTCGGTGGTAAACTCGATGCTAAATGTCAGTGTTGCCGAGTTCACTGGAATTTCTAGAAACCATTGCATAACTCTGGTGGTAGCAAGGGTTCTTTGAGTGGAAATTAATTTTTATGTTGTCATTTTGTGTTTGCCTTTTGTTTTGGCAAGTAGCCTTTATGTATTTAAGGTGTTTGTGGGAGAGACTGCTGAACTTTATCGACTGTCTTTCTGACATTTATTAATGTAATGATAATACCCCCTACCCCACAGATTTGTCCAGGTGGTGAATTATATTGACTGCATGGTGATTGCCACCTTGTTTAGTGCAAGCAGGCTTATGTGTGGAAATGTCTTTGTAAATTGCACCTGATAGGAACCCTCTTTGTCTTGTTTAATGTTTTAATCAAGAATTCTACTTTTCTGATATTGATATCAATACCCCTGTATTATTTTTGTTTATAGTTCTCTATAATCCCTTTGTCTTCAGATCTTCTTTTTCTTTCTTTTTAAACAACACAGAGCAGGTATTTTTAATCTGGCCAGAGTTCTTTACTAGATGAATTTTATCTGTTTGGATTTTCTGGCCAATTGACCCGATTATAACTCTCCCAAGCTCTTTGAGTCTCATTGTGTTTGCCATGTTTCCTTTTCCTAGTTTTTGCTGGCTTTTCAATTTATTGTCTCTCTTTTCCCCTGTGTTCATTAAACAACAACAACTGCTACTCTACACTTGGATTCCCCTGGGGGTGATCTTCCAGTCTCAACAACACTCACTTTAAAAGTCCTGAACTTCAAAAATAAAGATAAAATTCCTATTTCATAAGAAATCCCATAGAGAAAGCATGGCCTGCCATGAGATGAGTCTTTGACGTGTCCAAGTGACATTGAGAGGAGAGATGAAAGTGGAGGATTCCAGGATGTCGGCCCCATCAGGGTGTGGGACCATCTCAGCTTTGAGAACAGCCAGGCACAGCATCAGCAGGGCCAGAGACCTCAAGATGAGGAGGAGAAGGAAGCAGGTTCCGGGGAGCATGGGGTGTGTGCAGGGAACTCGAGTGCATCGTGGGACAGCAGCATGCTTCCAACATGTTGTCTGAGTGCTACAGAAAGATTCTGGAAAAACCATAGACATTTGCGAAGGGGAAAATCTATTAGGAAGTCTGAACTGAAAACGCTGAACTCACGGGAGAACTGAGGAGCCATCTGAAGTCTCCCGTTGGGTGGGGAAGTTTCAGCAGCGCACAAGGATTGCACCATATTTGGACGCAGATGAGCCAGGGGTGGGGATCCAGGGTTATCCAGTGCTTCCTTCTTTGGCTATTCCAGGGTCTGTAAAGTCAGGGCAAGAGGTACGAGAAGTTTTGCCAAGTAGGGAATGGACCTTACCTTTATTGAGCCCCATAAAACCTGGCCCAGACCTAGATGTTGGCCATGATAATCTCCTCACGTCCCTGCCCTCCTCCCTAGACGGACTTGTGTGCCACCTCACCCTCAGCCAGCTCCTGCTGTTGAACTTGGCTCCTGATGGACCTACAGGCTCCATTTTATCTTAGTCACATCCTGCTGGTTGCCGAGTGGGTGTGGGAGTACGCCCGTGGAGGGGAGATTGGCGTGGCCCTTTCCAAAGTAGGAGCAAAGGTCCTGGGAGATGCAGGCGAGTCCATTACCACCACCCTGGGGAGGGAGCTTAAGGAACCCTGGAAATGAGCCACCTCTCCCAGGGGAAAGGGTGGGGGGGGGAGCATGGGGATGCAGATCCCGGGGAGGAAGGGCTGTGGAAGAACCCCAAGTGCAGTGTGATGGCAGAGAGGATGACCCTGGCCTCCGTGGCCTTTTCAGATAAGCCCGATGCAGAAAGACCAAGACCTGCTGCCATGAGCCCGGGCACTCCAGAGGTTCTGGGGCTGGGGAGGGTAGGTGGCAGAGAGGACTTTTCTTGGGGAGGTCTGGACAGTGTTTGGGCTCTTCTGGTCAGGTTCAGCATCAAGCTTGGCAGAAATGTCTGAATTGTGCAAGCTGAGCCCTGTCTGAAGTCTCCGATATCTCACATCTGGCGGTGACCAGTGGCCTAGGGGCTTGCCCAGGAGTGTTGATGTTTTAGCAGTCCAAGTACCATGTCCCAGGGAGACACTTGGTTCTGGACAAGCCTTGCCAGTCGCACAATCTCATTAATGCCCTGGACATTCTTTGGAATCACACAAAACCACCTGGGAGACTCCCTGGGGTTAATTAGACCAGTAATGACCTACAACTGGGGAAGACATGCCACACTTACACCTTGCTCTGTCTCCTCTCAGCGGACTTGGCGCACGTGCAAGTGCCTGCCTGTTTTTCTTTTGGGCAATTAGCACGGTATCTGGGCTCTGTAATTGCAGTCAAGGGAGAACCCCAGCAATAACTAAGCAAGAAGCCTTCCTCCTCTGCTGGAGAAAAATTTTTCTTAATTTATTTGAAAGAGACAGAAGACACACAGACACATCTCTCATCTGCTGATTCACCCCACAAATGCTCACAAGAGCTGGTGCTGGGCCAGGCTGAAGGCAGGAAGCAGGAACTCAATCCAGGTCTCTGAGGGTGGAGGTAGGTGCTCCTTAGTAAGAAGGTAGAATGGTGCGGAGCAGTGACTCAAACCCAGGCACTCTGCCATGGGACGCAGATGTCCCAAGTGGTGGCCTCACAACAGCATCGAATGCCCCCCCTCCAGCTTTCCTCTTCTGGAAGGGAGTAAGGGAGTGGGAGATGCTACAAAACACACTACTGATTTTTGTTTCTCTTTTTAAAAAATTAATTTATTTTTAAAAATATTAAGGTGAACACATTTCATAGACACAGATTTAGAAACTTAGTGATACTTTCCACCTTATCCTCCCTCCCGTAACGCTCCTGCCCTTCCTCTTCCTTCCTCTCTTATAATTTTTGTTTCTCTCTCTCTCTCTCTCTCTCTCTCTCTCTCTCTCTCTCTCACACACACACACACACACACACTTCTAATCACATTCTTAAGAGGAAGATACCTAATTCATAGCTTAAGGTCTGTGGTTCCCAAATCAAACCAGGTGTTCTTCTTTGCCTCTAGGAATTTGAAGCCTACGTCAATGCTTCCGGAGAACATGGAATTGTGGTTTTCTCCCTGGGGTCCATGGTGTCTGAGATTCCGGAGAAGAAAGCTATGGAAATTGCAGACGCTTTGGGCAAAATACCTCAAACGGTAAGACAGTTTTATATGGCTCCCTCGTCTCCATACTCATAGGCATTCAAACCAGAAACTTCCAGTATCTATAAATGAATTCCCTTACAGGTCAGCATCCCTGATCCAAAAACACAAGATCCCAAATGCTCCAAAATCCCAAACTTGTTGAACACTAACATGATGCCACAAATGGAAAATTCCACGCCTGACTTCATGTGTGAGGTCACAGTCCAGGCTCAGGTGCACTGAAAATATTGCATAAAATCACCTTGAAACCATGTGTGTCAGGTGTACACAAAGCGCAAGTGACTTTCATGTTCAGACCTGGGTCTCATCTCCAAGATAGCTTGTCGCACCTCGGAAAGTATTTCAAAATCAGAAACACTTCTGTCCCCAGACACAGAGGAGGAGTGAGCCTCACCTTGTAGTTGGAAACTTAGACTTGATTTTCTCCTGCCTCTTCCCAGTTATTAGCCCAGAGTTCAGTTTTGTTAAGATCATATTATGATTAAGGCATTTCACGATCTTACCTTTCATATTTTTTATTTTTCCTATTTAAAAATTTTAATTTTACATATTAATGGGGTACAGAGGATAACACATGTATTCAGTCTGTGAGGATCAGATAAGGTTAGTTAACATTTATACTTCCTTAAGAAATTAAAAGCATTTATTTATTTAGAAAGACCGAGAGAGAAGGAGAGAGAGAAAGAGAGATCTCCTATCTGCCAGTTCACTCCCCAGATGGCTGCAACAGCCAGGACTGGGCCAGACTAAAGCCAAGAGCTGGGAATTTAATCCAGGTCTCCCACATGGATGGCAAGGACCCAACGACTGGAGCCATCGCCTATTGCCTTCCATTAGCAGGAAGCTGGAGTGGAAAGTGGAGCCAGGTACCCTGCTGTGGGCTGTAGGCATCTCAAACAGTGGCTGAATCTCTGTGCCAAGTGCTTGCCTCTTCTTATGCATTTAAAAACCATTTGGGGGCCAGCGTTGTGGCACAGTAGGTTAAGCCACTGCCTGTGGTGCTGGCTTCCCATACGGGAGTGCCAGTTCAAGTCCTGACTGTTCTGCTTCTGCTCCAGCTCCCTGTAAATGCACCTGGGAAGGCAGCAGAAGATGGCCTAAGCGCTCAAATCCCTGCTGCTCACATGGGACACCTGGACAGAGTCCCAGGTTCCTGGCTTCAGTCTGGCCCAACCAGGCTGTAGTCTTCTGCGGAGTGAACCAGCAGATGAAAGACCCCTCTGTGTCTCCATCTGTGTCACACTGCCTTTCAAATAAATAAACCTTCAAAAATGTTTTTTTAACTAATAGTAACTGCAGATATTTCAACAAATATATACAGTATCTCCTGATCATATTGAGGAGTTAACGACCACTCCTTGTCCTTAATCTGGCACCTTTGAACTCTGTCTACTCACCTGTAATGGGTGATTATGACCTGGAGTCGCCCCTGTGCTGTGTGGCACTAGAACTTGGGCCTCTTATCTATTTCCAGAACCCACGATCCTGCCTCCCTGCATTTGCCCTCCTAACTTTCCCAGCCTCTGGTAATCGCTGGTCTGTGTTCAGATCTGCTCTTCAGAGCATCCACGTATGAGGGAGAACAGGCAGTGTTTACCTTTCGGTGTCTGGCTTATTTCATTTAGTGCAACATCCTGCCATCCTGTCCGCTAGGATTTGCAACTCTCAAGGACTCCAGTAAGCTGTGGTCCACTTCAGTTAGGAGTCTCATCTTCTCTATGAGACTCGCAAGTGTATTACGGAGAATTTATTTAAAAGAAACTGACTTCCCTCATACTAAGTAGAAATATTTCTTTTAAAAGTTGTTGGTTAGAAAACTGGATTTATTCCTACATTTCGGCTTTTACAGTTCTGCATCCACCTGTTTCATTACCCTAGAAGTGCAGACGTGGGGAGACCTCAGAAGTACACAGCCAGATGAATTTTCACAGGTTCGCCCAGCATACCCTTGAACCAGCCCTTCAGACCAAGAATGTTGCCAGCCCGTGGAAGCCTTCCTGGTCACCAGACTGCCCGCCTTTCTGTGTTCATTCAAGGGACCCATCTTTCTAGCTACCGTAGCAATTAAAAAAAAAAAAAAAAAAAAGTCCTGTGTTCTTTCTTTAAGCCCTGTTCTTTTGTCCCTGCAAGGTCTTGTGGCGGTACACCGGAAGTCGGCCATCGAATCTTGCCAAGAACACGATCCTTGTCAAGTGGCTACCCCAAAACGATCTGCTCGGTATGTTGGCTGGATCTGGCATGCAGGTCAGACCAAGCTTAAGACACTGGGCTAGGCACAGCAGTTGTAAAGGGTGGTTTAGCCTGAAAACAGCATGGCCACTACCTCCCCCAGGCCTTTTTGTCTGGTGGGGTGTCTCCGCCCACACGTTCTTCTGCGAATGTTGGCACTGGTGGCATAAGGACAGCGGAGTCCTTACAGTGCTTTCAAAGTCTACACTGTGTCAGACTGGGAAACCGTGACGTAACTGCTGGCATCCCTTCCTGCCTTGCTTCTCAGGTCACCCGAAGACGCGTGCCTTCATCACGCACTCCGGCTCCCACGGTATTTATGAAGGAATATGCAACGGTGTCCCCATGGTGATGCTGCCCTTGTTTGGCGACCAGATGGACAACGCGAAGCGCATAGAGACCCGTGGGGCTGGAGTGACCCTGAACGTCCTTGAAATGACCTCTGATGACCTAGCGAATGCCCTAAAAACAGTCATCAATGACAAAAGGTAAGAGATATGTACAGGGCAATGCTCCCTGTATTTTGGCCGTGATTTTAATGATAAATATTCTAGGGTAAAAACAAATACATAAAAGTCTAGATTTATAAATAAGATCATGTGGGTGATGTTATTATTCACTTTATGAAAGGATCCTTTGGTTCCTGTGTAATTATCAGAATAGCTATATATTATCAGAATATTTATATATTATCAGAATGTATTTAAAATTTTATTTCCCATGATTGACTTAAAAATGCAATTTATAAAAATTAATGTCACCATGATGGACATAAGGTTCTGCAAAGAGAGAAGCACTCAACTACAAGAGCATAGAGTTCACAAGAGAAGAACACAGAGGGGCTTAGAAGTGCGACTTTCCCCAGAACCGGAACTCATGAGAACTTTGTCCATGGGAGTTTATAAAGAGGGAAGTCATGTGATATCACAAAGGCTTAGAATAAGAGCAAAGGCAAATTTGTTCAGATGTGGCCCCGAAAACTGTTTATAGACAGCTGTCATCAGAGCACATTGTCCTTGCATAAAACGTATCACACGGCCGTCAAACTCACTGTGAACAGGCTCATCCACACCTGGGAAGAACTGGTGGCCGTTGGGGCATTTCGTCCAACAGCAGTGTGTGTGTGCATACATTTGTGCATGTTGCGTGTGTGTACATCTGTGTGTCCGTGCATGGTGTGTGTACATCTGTGTGTGGACACATAGTGTGTGTGCCCAGCATGTGTGTGGGCATCTGTGTGTGTGTGCTTTTGTGCATGCATGTGTGTGCATTTATGCATGTGTGCTTGTGCTCACGAGATTGCCAGGTGCATTGTCTGAGCCCGTTTGGTTTGCTGTAACAGAAGAGCTGAGGCTGGTTGATTTAGACATAAAGCTTTATTTGCCTCACTGCTCTAGGGGCTGCAGTCCGAGGTTGGGGGGCTGTGTTTGTGAGGGCCCCGTGCTGCCTCCTCACACGGCAGAAAGGGAGGTGGGCAGGCAGCTGTGTGTGGAAGAGCAAGACGTGAGGGTTAGCTCGCTTCACAGCCACCATGCTCGTGGGAACCAGTCCAGCCCAGGGCAGACGTCAGTCCCTCTTAGTGACTCAGTCCCCTCTGAAAGGCTCCACACCTCTCATCGCCACTGCACTGGGGATCGAGGTCAATGTGTGAACCGTGGGGACACGTTCACACCACAGCAGCCCGTCACTCATCATGGCTTCCTTTGGAAAGAGACATCAGTGAGGCTGGTGTTGTGGCATGGCAGGTGAAGCTGCCACCTGGGATGCTGGCATCCCTTATGAGTGCTGGTTCATGTCCTGGCTGCTCCACTTCCGATCCAGCTCCCTGCTAATGCACCTGGGAAAAGCAATGGAAGATGGCCAAAGCGCGTGGGCCCCTGCCACCTACATGGGAGACCCAGACCCATTTGAATCTCCAGGTTCCTGGCTTCAGCCTGTCCCAGCACTGGCCATCATGGCCATCTGGAGAGTAAACCAGAACCAGCAGATGGAAGACCTCTCTCGCTCTCTCTCTCTCTTTCTCGCTCTATTTCTCTCTCTCGCTGTCTCTCTCTCCCTCTCTCTTTGTAGCTCTGACTTTCAAATAAATAAATCTTAGAGGGAGAGAGAGACATCAGTCAGGAGATGTGAAAACTGGGACTGTGGTGTGTGATGCCGTTGGGTAAGAAGGGAAAGTCCACATAGTTCAGGGTAAGTGCCCAGGGAGGCGGTGTGAGCCTCTGCCCCTCATTCTGGTTGTGCCTTCTGCACGCCTGGCCTAGCGTCGTGCAGCACTGCTCATATGTCCAGCGGGAGACCTGACCTCTGCCCTGGTGCTGACAACACTCGTTCTTCAGGTTCACGTTGTTACTGTAATTATGATCCATTGTTCAGTGACATAGCTGGTAACCTAAAAGTGACTTGGTAGAGGTTCTCCAGGATGTTATTATTTCTTGAAAACTCTGACCAATCTGCTTAGGTCATTGCCTAACTTCAGCAATTCATTTTTTTTTAAGATTTATTTATTTATTTGAAAGGCAGAGTTGCAGAGAGGCAGAGGGAGAGAAAGAAAGAGGGAGAGAGAGATCCATCTCCTGGTTCACTCCCCATTTGTCCACAATGCCAGAGCTGCGCCAATCCGAAGCCAAGAGCCAGGAGCTCCTTACGGGTCTCCCGCATGGGTGCAGGGGCCCAAGCACTTGTCTCATCTTCTGCTGATTTCCCAGGCCATAGCAGAGATCAGAAGTGGAGCAACTGGGACTCGAACCGGTGCCCATGTGGGATGTTGGCATTGCAAGTGGCAGCTTTACCTGCTACGCCCCAGCCCCAGTCATTCATTTTTGAATCATCTTTATCTGATTGTGGATCTCCATGACCCAACAGTCTTAGCTGGAACTGTCCTTACTGAAAATGAAGAGAAATGGAAACATTTCAAAACACTTTTCCTAGAACACCAGGCCATCGAAGGTGCTCAATAAACTTAGAATGAATGAGCCAGAGTTCCAAGGAACTCTACCTTAAGAGAAGACTTACATAAAAAGAAGACGTATCCAGCATGGGTGGCCAGAGGCTAACGTTGCATGACAATAGTGCATCCGAATAAAAGTACTGCTGTGTCCCAGGACGGCTTGGTCTGCACCAGGCCTGCCATCCAGTACTCAGTCTCCTCCTTCTCTTTTCCTTCCTCTCCCCTCCCTCCCTCCTCCTCCTCCTCCCCTTCCTTCTCTCACTGCAGCGATACCAAGGGTGGAAGCGAATCCATCTTGGATTTAGATGTTCTTATTCAGCTACCAGCACTCTCCAAAATAAACGGGGAGCCGTGTTGCATTAGCAGGCTGTGCAGACGCGGCCTCCTGCTGCCTTTTGCACTGGGATGGCAACGACTGAACTGAGCGTCTGTTGCCGCCTTGGAGTCTAAGTCTGCAGGTCAGCTTTGGCTTTGGCCACACAGGATTGCTGGCGAGTGCCAGGGAGACCAGCCTGCATTTCTGCCATGGCCTTCCCTTTATTTTGAAGTGTAATCACTTATATATGTTACTATAAAACAAAATTTCCTGCACAATTCTGATTTCTTTGCTCTACTGCAAAGAAAGTATAATCTAATTTCTGACAAAAATGGGAAAGAAGTCGAAAACAAGGTTCAACTACTGTTTTAAAAAAAAAGATTTTTTTATTTGAAAGAGTTATAGAGAAAAGGAGAGAGAGAGAGAGAGATATCTTCCATCTGTTGGTTCATTCCCCCAGATGGCCATAATGGTGGGGGCTGAGCCAGGCCAAAGCCAGGAGCCAGGAGCCTCACCCAGGTCTCCCATGTAGGTGCAGGGACCCAAGTACTTGTTGCGGGTGACAGCTTTGCCTGCTACGCCAAATGTCAGCCTCTCAACCACTTTTAAATTAGAATTTTGGGGGTGACGCTGTGGTGCAGCGGGTTAAAGCCCTAGCCTGAAGCACTGGCGTCCCATTTGGCTGCCGGTTCTGGTCCTGGCTGCTCCACTTCTGATCCAGCTCTCTGCTGTGGCCTGGGAAAGCAGCAGAAGATGGCCCAAGTCCTTAGGCTCCTGCACCTGCATGAGAGACCTGGAGGAGGCTCCTGGCTCCTGGCTTCGGATCGGAGCTTTGGCTGTTGCGACCATCTGGGGAGTGAACCATCTGATGGAAGACCTCTCTCTCTCTCTCTCTCTCTCTCTCTCTGCCTCTCCTCTCTCTGCCTCTCCTCTCTCTGTAATTCTTTCAAATAAATAAATAAATATTTAAAAAAAAAGAATTTTGGCTTCTAGTTTCTTTTGTTTGTTCCTCTTGTATATGTTACCTTCCCTTTTCTTTCCTTTTCTTTCCTTTCTCTCTCTCTCTCGCTCCCTTTCCCTCTCCCCCCCCCCCGCATTCATTAAATTCATATAAATTCTATTTATTCTTTTTGGAGATACAGAACATTTATTGTGTGTGTGTGTGTGTTCTGGTTGTAATAAAAACAGTTTGGAGAAAATCCGGTAGCATTTCTAACTGGCAGCAAGCATCCAGGGAGAGTGGTTCATTGCCATGGTGTTCCAACGCTAACACAACCATCTGTGTGTTCAGTTACAAGGAAAACATCATGCGCCTCTCCAGCCTGCACAAGGACCGCCCTGTGGAGCCGCTGGACCTGGCCGTGTTCTGGGTGGAGTTCGTGATGAGGCACAAGGGGGCGCCGCACCTGCGGCCAGCCGCCCACGACCTCACCTGGTACCAGTACCACTCCCTGGACGTGATCGGCTTCCTCCTGGCCATCGTGCTGACCGTGGCCTTCGTCACCTTTAAGTGCTGTGCCTTTGCCTGGGGGAAGTGCTTTGGGAAGAAGGGGCGGGTGAAGAAAGCACACAAGTCCAAGGTGCACTGAGAAGTGAGAGGGATGCTGGGTGAAGCTTTGATCCACTCCCAGCCCATTCCAAACTTGCAGAGGCAGTATAAAATTCGTTTGATTCTTGTTAAACAAATGCTTTGCCATAAATCAGACATCCCCACAACTTCTTTTTTGTTGTTTTAATTAAGTTGAGAAGACGACCTTTGTATATTTGGGGCACACTTGGAGCGGAAGAGTGTTGTGGAGCCCTGGAAAGCACTGTGTGATTTCTGGCCTTGGGGGAACAATGAAGCTGTTCAAATTGCTGGGTGCTGTCTGTGAGGGGATCATCCGTGATTGTGCCAAATGGATCTGAATATGAGCAAACCCCAAACTAGTGCCAGGCCCATGTATTTGCACAACTAAAATTTTATTAATAAATTTGTTTAATTTCTTACATGTTTTTCTCTTCATTGGTGTTGTGTTTATCTACAGTTGAATTACTTTTTCCACGTAGAAAAATAATGCAAGATCATGGCAAAATCTGAAAGACACACACACACACGCACACACACACTGCATGTGCACACCTGCACACACAGGAAAAGAAACATGCTAGGAATCCGAATCCCCTAGCCCAACAGAACTGCTGCTGCTCTCTTAGGAAACCCCGTGGAGACACCAGATCTGCTCCGTGTTGTCTGACATTCCTTTTCCACGGCCCTGCACTCTGTCCTCGCAGTGTTTGTGGACAGCATTTAATTCACTCTCGTGGCCAGGGGAGGCATGCCGTTGCACGGACAGACCAGGGCTTCCTTAGCCACGACTTCCGGTGGTTTCCCTTTCCTTGTCTTCTGTAAAAAGGGCTGCTCCACTGTCTTCGTAGCTGTGTCTGCGCAGTGCATGTCCTTTCCGTGGGAGGGAAAGTGTGTCACAACCTGCTGCTGGCTGTGTAGACGGGGTTCCCCTGATGAGAGGACCCCAGGTCCAGGAGGCGTTCATGTAAAGTGTGTTCATCTGCTTTCTGTCACTATAACAGCACCCGGGGCAGGCTGAGTTCGCACAGAAGTTTGTTTTGCTCACAGGTTTGGAGATTCAGGAGGATCACATTCGCTCACGCCTGGTGAGGGCTCCTCGCTGTCACTTCATGGCAGAGGGAGATGGCGGGACCCTGAGTGAGAGGAAGAGATCCTGTCACCCACAGGAAGCCAGGCAGGCTGGGTTCCTACCACCCGAGAACCTCCCATCAGGCTCCACTTAAAGCCCCGCCACTTCCCACCACCACACTGAGGACCAAGCCCACACGGGAGCCTTTGAGGGGTGCACCCATCCATTCCCAACGCCCAGCACCAAGGAAACACCGGTGGCGGTGGTGCCTCTCCTGTGGGCAGCTGGAGCTCAATCCTGCTGGGGGACTCAGAGCCAGCTGAGAACATGCAGCCTTATCCCACCCAACAAGCAAGGCTGTTAGATATCTGAACGCCTGGCTCTGTCAGTGACTGGCTGAGACCCACTCTCGGGACTGCTCGTTTCCTTGCACTGCCGGTTGGTCACCAAGGGGACTTTAAAAGCCAGAAAGAGCCTGCCGAGAGAAAGGCAGGTGGGCTGGAGGGGGGTGGGCCCATGTGCACCGAGGTGGGAGGAGCAGTGGATCTGGCTGGGGCACCCCTGGCTTTGCTGCCCTTGGCAGCTGACAGAAGACATTCCCAAGCTGCAGCCACAGAGTCCCTGTCAGTGTGCGGGAGCCGGGCTCCCACTCCCTTGTCACTGTGAAGTGCCGCCTTGAATAAGAAAGTCCTCAGTTTGATAGGCAAGAAGTGGGATCTCATTTGAAATGAGCTGTTGTTATTACAGTTGATATTTGCAAGCTTATGAACCAGTTGTATTTCTTCTTGGAGAATGCCCCTTGCTCATTTTTCCTGTTGGGGTATGTTAGCCTGAGTGCCTGTGGCGCTGATGAGAATTGCTCTACACCATCAATATTTTCCTACTTGTCTCCCTCGCCTTTAGGGATTTTTGTTGATTCTTGTGTTTTTGTTTGTTTGGCTTGGTGTTACAGATAGAAGATCTAAACCTGTAGGCTTCAAATTGCAGCTGAGGTCGCGGAGGGGAGCTGGGCTATCAGCCAGCCTCCCGACCTCAGGTCCTGATCCCGTTACTGCTTCCCAGAGGCTGGAGCAAAACCTGCCCACACCAGTTCCTTCCCGACACCTTGGAGGCTCCACGATGGTTCTTATAACTACATTCGCCCTCCTTCAGACCCTTCCTGGTCCACGCAGCGACCATCTCCTAGCCTCCCTGACCATGCCCTGTGAGGCCCCTCTTACCTCAGGAGCCCCCAAAGTGCTCATGACCTCACACAGCTCATACGCCTTTGAGTCTACAGCCCTCAGGCCTTCTTGTTTCTAAGAGAATCCAACTTAGCCCATCTTAAGCAATAAACCCAACGTTTTTGGAAGGAGACCGGCTTCCTGCCAACATGAGGCTCATATCCAAGTCTGTCCCTGTTTGCTCTGGGCGCCTGCTTGACTCTTTCCGCCTCTCAAGGCCTTTTCTGTTCCTCAATCCCCAGACCCCTTTTGTCCCAGCTCCCAAGACCCTATAAGACACTGACTATATCCTCTACCCAGAATTCCAAATGCCCAAAGATCTGATTGGTCCAGCTGGATCAGGTGTCCACTTCTTGTCCAATCAGGAATATTGATGAAGGGGTAACAGAGTGAGAACATGGCTGCCAGGACCCCATTCCTGTGGCCCCGTAGGTCGGGGAAGAAGGAACCCTGTGAGATGATGGGCAGAACCCCAAAATGTGTCCACTGCATGGAGGTTTCCTGAGTCAGCTTCTACACATATCCATTTTCTCATCCGTCTTGGCCCTTTCATGGGTTTGAGTTCACAGGTTTCTACAAACTCCATCTTTTCGTATTTTCCCATTAGTGTCCACAGAGGCTGAGGTGGGAAGCTCAGGAGAGTGACAGACCCTAGGAGAGGCCAATTCTGTGGATGAATTGTGAGTCTAATATTAATGTAACCATCAGGAGGAAAAAAGTATTTTCATTTGTGAAAACCAAGCAGAGCCCGTTCTTTGATTCCTACCCTCGTTACCTTGGGCTCCTCTCTTGATAATGTGTTCAGAGGCCCTGCACTTGTCATGACTCACGTACGCCCTCTGTGTCACACCAAAGTGGCCCCTCTCTCCGTCCCTCCTGACAGCCATGTGACTGTGTGCTTCCTATCAGGAGAAGGAATCTATGCCCGACCCCTTGAGGGCAGCATGACCTGGGACCTGCCTGGCGGATGGGACACGCTGATCCACCTGCCTGCAAAGGGCAAAACCAGGAACGCTGCAGGAGTACTGTGGGGGCCGCGTTGGGCATGGTATGCAAGAAGGAAGTTTTCTGAGCATCCAAGTCCCACCGAGTTCAAGTGGGCTGCTCCAGAGGGTGACCTGTCTGGCATCAGAGGCATCCAAGCAGGGGAACCCCCACTGAGCACGAAGGGCAGATTCTAAGTGGGCATTTTAACTGAGCAGCCTTCGACCCGGGTGGCTCTGAGTCCTGTAATGGACAGTGAGACGTCCCCAAGTCCAGTAGTTCTTGTTCAAACTACAGATCCGATCCTCATCTCAAAGACACGAGGGACAGAGAAATCCTTTGGGACTCACTTTGGTTTAAGAAAGCAGGGTCCCTACTCTCCTGTGTGTTGTTGAGTTTCTTTATCTTCTAAGTATTCTACCAGTGGGAACCCGCATCCTCATCCTGCTATTGGTTCAGTCCTTGGGGAGGAGGCCCCTCCCCAGGACCTCTCTGCTGCCCCCTCCTCTTCTCTCCACACCTCCCCAGCCTGGACCTGTGTGACTGCAAACCCAAGACCCGGTGGTGAACCACCCACCACTCACAGCATTTCCCTTTCCCAGATGGGCCACCGTACTTACACACACACACACACACACACGCACACACACGCACACACACGCACATACGTGCATCACCAAAATGTTCAGTTACAACAGGGGCTGGAGCTTTTGTCGCAGGGCCCTGGACACTCCATAAAACCGTGGGTAGACAGAGCCTCAGGGAGGCAGTTGGGTCTCAAAGTTCCAAGGAGCTGGGACCTAACGGTGGTGATTCTGATGACGCCTTCGCCCTGCCAGGAGAGCCAGTCCTTGGGAGGATCACGGCTGAGCAGCCTAATGGGCACGCGTGGACAGCCAGGTCTCCGCTGTCCACGTTTCCACTGATGTGTGTGAGGCAGAGAGCAGAGCTTTCTCGTGTGGTTGATTTCTGTTCCGTGCAGAAGAGGGCTCTGAGGAAAGGTCAGTGTGGAGCCCCTGGAGAGTTCTTAGGGGACTCCCGGGAGGAAAGAGCACAGGGTGGTGGACTTTGAGACCAGGGGGCCTTGGGGCAGGAGGAGGAGGGGTCTGGGAGCTTGGCGTCCTCCGTCTTGGCTTCTGTGCTGCTGTGGTCGGCCCGCGAGAAGCTGCTGCTACGCAGAGAGCCCCTGACAGGGATGAGCGAGCTGCTATGTGAGCATCCTTAGGCATCCACTTGCAAGGTCTAGAAAAGGAGAGAGGCTCTTCTTGGCTTAGGGTACCAGCAGCCGGGCAACAAGTCATCGTGAACTCAGCGATGCCCAGGGGCCAGGGGTCTGGCTTGCCTTTGCGGCTCCTCTGCCTGGGGTCTTGGAGCGGGGACCAGGGTGTTGGCTGGACTGCAGCACTCTCCGAGGCCCCAGCTCCCCTTCCACGCCGTGAGGTGGTTGGCATCGCTCAGTTCTTACGGTTGCAGGACCGAGGCCCCCAGTTCCTCACACATGCCTCCTTCATGGGCAGTTTGTGTCATGGCTACTTCCGTTTCAAGGCTGGAAGGATGTGTCTCTCCAGCCCGCTGAGACGGAGACTCGTGTTAACACCCGGTCAAAGACAGGTTTCTCATCAACAGTGCAGATACAACACCACCCGCTCAGGGGAGGGACCTCCCATCATCCCTGCCACGTTCAGTGGACCAAGCGGAAGGGCTTATGCAAAGCTGTGCGTGATGCGGGTCATCTTAGGTCAAGTGCTTTCCAAATCTCATTTCTCAAAGAGCTCTGGGACGAGATGACGGAAGTAGCGACAGATTCAGAGGAAGATGTGCCAGAGGAAATCGAGGACCTGAGCCCCCCTGACTTGGATCGCACTGGTGAGTCCATCATCCCCTTCTCCTCGTTCTCGCCCCACCTTGGTCCCAGCCTGGGACTGCCACCTGCCCAGTGGCCACCACACGACAGGAAACTAGAACAATGCAGGTGTAAGGGAGGCCAGAGGCCAGCAGGGCCCCTCCTGGGATGGCCCCCTCAGCTCTGCGCCTGGGCCGTCTTGGTTTCAGGCACTTTCCAACAAGTCACGAACCTCCTGGACATCATGGACAGTGAGCCAGCGACGACGGACACGACCGGGTCAGGTGTGGACCTGCGGAAGACCCTGGCCTCGGGGATAATCACGGAGAAGGCGGCCAGCGCACCCTCTGTGGTGATGAGCGCACTCATCCGCTGCCTGCAGGTGCCGGAGGTAGGGCCACCTGCACCCCGCCGCCAACCCACGTGCACTCACCGGGCATCACGGCTGCTGGGTGCAAGACTGGGAGGAAGGTGCTTACCCCTTGAGGGCCAGTGGAGGGCTGTGGCTCCCACAGGTTTCAGAAGTCCCTTGTCACCTGATCCGGTGTCTGGGAGTCGTGGACCTAGGCACAGGAGCTGAGCTGCAAGATACTGAGCAGGTGCCAGCCAGGTGGGCATGGCGGGTGATGTCCCACCTGCCGCTGCGGATGGGGCGCAGGGCCAGCGGTATCGCTGGAGTAGGGGTAGAGGGTGTGGGAGGGAGGGTGGGACGGATCACTGGAGATCCTGGTGGGCTTGGAGCACCCCCCCACACACAGTTTCCGCTCCCAAAGGGCCTGCGGTGGGCCCAGAGAGTCAGCATTCCCGGCGAGACCCCAGCGAGGCCTGTGCTGCCGGGCTGCAGGCCACACTTCGGGAACCACAGGATTTTAGCAGCCCCCCTCCCCCCTTAGCTGTGGCAGAGGGTGGCGTCAGAGTTCTGGAAGCAGAGGGGCTTCTTTCTGGAAAGCTTCGTCTTCCCAAGAGGTGGATGGCAGCTGCAGGGAGGTGGGCCAGGGCCTGGCCGCATAGACAAAGAATTTCAGCTCAGGCTGTTTCAAAACCTGGGCAAGGCCAAGGCTCAGGAGACACCGGCTCAGTTTCCAGGAGGCGGGGACATGCCACACCACACACGGCCACTTGGGACAGGACTGAGTCTGCCCCTGGGCAGAGGGAGCCAGGCGAGTTCCTGGCCAACAGCCTTGACTGTGCCTCCTGTGGGCAGGAAGAGACAGAGCTGGGTGAGAGGGCTCGGAATTAGCTGGTTTGAGTAATTCCGCAGGCTCTGCTGGGCATGGGTGCTGTCCCCGGGCCTGGGTGGCTGGGCAGGGAGACTGGCAGCCCCCAAGGGCGGGGACCCAGGAAAGGATGAGGCTGGAGTGTGGGCGCTGGTCTGCACTGGCTGCCCTGGTGGAGGACCAACCTGAGAGCCGACACGGCAGAAATTTGTGCCCGCCAGGTCCAGGTCTGGAGGTTCAGGCACAAGATCAAGGCTGCAGCAGAGAGAACGCTCTCTGCCCTGGCCCCCTCCTCTCCTGAGGATGCCACGCCCACTGGGTTAGAGCCCTTGTGAACTCCTTTAACCCCGGTGACCAAGGCTCCGCTTCCCAACACCACTCCACGGAGGGGCAGGGCTTCCTCCGGGAGCTTTGAGGGAAGGCAGTCGCGTCCCTAACAGCTGCTCTGTGCTGGAAAAGTGCACGGGTGGGCAGCTTGGGGGCCCTGGGCGGAACTGGGGTGGGCTGTCTCTCCAGATGTCCAAACACCAGAAACACAGAAAATCAACAGCACAAGACACAGGCTCCGATCAGTGACCGGTGGCAATGACCACTAGCAATCACACAGGTGCTTTTTTCTAATGCACAAATCAAGGATTTCATTTATCCCTTAGTGAAGGAAACTGGAAGATGTTCAAAGCTGCTCAAGGCGGGATTTTACCTACACGGACTCCTTTTCACAACGCACTTGCCCTGCCCCAAAGGGGAGTCACTTCTTTGCTGTGGAGGGAAACCTCACACCTTACTTCTCTCCTCTCTGCAGAGCTGTGAAGTAGCCTAGCAGGGGGCTGGCGCTGTGGGGCAGCGGGTGAAAGCCATAGCCTTCAGCGCTACCATCCCGTATGGGTGCCGGTTTGAGTCCCAGCTGCTCTACTTCCTATCCAGCTCCCTGCTGATGGGAAAACAGCGGAAGACAATCCAAGTCCTTGGGCCCCTGCACCCATGTGGGAGACCCAGAAGAAGCTCCTGGTTCCTGGCTTTGGCCTGCCCCAGCCCTGGCCTTTGCAGCCATTTGGGGAGTGAACCAGTGGATGGAAGATCTCTCTCTCTCTCTCTCTCTCTCTCCTTAACTCTGACTTTCAAATAAATCTTTAAAAAAGAAAAAGAAATAGCCTAGGCAACACAGATGATTGCAGAGCCCCCCAATCTCAGAGCCTCTGCCAGTCGGCCCCGGGCGCTCGTCTGAAGCCACCCCGGGGACTGCTTTGCCAGTTTCCAAGTCTCACGGTTTGTCTCTTATGATCTTATATTCTCTCTGAAGACTGTCCTTTTAAAAAATGATTAAAATGTGTTTTAGTTTCCAATTCATTGGCAAGGCAGGGGACAGGGGAGCACCCCATCTGCTGACTCACTCCCAAAATGCCTGTAACAGGCAGGGCTGGGCCGGGCTGAAGCCAGGAGCCCAGAACTCAGTGTGGCTCTTCCCACATGGGTGGCAGGGACCCAGCTACTTGAGCCATCACCACTGCTCCCCTAGGGCACGTTAGCAGCATCTGGGTCAGAGGCGGAGCTGGAATCTGAATGCAGGCGCCCTTTATGGGATGTGAGCTGCACCTTAATCACTGCACCAAACACCCACCCTAAAATATTTTTAATTGACAGGTAATAATTGTAAACACGTATGGAGTACAATGTGATATTTTGATGTATGTAAACATTGTGCATTGATCAAACGGGGCAATTAGCATACCCGTCACCTAAAAGGTTTCTCATTATTTGTGTGTGTCGAGTGCATTCCGAATCCTCTCTCCCAGCTACTTTGAGATACACAGTGTGTTGTTGTTAACTGTGTCCAGCCTCCATGTGCTGGAGTGCTAGAACCGTCTGCTCCCATCCAACTGCAGCCTTGCGCCCGGTGGGCAGCCTCTCCTGTCTCCTGGTGTCGGAGCCCAGCTCTGAGAGAAGCTCCAGGCTTTCAGGCTGCACGCACGAATGACAGCACGTGGACTTCGTCTCCCTGTGGCTGGATTATTTCCCTTAACGTGACATCCTCCAGGGTCACCCATGCTGTCACGGGTAATAGGACTCAATCCTTTGTATAACTGAATGGTGTTCCGTTGTGCATATATTCACCTCATCTTTAAAATCCATCCTTCTGCTGAAGACATCTAAGCTGATTCTGTATCTTGGCAATTGTGAATCTGCCCAAACGTTATTCTTGATCACAGAAAAGGGTAGTCTCGTTAGAATTTGCCCCGCCATTTTTACAGGCTGCAGCAGGAGTATTCATTAGGCACACGGGCCTCTTGGAGTTTGCTTGGAAAATCTAGAACCTGAATTCACAGTAGAGTGATGTGATCCCCAAATGGGGAAAATTGGCTTGGTGGGAAGGGGCATCAAAATAAAGGTTACTTTTGGGGCCGGCACTGTGGCATAGCGGGTAAAGCTGCCACCTGTGCCGCCGGCATCCCATATGGACGCCAGTGTGAGTCCCGGCTGCTCCATTTGTGATCTAGCTGCCTGCTAATGGTCTGGGGAAAGCAGCAGAGGATGGATGGCCCAAGCGCTCGGGCCCTGCTACCCAAGTGTGTGACCCGAATGAAGCTCCTGGCTCCTGGATCTGCCTTGGTCATTGCATCCACTTGGAGAGTGAACCGCAAGATGGAAGATGTCTCTCTTTCTCTCCGTTTGTCTCTCCTCTCTGTAACTCTTTCTAATAAATAAATTTTTATAAATAAAAAAGTTTACTTTTTACAGGTATACAACACATAAACAGATACAGACTATGAGAGTACTTCCAAAAGTTCATGGGAAATGGAATTAAAAGATAAGTTTATGTTAGTGCAAAAAATGTTTGAAACCCAAGCGTACTAGGGGGTCTTGAGAGAGTTCATGAAAAATGCATATTAAGAAAAAAGCTGTCGCTCCCCCTCTTCGCGGAGGAATGACACAGGACCCTGCGCTGTTCTTTTGTCTGCTCGGCCCTTCCCGGGTTTGCTGCTGGTTCTTCCCGGGTTGGCTGCCGATCCTTCCACCTCCGTGGAAGGGCGGCTCCCCCTGCCACTTTCCCCACTTTCGCGGGGGAGCAGCACACCGCTGGCCGGCTCTCTCGGGGGCTGCTCAGATGTTATCCAGATGTTCCTGGTGCATGCCATCTCTCTCCTCCTTTATAGTCCTCTTCCACCAATCCCAACTCTGCTACCCACACGCCGAGTACGCTGCTCCAATCAGGAGCAGGATCAGCTCCTGCAGGTCATCACTCAAGTTGGCGAGAGGCAGCTGCGTAGAAGCTGTTTCCTCCTCTCCCAGCGCCATATTGTGGGAGAGCAGATGCATAGAATAAGTCTTAATTCCAGTAACTTAGTCTAGTCCGAGTTGCTCCCCACAAAAGCTATGGACAAATTTCAGTGTTTTTACACCAAAACAAACCATTTATTTCATTCCATTTTCCTCAAGCTTAAGTACCCTCTTATGTCTGTGGTGTTAAGGTTCTGTTAGGGAAGCAGTTGAAAAAAGAGTGTCTAAAAGCGTCAGTAGAGTGGGGTACGCGGTCTCGGGCAGGCAGAGCAACTTCCCAGGCCCTCGCTGCCTCCTGCCCAGGAGCTTCCAGGCATCTCTGACCACAGGTTCACACACGTCTGTCATTTGCCGTCCCCAGACTGGGAGACCAAAGGCCAAGACTCCCTGCACTGGACTCCACCGGACTCACACGTCGGGTGAATTCTTCCCTCCCAAAGCCCCCAGGCAGCGGCCGTTTCCCAGAGGGCCTTGCGAGGCAGGAGTTGATCACGAGGGCAGCCTCGCCCCTTAGCAGTGCTTGTCACACTGGATTCAACAGGTGTCGTCCTCCAACACAGCTCTCCAGGCCTGCTCTCGGGCACTCCACCCGTCCCATCCCAGCCTAAGCCCTGCCATTTTAGCAGTTAAGTGCAACCCACATAGGAATTGGGAATCCAAGGCAAGTGTCCTGGAATCAAATGCTGCCCCCCAGGGCAAAGGGTGGAACAAGGCTATCTTCTTGGTTTGTTTGTTTGATTTTTTTTTCAGATTCGTTTATTCATTTGAGAGTCATAGTTACAGAGAGAGAGACAGAGAGAGAGAGAGAGAAATATCTTCCATCTGCTGGTTCACTCCCCAGATGGACACAATGGCTGGGGCTGAGTCCACCTGAAGCCAGGAGCCAGGAGCTTCTTCCAGGTCTCCCACATGGGTGCAGGGGCCCAAGCACTTGGGCCATCCTCCACTGCTTTCCCAGGCTATTAGCAGGGAGCTGGATTGGGAGAGGAGCAGCCAGGACACGAACCAGCGCCCGTATGGGTTGCTGGTGCCACAGGTGGAGGCTTAGCCTACTGGGCCACAGCATTGGTCCCTTCTTGGGCTTTTAAGATACCCAATGTGGGGCAGGTATTGTGGCACAACAGGTTAAGCCACCAGCTGGGACACCTGCATCCCATGTCGGAATGCCTGGTTCAAGTTTAGTTTCCAATCCAGGTTCCTGCCGATGTGTGCCCTGGGAGGCAGCAGGTGATGGCTCAAGTACTCGACCCTTGCCGTCTGTGTGGGAGACTCAGATGGAGCTCCTGGCTCCTGGCTTCTGACCCTGCCCACAGGGAGCGGCCAGACTCTGGCACTGGGACGGGCGGGATGGCTCCAGCCATGGACGTGCCCCACCCCCTGCCCCCCTGTGTGTTCCAGATCTCCCCCCAGCGCAAGGTCAACATCTACAGCATCCTCCAGGAGATCATCCAGCAGCAGGGCGAGCTGGAGGAGCAGTGCGTGCAGAGGCTGGTGGCCATCGCCTCCCGCGAGATGAGGGAGAGCCCCGAGGTAGCGGAGCCCCGGTGCTGGGTGGCCTGGGAAGCCCAGGGTCATTGCGCAGCTGTGGCCGGGGCACAGGCAGGCTGAGCCCAAGGCAGCCGCGAGGGCAGGGTGTGCAGCGTTGGCCACAGGTCCCCGTCCCGTCCATGACAGGTGGAGGGCTATGTGAATGCGGAAGTGGCCAGTGACACCCTGGTGGCCCTGTCCCGCAACCACTTCAGCCTGGTCATGTACGAACTGCAGCACCACCTCAAGCCCCTCCACCTCACCGACGAGTTCGTCATCGTCACCTTGGCCAAGCTGGCCAACGGCAACGGTAGGGACGCCGAGGGCCCCCGTGCCAGCCCAGGGCTGCCGCCGGCTGTCAGCCCCTCCTTGCATTGCTCTCTTTCCCCCCCTGCTGCTGGTCTCTCGCCTTCTCTCCCACCCGCCACCTCCCCATTTTTCATTCTTGCAAGAACGGGGGTGGGGGGCACAAAGGAGTGAGAAGCGGGTCCATGGGGGCGGGGCACACTGAGGTTCTGCCTCTCGCTTCCCTCCCCACCTCCCAGCAGCTCTTGGGTCCCGCCCCCCTCGGCTTCTCATTGGCCCCTTCTTCCTTCTCCCTCTGTCCCTCACTCCTCTCCTCCCTCCTTGTCTTCCTTTACCCGTTGGCCACCTCTAGCTCACTCCTTCTTGGCCTGACTCCCACCCACCCTGTGACTGTGGAGTGCCAGGGGCTGGACATGGTGGGCAGTGGGGGTGCCCTCTCTCGCACCTCCCTTCTCACCCCCCACCCACTCCACAGTGTTCGAGTTCATGCCGTACATGGGCATCACCCTGGCCACCATATTCACAATGCTGAGGCTTGCCAACGAAGCCAAGATGCGCCAGGTGATCTGTAACGGTGCGTGAACCTCTTGGGCCTGCAGGTGTGGCTTGATCAGGGTGCGGGAGGAAGTGGAGTAAGGAGCGGGTGGAGGGGTTGCCGGATGAGAGGTGTGCTTTTCATCTGCTCAGTCTCCTATCTGGCGTGGCCTCTGATTGGCCCTCTGGGTGACAAGTGGCAGAGACATGGGTGCTTTTTAGCAGGTCATGGCTGGGGGCGGGGGGCGTCACTGGGACCCTCTGCAGCTTGCTCAGTAGCTCAGCTTCTCAGGAGACAAGAGGCGGGGGTTGGCGTCCACGGGAGATGGGAACCCAGGAACACGTCTTCCTTTTTGATGCTGTTGAGATCTGAAAACCCGGCTTCGAGTTTTGTGAGGCAAAAGATCCAAACGTGCTGGATGCCCTCTGCAGTCCCCAGGGTGTGGGTAGAGAGTGGGTTTCCAGGCTGTGCCCTTGACCCCGTGTCCTTGAAGGGGAGGGCCCGGCACACAGGGGTGTGCTCAGCTCTCACCTAGATGCGCAGAGTGCAGATTAGGGAGCTGCCAGGGGCTGGAAGAGCAGAGGGAGGGGCCCGGCCACCTGCTGGCTCTGGGGAGGGGGCACGAGCGCCCTCTCCCAGAGAAGCCTCCCACTCTGCCCCTCCCCGCCGCCGGCAGCCATGGAGACCTTCTGCGAGACGGTGCAGTTCTACCTGCGGCACCTGGAGGACAGCGTGTACCCTGTGATGACCGAGGACCAGTTCGCTCTGAAGCTGTTCCCCATGTACCGCTACTTTGTGACCGTGTGGCTGAGGCACCAGAACCCGGAGGTGAGCCGGGCCCATCTCAGGGGGCCCGCAGAGGCCGGGAGGCGCTGAGGGACCCCTGGGTGCAGCCTTTCCCGGATTCCCAGGGAGCCAGGACCTGCGGGAACTGAGCGGCCCGGCCTCAGGCCCCCGGGCGTGTTGGATATGGTCACTGTCCTTCTTGGGGCACCTGTTCCACGCTGCGCTGCCCGCCAGGCATCTGTGGCTCTAGCTGCGGTTCCTGCACCACCCGTCTGATGAGGCCAGGACCCTGAGACACAGAGGGGTCAGATAGCTGCCCGAGCCACCTGGCTCCCCGCTGGGCCTCAGAACCGCCAGTCAGAGCCCGGGGCGGCCTGGCCCTGCTTGTGAGGTTCCTTTAGTCATGCGGCCTTGGGTTCCACGCGTGGGGCGGAGGTCCTGGCCTTGCCGGGCAGCCCAGGGACGAGTCCACGGCCCCAGTTCCTGTGGCAGGTGAAGCTGGGGGTCATCAAGTCCCTGAAGCCCATGCTGAACCTGCTTCTGCCCAATGATGACCTGCGGGAGCAGGTCTATGACTACATCCCCCTGCTGCTGGCCGAGTACCAGGGCAGCCTGGAGGCGCTCTTCATCACACAGGTGCGGGCCAGGGGCTCCGGAAACCTGGGGTCCCCAAGTGTCCCGGGGTGGGGGCCGCCTGCACCCACAGGTGTCTTAGTGCTGTGTGAGCAGACCCAATGCTTGTGCCCTGTGAGGGGGCCGTGGGGCCTGGCACGTGCAGGGTTGCTGCTGTCCTGGATGGCAGAGGCTGTGGGGGTCGCGGGGAGGGCCTTTGTGTCAGTCTCTGGGGATGGGGGCTGCTCCAACCCATGACCACCGCAGGCGGGGGCTTGCCACGGCAGACGTTCAGCCTCACAACTCCAAAGTCAAGGTGCCCCAGGGCCATGCTCCCCCTGGAGCCTGGGGGACGCCCCCTTCCCTGCCTCTGCTGGCTTGTGCGGGCCACAGGTGCTCCCGCTGCTGCCCCTGTCGCCCAGGGCTGTCCCCCTGAGTCCTCCTCGCCTCTTCCGAGGACGCCAGTCACTAGACTGAACGTCTGCCCAAAGTCCAGCGGGGTGGCGCCTCGAGCTCCGTAACCGATTACAGATCTACGCAGAGACCCTGTTGCAAAATGAGGTCGCCTTCTGAGGTCCTGGGCGGACACCAGAGGCCGAGCCGGGGAGGGTTCCCGGTGGGGGCGTGGCCTGGGTTGATGGGATCAGCTGTCAGTGGCGACGTGCAAAGGGGGGGTCTCAGCTCTAAAAGCAAGGAGCAGAAATGGTGTGACACACTGAGAGGACCACCTGTGCATCCTTTTTATTTTAATAAAAATATAATTTATTTGTGAGGCCAGCGCTGTGGCGTAACAGGTAAAGCCACTGCCTGTGGCTCCGGCTTCCCATATGGGCGCCGGTTCAAGTCTCAGCTGCTCCACTTCCAAGCCAGCTCCCTGCTGTGGCCTTGGAGAGCAGTGGAAGATGGCCCAAGTCCTTGGGTCCCTGCACCCACGTGGGAGACCTAGAGGAAGCTCCCGGCTCCTGGCTTCAGATTGGCCCAGCTACGGCCATTGCAGCCATTTTTGGAGTGAACCAGCAGATGGAAGACCTCTCTGTTTCTCCCTATCTCTGTCTGTAACTCTACCTCTCACATAAATAAATCTTTTATATATATATATATATAATTTATTTGTGAGGCAGGGAGACAGCTCCCACCTGCTGGTGCACTCTCTGCCTACAACAGCTTGAGGTGGGGGTAGGGGCTGCACCCCGGACTGGGAGCTCAATCCAGGGCTCCCACGCTGGTGGAGCCATCCCTGAGGCCTCCCAGGGCCCAGTTAGTGGGAAACTGGAGCTAGGGATGGAGCCCGTTCCTCTGATGTGAGACGCTGGCATCCTAACCCACAAGGCGAACACCTGCCCCTGCCTGTGGGATTCGTCTCCAGGGAAATAGGAGAGAAATGTGAAAAGGCCTTGAGTGCCAGGCTCAGTGGTGCTGACTCAGCAGATCTGGGGCTGGTGGACAAGCAGCGCTGACTCAGCAGATCTGGACATGGGTATCACCTGGGGCTGGTGGACAAGCAGTGCTGACTCAGCAGATTTGGGCATGGGAGCCACCTGGGGCTGGTGGACAAGCAGCACTGACTCAGCAGATCTGGGGCTGGTGGACAAGCAGCACTGACTCAGCAGATCTGGGCATGGGCATCACCAGGGGCTGGTGGACAAGCAGCGCTGACTCAGCAGATCTGGGGCTGGTGGACAAGCAGCGCTGACTCAGCAGATCTGGGCATGGGAGCCACCTGGGGCTGGTGGACAAGCAGCACTGACTCAGCAGATCTGGGGCTGGTGGACAAGCAGCACTGACTCAGCAGATCTGGGGCTGGTGGACAAGCAGCACTGACTCAGCAGATCTGGGCATGGGCATCACCAGGGGCTGGTGGACAAGCAGCGCTGACTCAGCAGATCTGGGGCTGGTGGACAAGCAGCGCTGACTCAGCAAGTCTAGGGCAGGACCAGAAAAGCCACCCTTAGTCCAGAGTCTGACCCTGCTTCCATCTGCCCACCCATCGCAGGTCCTGAGGCAGATCCTGGAGATGTCCGTCTCCACCAACACCCCCATCCCCCAGATGCAGCTGCACCCCCTCTTCACAGAACTTCACGTGCAGGTGAGGCTGGCGAGCTCAGGGTGGGATCAGCAGGGGCTAGGCTTTGGGAGGGGCCAGGGCCTGGTTCTCTCGGTGCCTGCTGCTGGTCAGGGGAGCTGTGGTGCCCAGGCAGCCTGAGGCCCTGTGAGCCCCCCATGCTCCCTGCACGCCCCTCCCCAGGTGTGCACCAAGGCCCCGGCCCAGCACCAGTTCAGCAGCCAGAACCTGGTGGAGATTGTGCACTGCTTCATAGCCCTGGGTGAGGCTCTGCGGGGGCGCTCCTGGGTCTGCCCGGTGGGGCGGCCTCCCCGGGCGGGCTCCCAGCGCCTGGGCCCTGACAGAGGGTCCTTCCTCCTGCAGCGCACTCCTACCCCAAGGAGCTGATGCGGTTCTTCTTCAGCCAGATGGAGATAAGCCAGGAGGCCGTGCGCGTGGGCACCCTGACCCTGATTAGGGCTGTGGTCAGCGCCAACAGTGAGCATTCGCCACTGCTGGGTGGGCTGCTGCGGGCGCTGACAGGCCCTTAGGGGAGTGTGGGGCCCGCCGGGGGTGGTGCCGTGGACAGGAGAGGGGGAGCCGGGCCTGAAAGTTCCCTGAGCTTGTGTGATGTCAGCGGAAGAAAGAACCAGACAGGACGGGACAAGCCCCACGACGTCACCCGAAGCTGCGGCCCTCCAGGCCCCACTCCCCTTTTCCAGAGCCCAGAATGAACATCAGGACTGTCTGCCTGGCCATCCGCGTGGTCAAGAACACGCTGTCCGACACCCGCTCCAAGGTACCAAGGCCCTGGCAGGTGTAGGCGCCCAGGGGCCTGTGATGAGACCCTGGCTCCCTGCCTGGTCCTGAGCAGGGCGGTGGGAGAGCGAGACCCATAAGATGCTGGTGTCCTACTCTGGCCCGGACCTTCATCCTCGCCAGGAACCTGGAGTCTCCGAGTGTGGCCTCCCAGGCACCCTTGGGACAGGGGAGCAGCCGGGCTGCTCGGTGGTTTTGGCTATTTGAGGTCCTTATCGCACGTGGATGGACAGAAACTAAGGGATATGACCTCCAACCCTCCCCCCACCCAACCCCACAAAGGCTGAAAACCCCAGTCCCAGCAGTGGCCAGCCTGGGGCGGGGTGTGGAGAGGAAGGTGGCCCTGGCTCTGGCTGCTGGCTGGAGGGGTAGGCCCGGGCTAGAGAGAGCTGATCTTAGGGGAGAGAATGGCAGGGTCATAGGCTGCATCTGGGGCTGTCCAAGGCACGGAAGAGGCTGGGTCTGGCATTTTGTCTCCCCCTTGTGGTGGGCCCCAGGGTTTCCAGTGAGAGAAGTTCCCCCCACCTGCATGAGGGCTGCGGGGGGGTGGGGGGGAGCAGCCAGTGTTAGAAGGGGATGGGTGGGCTGGCGCTGCGACTCACTAGGCTAATCCTCCGCCTGCGGCGCCGGCACCCCGGGTTCTAGTCCCACTCAGGGCGCCAGATTCTGTCCCAGTTGCTCCTCTTCCAGTCCAGCTCTCTGCCGTGGCCTGGGAAGGCAGTGGAGGATGGCCTAAGTGCTTGGGCCCTGCACCCGCATGGGAGACCAGGAGGAAGCACCTGGCTCCTGGCTTTGGATTGGTGCTGCGTGCCGACTGTAGCAGCCATTTGGGGGTGAACCAACGGCAAAGGAAGACCTTTCTCTCTGTCTCTCTCTCTCTCACTGTCTAACTCTGCCTGTCAAAAAAAGAAAAGAAAAGAAGGGGATGGGTGGGCTCTGATGAGACTCCCACGTGCGCGTGTGCACAGGGGCATCCTGTGAGGCAGGGGTGGGGACAGAGTGGGCAGGAGGCTCCTTCTAGTCCCCAGACTCCTGGCTGTCTCCTGTTGCAGGACAGGACGTGAGGTGCCGAGCCCCTGTCCCTGAACCCACCCCAACCCCTGTCCCCCCGCCAGGTGCGGATGGCCATTCTGCGGATCATCAGCCAGCTGGCTCTGTCCGGCTACCAGGACAGGATCAAAGGCTGGGGACTGAAGTACGTGTCGGTGCAGCTGACCTTATCCACGTACAAACTGGTGAGTGGCCCCAGGGCCACACCGGCAGCCACCGGATCTCGGAACTGGTTGCAAAGCCCTGAGGATGCCACGCACACTCCCACTGGCGGTGTACACACACACACACACACACACGCACGCACCTCTGAGCAGCCTGGGAACCCCACATCAAGAGCTTCACCCCTGAGACCACGACAGGCTGAGCCCTCAGGAAGGGACCCCTCACTTTGTCTTCAGACAAATTGCCGGGAGAGCTTGTGCCACAGGGACCTGGAGGAGAAGATGGTGCACAGAGTGACCATGGACACCGTGAAGGTCATCACGTCTTCCGTCAGTGGCATGAGCAACGTGAGTGAGCCCTGGCCGCAGGCTGCACTGTGCCGGGAACGAGTGTGCCCAGAACGTGTGCCGCCTCGCTTCTTCCAGCCCACTGCTGAGGGTCCCGGGGCGGTGGGGGGGGGGGGTCTTGCACATCCCCTTGTGCGTGCTCATCCTTTTGATCTTCATCTCTGTCTCCCCTGCGCAGGCTAGGGCGGGCCTGGCACACAGTAGGTCTAAATGCCTGAACTGCGTCTGTTGCCTCAAAACCCCTTCAGGTCACAAAGGCTGTGTGTATGTGTGTGTGTGTGTGTAAAGAAGTGATTATTTTTTTTTTCACAATCAAGGGCACAGACTAGGACGTCCCAGGATGATCCTAAGGAGTTCATAGGCTACAGGAGGAAAAAAATGGTCATATTTAAGTGCAATAAATGTGAGATAGCAATAAGACAGAAAAAATTTATCATGAAAACTTCATGAACAGAATGTCCACTAAGTGAGGCCAGAGCCTGGCTGCTCCCTGTCCAGTGGCGGGTGCTCCCTGACCACTGAATGGCAGAAATATTGATAATAATCAGAATCATTGAGAATAATAACAGCACAGTACATGGAGACCCTGCCATAGCAGGTGCCGCACAGGTGCAGTCTCACGCAGCTTTGTCAGTGAACACACCAGGTGGGTTCCTTCACTTCCTTGATTTTGTGACACCTGATTCTGTAGATGAAGAAACTGCAGCTCCGAGGCACCCATTACTTTCCTCAAGGCCTCACAGCTGCTAAGCAACACAGCCAGGATAAAACGCCCTTTCCTGTTCCCAGGGCTGCTTCCCAGGGGAGCCCAGGAGCCCGGAGGTTTCAGTCTTGGTGGGGAGCATGGCTCCAGCCGCTGCACCTGGTAGTTGGTAGCGCAGGGTCTCACCCAAGAGGGGTCACAGTTAGCTGGGGTGTCGAATGGTCAGCCAAGGAGAGGCGTAGAGATGCAGCCCCAACACTCTGTGTGGGTCCAGCTTCTCTGGAGAAGCGGGGCCAGCAGAAGTAATGAAAGTCAGGGTTAGTGAAGGCGCTGGCTCCTGCACTTGTCTGAAGCGTGTGGGGCGGGCTGGACACCGAGGCAGGGGCTGCTGCTGCAGGCCAGCGGAATACCTTCTTCTTCCTCTGCCTTCGTGGCAGCCCCAGTGTCTGCTCACAGGATGACCCCCCATGTGGGGCGTGGGCGTTTGTCACAGCTGCACAGCTCCTTCCCGGCAACACCTAGTGCCCAACTGCATGACTGTGTAATCGAACCCATAACTCCGGCCACCACGACCAGGTGGCCCTGCCGGCTCATCTGCCCGGCGTGCACCTCTTCTACAGGATTTGGGATCGGAGAGGGGCTCAGGGCGCGAGGCTGTGGTGGGTGTGGGGTTGGGACTGGATGACAGCGTACCAGCGGGGCACCACTTGGGCACCCCGACAAAGACCGGGGTGGGCGCACAGCCAGTTCAGGGCTGCAACAGGGTCAGGGCACAGCTCTGGAGAAGCGGGGCAGGGGCCAGCCCAGCCTCCCCGGGTGGCCGTGGGATCCCACCAGCTGACCTTAGGCCCCTGCTCACAGGAGTTCTGGGTGAGGCTCCTGTGCTACATCATGGAGACAAACTACACGGAGGCCCTGACGCCCATCTGCATCAGCCTCACCAACCTGGCGGAGCGCCAGCTGCACGGCCAGGATGTGGAGGCCGGCGTGGCCAGCAAGAACAAGCTCGGTGGGCAGCCCCGAGCCAGCTGGTGGGAGCAGGCGGCCGCAGCCGGCTCCTCGTCACCCCCCGACCCCACTCCATCTGTGCGTCCCCCAATTTCCCCTTCTCCAGGAACCATGCAGAGCCTGCCCTTGAGCTATCCGAGGAGGTGTGGGAATCCTGTAGCCTGCCGAGGGGTAGCTACACCCCTGGCCACACCCCACCCCAGGCAGCTCTTGGCCTGGCCTCTCTCCCCATGTGGACTCCTTGGTCCTCTGCTCTGTCCCGCGTCTCTGAGCCAGCCAGGGGCGCCACAGCCTTCCCACCCATCCCCACCCCATGGTCCACCTGCAGTGGGCACCATTAACACCAGGCGCTCGGCTCGCCGCTGTGCCCACCCACCACCACCACCCATGTCCCCCTGCCTCCCTCCCAACTCTGGCTTCCAGGGGGACGGGTGGGGCCAGGAATCGGGGCATGCAGGGAGACTCTAGGACCTGGGATGGCAAAGGTCAGAGCCCATGCCCTGAGCTGGTCTTGGAAGCCTGGGTGGGGGGAGCTGGGGTCTCCCGCACGCCCCTCCCACCCAGACCCTGCAAGGGCTCAGCACAGTGTTTCCACTCCCAGAGCTGCAGACAGGGGTGGGGAGGGGGCCGTCTGGTCACTGTGGCTCAGCAGAGGCCCAGGTTCACAGGAGAAGTAAGACCCAGTCATGGTGCCCACGGGCACGGCCAGAAATCGCCCCAGCTAGAGCCCAGCCCTCCCCTCTTCCCAGAATGAGCCAAGGAGAAGGAAAAAACCCCTGGGCGATCCATTCTCCATTCTGGGGGTGCAAAGGGGCGGTGCTGGGTGCAGCCGCCCATGCAGGGTGGGGAACGGGGTGTGGGCCAGGCAGCTCCAGTAGGCGTTGTGTCTCTTTCTTCCTCAGTGGACCTACCCACCCCTCAGAAGCTGCTGGCCCGTCTGCTGGTGAGTGGCCATGCCCTGCGTGCCTCTGCCTTGAGCTCATTCATAGGGCCCTGGAAGGAGGCGGGATCCAGGGTACAGTGAGGGAGCTGGACACCGGGCAGGACAGGGTGCGCCAAGCCCAGGGCCATCCTCCTGGGTAGATGTGGCCTGGGCAGCTTGCTGTGATGGCTGAGACCCGGCCGGGGCACGCTAGCCCCTGGAAGCCCACCAGCCCCACCCCTGCTCCACGGCCGCCCCGGCCCTGCAGGTGCTGATGTCGTCACCCTACAAGGGGGAGGGCCGTGGGGTCGCCATGCTCAACCTCCTGCGGACACTGAGCCAGAGCATCGTGCCCTTCATGGCAGACGTCTGGGAGACGGAAATCCCGCTGCTGGTGCGGTACCTGGAAGGTGAGCGCCTGCTGGGGACTGGTCACGTGACAAGGCTCCACGCGGGAGGGAGGGAAATGCCCTGACGCCCAGTGCACGGCTAAGGAGCTGACCTAGAGGGTGACCCCGTGTGTGTGCTTCTGCAGAACACACGGAGTTTACCTGGAACCAGAAGGCCTGGGAGGACAAACTCTTTCAGGTACAAGGTGACCCGGGGCGGGGAGGGGGGAGTGGAGGAGCCCCTGAGAGTGAGCCTGCCCCCCACCCCCCGGGGAGCCACCTGCCAGGGGAGGGAGTGAGCCTGCCCCCAGGGAGCCACCTGCCAGGGGAGGGAGTGAGCCTGCCCCCAGGAGCCACCTGCCAGGGGAGGGAGTGAGCCTGCTCTCTGGGGAGCCACCTGCCAGGGGAGGGAGTGAGCCTGCCCCCAGGAGCCACCTGCCAGGGGAGGGAGTGAGCCTGCCCCCAGGTGCCACCTGCCTGGGGAGGGAGTGAGCCTGCTCTCTGGGGAGCCACCTGCCAGGGGAGGGAGTGAGCCTGCCCCCAGGGAGCCACCTGCCTGGGGAGGGAGTGAGCCTGCCCCCAGGGAACCACCTGCCTGGGGAGGGAGTGAGCCTGCCCCCAGGAGCCACCTGCCAGGGGAGGGAGTGAGCCTGCCCCCAGGAGCCACCTGCCTGGGGAGGGAGTGAGCCTGCCCCCAGGAGCCACCTGCCTGGGGAGGGAGTGAGCCTGCCCCCAGGGAACCACCTGCCTGGGGAGGCAGCTGGGGGTCGCCCCTTTCTCACCAGCCACCAGAGCCACGGAAGAGGAGCTATGGAGCTATGGAGGGGCTGAGGCTGGGGGGAAGGGGCTCCAGGCAGGAGGACCCACTGCTCAGGGAAACAGCCAGTTCCCCTGGCCCCCTCCCGCCCACACCCTCTGCCTCCCTAGTTTCTGAAGCACTCTCTCAAGAAGACCCGGGGGTCCACCTGGATCCTGCGCCTGAGCAGAGAGCTCAACAACCAGATGGAGAACTTTGACAGCCCCTCCGTGGAGAAGGTTCTGCCTGCGGGGCCGGAGCACTTCCGGGAGGCGGGGGGAGGGTTGTGCTGTGTGTGTGAGGCCGACTGGGCTGTGGAGTGGTCTTGGGTTGGGCAAAGTCTTCCTAAATACAACACCGCGGGGGCTGCTGCTGTGGCGCAGTGGGTAACGCCGCTGCCTACAACACCGGCATCCCATATGGGCACAAGTTCAAGTCCTGCCTGCTCCACTTCTCATCCTGCTTCCTGCTGATACACCTGGGAAAACAGCAGAAGATGCCCCGCCCCGAGTACTTGCTCCCATGCCACCCATGTGGGAGACCCCGATGAGGCTGCTGGCTTCAGCCTGGCCCGGCACAGGCTGCTGTGGCCATTTGGGGAGTGAACCCCAACAGATGGAAGAACTCTCTCTCTCTGTGTCACTCTGCCTTTCAAATAAGTAACGCGAAAGACAGCCCACAGGGTGGGAGAAACGGTTGCAAGCCATGCCTTTGATAAGGAGCACACGTCATGTTACATCGTCCTACCAGTCCTTAGCCGACCTTCCTGGGGGCGGGCTGCTGAGGCCTGAGCCGCTGCTCCCTGGTGCTGTGCAGGGCTTTCTGTACCAGGCCCTGGGCTTCACCTTGGCCATGACCCCGGAGGCCGACAAGGTGGAGGTGCTGCTCCTGGAGCTGCTGTACAAGACAGACTACGGCAACGGCTTCGACCGGGAGGTGAGGGCACGCACCTGAGTGTGTCTGTACACGTGTGCACGCCTCCTTGTGCACGTGTGTGCACCTGGGTGATCCCGGTGTGCATGTGTATACATGTGTAGTTGTATGTGTACGTGTGGGTGCCTTGTGTGCGTGCAACGTGTGTATGAATGTGTGCCTGTGAACATGTCTTGTGCATGTGTGTATGTCTGTGTACACATGTGCATGTGCCTCTGTGTATGCCTGCGTGCACGTGTGTAATGTGTTTATGTGTGTAGATGCATGCACACACATGTGTGTCTTATGCATATACGTGTATGCCCACGTGTGCATGTGTATACATGTGTGCACCTATATGCACATGTGTGTGCATGTATGCAACATGTATATGAATGTGTGCCTCAAACACATGTCTGTATGTGTATGTGTGTACATGTGTATGTGCCTCTGTGTGCTTGTGTGTATGCCTGGTGCATGTATGTAATGTGTGTATGCATATGTGCATATGCATGCATACACATGTGTGTGCCATGCACATATGTGTGCATGTGCGCCACGTGTGTGCATATCCACATGTATGTACTGTGGGTATGTGTATGCATGCACTGTGTCTTATGCATATGTGTATGTGTCATGTGTACCACATGTGTGTGTCTCTCTGTGTGTACATATGTGTATGCCAGTGTGTGTGTGTGTGTGTTGCTCACTGGTGTGGGCCCCCGCCCTGCCCTGCCCTCACCCTGGCTGCGGGGTCTCCCTGCAGGGTGTGAGTGTGTGCCTTGGCCTGTGTGCCCATGTGTGCATGTGTACCACATGTGTGTGTGTCTCTGTGTGTACATATGTGTATGCCAGTGTGTGTGTGTGTGCACTGCTCGCTGGTGTGGGCCCCTGCCCTGCCCTGCCCTGCCCTCACCCTGGCTGCGGGGTCTCCCTGCAGGGTGTGAGTGTGTGCTTTGGCCTGTGTGCCCATGTGTGCATGTTACCACATGTGTGTGTGTCTCTGTGTGTGTGTGTGTGTGTGTGTGCTGCTCGCTGGTGTGGGCCCCTGCCCTGCCCTGCCCTCACCCTGGCTGCGGGGTCTCCCTGCAGGGTGTGAGTGTGTGCTTTGGCCTGTGTGCCCGTGGCCAGGTGAAGACGGTGCTGAATGTGCTCCAAGACTTCGAGGAGCGGATCCAGGAGTCGGAGCGGTCCTGGCAGATCGGGGCTTGGCGGGTACGGTCTCAGCCGCAGAGCGCAGGTCAGGCGCCTCCGGGACCCGGCCCTGCCGAGGAGCCCAGCCCCAGGCTACTCGTGGTTTGCTCCCCAGGCAGCAGCCAGGGCTCACTGGCCGAAGTGATCGGAGGGAATAATGGGCCCCACCCGGTCCCACGGCTGCTCGGGGAGTTATCGCGAGTGCTTGGGGGTGCTTGGGGGGTGCTCGGGGGTTCTTGGGGGTGCTCAGGGGGTGCTCGGGGGGTGCTCGGGGGTGCTCCTCTGTTAGCAGCTCTCCCTCCAGGAGCTGACACAGCTGACATGGCGGGGGTGGCCCTCTAATCCCACAGCAGCGCAGGGAAGAACCTGCAGCTCCTCCAAAGGCTGGTGCCGAGGGGAAGCCAGGATTCGGATCCAGGCATCCCAGGGCCCCATCATCTGTGCCTCCCTGCCCCAGGGGATGGTCCACAGGCTGGCTGAGCCCCTAGGAGAATCCCCGGAGCCTTTGGCACTGTAGGCTTTGCCCTTGGACTTGAACCCTTGCCCCAGGGACTGCTTGTTTGTGTGGGAAGCATCAAGGGCGTTCCAGAGAGCGTCTGGGCTTCTGCTCATAGCAGGACCCGAGACCTGGATCTCATATCCGAGTGGGGCGTGGACACCTTGCTCCCTCCCACTGTGGGTTTGGCGGCCTCCAACGCCTCCTCCGGCTCTGAGATTGTTCAGAGGGCGTGGGTACCAGGAGGGGAGGGCCCGGGGTAGCTCCACGGCATGAAGGAGCTTGCACAGCCGCTGTTCAGAGCTCTCCACGCGATCTCCCACGCACAGCTCCTGGCACCTGCACTCGCCTGAAGTCCTCCAGGGTGGTCTGTCCTGTTCCCGGTGCCTGGTGTGTAGGAGGTGCCTGATACAGGGGAATGAATGAATGAGGGCATGAACAATTGAATGCGCCTCTCGGGCACCCAGCGAGCCGTCAGTTGCAGCACCTTTAGCCGACGCAATGGCTCCTCTGGTCGTGTGGCCACAGACTCGTCCCAGAAGGTCAAGTTGAGCAGCCCCTGCCCACCCCCTCCAGCTCAGTGGCTCCTCCCTTTTCTCATTGTCCCTGCAGAAGGACCACCCCTGGGGGCGAGAGACCGTGAAGAGCGCCTTCATGGTGATGTACAGCCGTGTGGCCTCCTACTGCCACCCCCAGCTGCTCCTCACCCTCGTGGACAACCTCATCACCGCCAAAATCATTCACCACTACTCCAGCAGCTGCCAGGTACCCACACCTGGCACCCGAGCGAGGGGTGCTCCTCCAGCCAGGTGGGTGGAGCCACCCTCTGTCCCCGTCTGCACCTCCTCCTCCCCACCGAGGTGACCCCAGCACCTGCGGAGACGGGTGCCCAGAGCTATGCTGTTCTCTGCACCTGAGGGTCGTGCAGGGGAGCAGGTGGTGCTGAGTGGGCCAGCATGACACCCCAGGAGCCACCATGACACCCCAGGAGCCACGGGATGAGCCCCGACCCTCCCCAGCCTCTCACTCCCTCTGCGCGGGCCCAGGCGTATTCGTAACAGACAGGAAATAGGAAGACACAAAGGCACTGGCTACTTTCTTGGAATGGCAAGGAGGAGAACACATAGAGGCAGCGGCCAGAGCACCTTGGGGCAAGCGGGCTCTCCTTCCCATCCCTCCCCCGCACAGGACATCAGCCTCAAAATGGCCTTCATGAAGAGCGTTGCACAGGTCACCAGCGCCATCAGAGGCGTCCAGAGTCTGGAGGACTTCCAGTTTGCCCACAAGGTGACCCTCACCAGCACTATTGTGGTGAGTGGGGCCGGGCCTCCTCTGTCCCGGGTGGCTCGGGCAGGACCCTGGGCTGCCCGGCTTCCCCCTCGTCAGAGTGTTTGAGAGGTCCTGGGGGGCACCTGCGGGACAAGGGGACTCAGCCCCGTTTTGCTAGGCCTCACTGGGGGGGCTCTGAGAACCAGGGTTGGGGCTGATAAAGGTTTTCAGAGCCAGGAATCCATTGGAAAACCAGGGTGGAAGGCTGGCTGTGCGGGGACCCAGGGTGCTCAGAAGTGGCTGGTTCAGGGGCCGGTGGGCAGGGGCACCGTGGGTCAGGCCAGCTGTAGCACGACGTCCCTCCATGGGAGACACTTAGGGGACAGTGACGTCCTAACCGGGGTGGGGGAGAATGGGCCTCGGTCAGCATATCTGCTCCTGCCAAGGCAGCGCAGGTACAGGCAGGATCGGGGTCCAGGCGATGACGGTGTGAGGTGACAAATACTCCTCTTGGTGGGGATAAAAGGTTCACCCGGTGCAGGACCTGGGGTGGCATTGGTAGACGTAGAAAATGTCACCTGCGCCAGGGCTGACGGGCCTTGTGGGGCAGCCAGCGTGCTCCATTCCCAGGCCGCCCCATCCTCGCACCCCTGCCGGGGCCTGGAGGGTGGAGGCAAGGAGGGGGAGGGGAGGTGGTGAGCACTCACCTGCTTCCCGCTACGTACCGGGAGCTATGCACCTGGCGCCTCATGCCAGCGTGGCCCAGCCCTGGCAAACAGGCTGCCAAGCCTTGTTTTCCAGAGAAGGGGCTGGGGGCCCAGGCGGGTGACAGTGGCAGCCTGGAGCGAGGAGCCCAGGCCCGCCGAGGGCCTGGCTGCCCTGAGATACCAGAGAACCTAGGAAGAAAAAAAGAGGCTTGGGGAGCCGGAGCACTGTGTGCGGGGCCGGGTCTTCTGTGCACTAACCTGGGGGCAGGGGCAGGGGCACCGCTGCCCTCGCTGTCACTGTCCGAGGCCTCCCGGGACCCCTGGGCAGCGAGGGTTCACTGCCCTCCCTGCTTACGCTGGACAGGCGATCATCAAGGCCGAGCCGCCCGACCAGCTGGCTTCCCCTGTGCGGACCATGGCGATGGAGGCGCTGGCCCACCTGAGGTGAGCGGGCTCCCGCCTTGGTGCTCCTGCAGGGGTCGGCACCCTTCTATCCCCCAGGACACACACACACAGCCTGCCTCGGTAGCAGGGCGCAGGGTCTGCTCCAGCCGGCTCCTGTCCGGAGTTCTCGGCATGACATCCAGCTGGGCGGCTCTCCTCATGCTGGGGCCGAACGGCAGGAGGTGACCGGTCCCCAGCCGATCACGCATGGACCGTTCCGAGCCGGGAATCTCGCGAGGACACTGGGCTTGGGCTCAGGCCACAAGTGGAGTGCTGTTTGTTGATGGGGGTAACACAGGTGATTCAAAACCCCAGAGTTTGCTTTCCTGGAGCTGCCGACCCACGAGTGGGTTGGAAAGGAGCCCTGAGTCTGTGGGATGAGTACCCGCGCTCCCGTTGGTCACGGTTAGGACACTTGCAGGGGCGGCCTCACACGGAATGGGCAGATTTGATAAGAGGGTGAAGCACAAGACACCCTTAGGGGCAGGGGTCCCACGTTGATGTAGGATGGTGGCTCTCAACTCTGGGGGCTGCCTGGAGCCAGGGGGGGGGGGCTTTGCACAATGCTGATATCTCGGCCCCACCCCAGTCCATAAGGAAGGATCCCTGGGGCTGCAAGGAGCCCTGAGATCCTGTTACGAAGCAGGCTTGCGGGCTACAGGTGAAGGTGACGGAGAGGAGGAGGTAGTGCGCCCCAGGTGGCCGGCTACACCTCGGTAGGGCTCGTGAAGACACGGCGCTCAGAGCCGGCCCTAGGGCTTCTGACTGAGTAGGTCTGGAGCGGGGCCGTGGATGCGATGCTGCTGCGGGTCCGAGTCTCTCACACCTTGGAGAGCCCTGGGCTAGGACCAGCCTGCCAGGGCAGGTTCCATGGCCAGCAGTGAACAGCAGGTGTTTCTGGTGGGACAGTCACAGGTTTAGAGCCGGCAACAACAGGAAAGGGGGCCTTGACCTCTGGATGCTGGCGGCTGGGCCGAGCCAGGGTCCCGGGGGAGGGACACCTGTCTGAACTCCGATGTGCAGTCCACGTCCAGACTGGGCAGCGGGGCCCCAACTTCCTGGTGACGCCTGCCTTTGCCACCGCTTCTTTCCCCAGCAAGCTGAAGCCTTTCTACTCCCTAGAGGAGAGCAGCGAGCTGATGGACATCAGCATCCACTCGGTGATTTCTCTGCAGCCCCCGGGAGGGGACAACGAGTCCATGAAGGTAGGCGCCCCTGGGCACCGCGTCGGCCAGGGCAGGGGCTGGAAGTCCATGCAGACACAGGCAGCGCCATGGGCCCAGCTTCCTGCCCCGCCGCGAGTGCCCAGAGGCAGCGTTGTGCCTGTTGGTCAGGGTCGGGTAACGCCAGCCGCTGTGACGGGCACACCCCCCAGCCCTGTGTATTCCTCACCCGAGTAAAGTCCAGTTGTCAGTGGGAGTGGGTGTGGGGTCGCTTCATGCAGTTGTTCAAGAACCCAGGCTGACAGAGGCCCCGCCATCGTCCACACCACAGGGCCCTGGGACATCCAGCCAGGACTTGGGGGAAGAGGCGGCACAGGGAGTTAGCAGTCACTTCGCCTTCCTCCCATTGGCCAGAATGCACCACATGGCTCTACCTAGAAGCAGGGGCTACTGGGAAATGTAGTCCCTAGCTGTTTCCCAGTGACACTGAGAAGAGGAGGGCAAATCTTTCATGGCCACCTCTGCCTTAAGGGCCTGGCCCCAAATCACAGGTCAGGAGAAGTGGGCTCTGGGAGTTTTGGGACAGGGATCTCTCTTCAAAGGCCGTGTTGTACTCCACGCAAGAGGCAGAACAGGACGTAAGGGGCTCGGGGCCTGGGCAGAAGCTGACGGATAGCAGAGGGTGACGGATGGGCACAGAGCAGCCCCAGCTCTCAGCCCTGGCGTGGATGTCCCCTGGGAGGGGGCTGTGTGCTGCCCCCACTGCTGCCCAGCTCTCCTGGCACAGAGCAGCCCCAGCTCTGAGCCCTGGCATGGATGTCCCCTGGGAGGGGCTGTGTGTGGCCCCCACTGCTGCCCAGCTCTCTGTCCCGGCACAGAGCAGCCCCAGCTCTGAGCCCTGGCATGGATGTCCCCTGGGAGGGGCTGTGTGTGGCCCCCACTGCTGCCCAGCTCTCTGTCCCGGCACAGAGCAGCCCCAGCTCTGAGCCCTGGCATGGATGTCCCCTGGGAGGGGCTGTGTGTGGCCCCCACTGCTGCCCAGCTCTCTGTCCCGGCACAGAGCAGCCCCAGCTCTCAGCGCTGGCGTGGATGTCCCCTGGGAGGGGGCTGTGTGCTGCCCCCACTGCTGCCCAGCTCTCTGTCCCAGCACAGAGCAGCCCCAGCTCTCAGCCCTGGCGTGGATGTCCCCTGGGAGGGGGCTGTGTGCTGCCCCCACTGCTGCCCAGCTCTCTGTCCTGGCACAGAGCAGCCCCAGCTCTCAGCCCTGGCGTGGATGTCCCCTGGGAGGGGGCTGTGTGCTGCCCCCACTGCTGCCCAGCTCTCTGTCCTGGCACAGGCCCTGTATGGGAACGCCCTGAGTGCCCTGGAGCAGCTGATGGAGAGCCTCCTGCAGAGGCACCTGGACCCCAGGGGGCTGCAGGAGATGGTGCAGGTGAGTCGCTGCGCGGGGGGCAGGAGCCAGCAGGGGCTGCCCCTCCCAGCCAGTGGCCCAGGGTCAGGTCCAGGGGGAACAGGTGCAGGCAGCAGCAATGGTTGCAGTCATTTTATTGTGATAAGTTAAAAAAAAGATTTATCTATTTGAAAGGCAGAGTTACAGAGAAGGGAAGAGTAAGAGAGAGAGAGAGAGAGAGAGAGAGAGAGAGAGATCCTCCATCATCTAGTTCATTCCTCAAATGGCCACATCGGCCAGAGCTGGGCCAATCCAAAGCCAGGAGCCAGGAGCTTCTTCTGGGTCTCCCACAGGGTGCAGGGGCCCAGGGACTTGGGTCATCTTCTACTGCTTTCCCAGGCCATAGCAGAGAGCTGGACTGGAAGAGGAGCAGCCGGGACTCAAACTGGAGCCCATACAGGATGCCGGCACTGCAGGCAGCTTTGCCTGCTATACCACAGTCCCAGCCCCTGTGATAACATTCCACATTTGCTCAAAAGCTCTAAGAACAGACAGAGACCCTCTTCATCCAGAGTGACTGTTTGTAACAGTTTGCACATTTTCCCTCTCTGTCTTCCTCTTTCTTTCTGTCTTCTCTCTCTCTCTCTCTCTCTCTCTCTCTCTCTCACACACACACACACACACACACACACACATCTTGAATCACAGAAAATTAGTTGCAAGGGTGGGCATTGCACACAGCGGGTTAAGCCACCCCTTGGGATGCCCACACTCCATGTCGGAGTGTCCATTTGAGTCCCAGCTGCTCTACTTCCAATCAGGCCTCCTACTAACGTATCCCGGGAGGCAGCAGGTGATGGTCCAAGTGCTTGGCTCTCTGGCATCCATGTGGGAGATGGGCGGAGCTCTGGCTCCCTGCCCCAGCCTGGCCATTGCAGTCATCTGGGGAGTGATGGAAAAATTCTCTCTCTATCTGCCTTTCAAGTAGATAAAAATACACATTTTGAAAAAAAGAAAATTAGTTTCAGACATCAAGAACAAGAACATTTTCTTATGACAATGGTACCATTGCTCAGTCAGGAAACTTAATATTCACACAATGCTAAACATCTTGGTCCAGATTCAAATTTCACTTTATCAGCTGCCCTAAAAGAGTTCCTAATGGATATGTTCTCCCTGGTTCAGGATCTAATTCAGATATGCACTGCATTCAATTACTCTGTCTCTTTATTCCTCTTTAGTCACAAACAATTTCTGTCTGTCTTTCATATCTTCAGCGTTTTTGGAAGAGGTGAGATAGTTTTTTGTTCGTTTTTAAAGCGGGTTGTTTGCTTTCTTATCACCTGTTAAGATCCCTTATCCAAAATGCTTGGGACCAGAAATGTTTCTGATTTCTCTTCTGCCTTTTGGAATGTTTGCCTAAATGCAGTGTGATATATTGGGAATGGGACCCAAGTCTAGACAGGAAATCCGTTTATGTTTCATGCACAACTTACACTTGTGGCCTAAAGGTGATGCTTTCAAAGAAATTGTGCAGGAAACAAAATTTCATGGTGTACAACCTCCCTCTTGGGACAGTTTCCCACCTGGAGTTCAAAAAGTTCTAAATTCCGGAGCATGCTGGGTTTCACATTTTTAGATTAGGGATGTCCAACCTATATTGTCTTTACATAGCAAGAATATGTAGCAGCCGAGGCTGGCATTGTGGCGCAGCCTGTTAAGCCTCTGCTTGCAATGCCAGCAGCCCACGTGGGTGCTGGTTCGAGTCCCGGCTGCTCCCGGCTAACACACCTGGGAAAAGCAGCAGATGATAGCCTGAGGGCTTGGGCCCCTGCACCCACATGGGACACCTGGAAGAAGCTCCTGGCTCCTGGTGTGGGTGTGACACAGCCCTGGCTGTTGTAGCCACTTGGGGGGTCCACCAGTGGATGAAAGTGTGCACCCACGCTCTCTCTCTCTCTCTCTCTCTCTCTCTCTCTCTCAACTCTGCCTTCAAATAAATAGAGCGGCCCTGCAGTCTTGCTCTGTGCCTGTGGACTTCCCTATGTCCCCTCTGCTCCGTCAGTCTCTGCCGCCCGTGTGCTGTGACCGTGTCACAGGGCCACAGGCTCTCAGGGCTCTTGCGTCGTCTTGACAAACCCACCCTGATCATCAAGATGAACCCTCTGTCCAGTCACATCCCTTGCTCTGAAATCAACCTTTTGATATTCCATCTTTTAAAAAGATTTATTTATTTATTATGTATAGAGAGAGACCCATAACAGCCAGGGCTGAGCCAGGTCAAAGCCAGGAGCTTGGAACTCCATCCAGGTCTCCCACATGGGTGCAGGCGCCATCTTCTGCTGCCTTCCCCGGCGTATGGCAGGAAGCTGGATTAGAAGCAGAGCAGCTGGGAGTTGAACTGGCGCTCACAGGGAAGTGGGCACTGCAGGATGCAGCCCAAACCGCTGTGCCATGATGCCGGCCCCCTGAAATGAACCCTGACATCAGAGCAGCCCCAGGGCCATGGGGGTGGGGGTGGGGGGCGGGGCGGGGGGCTGTGCCCTTTATTGCAGGCAGACATCTGAAGCCAGGCCGGATGCCACCGCCAAGCACCACCCCTGGAGGCTGCTGGCACCACTCTCCTGTCCTGCAGCCTCATCTCCCTCCGTGCCAGGGCTCAGGGAGAAAACCAGAGGTGTTGAGGACCACACAGAAGCCACGGAGGGCAAAGGCTGCGGAGGGCCAGGGCTGGCCAGCCAGGGCAAGGCCCCGGATCTTCATGGCCACCCCTGTGCTCTGTGCCCTTGTAGCTCCTGGAGAAGTGGATCCTGTCGGAGAAAGAGTGGGAGCGGGAGAAGGCCATGAACCTGCACCTGCACCTCGTGCAGATCTACGCACAGAGCATCGGCGTCTGCGTGAGTCCACGCCCGCCTCTGTGACATCCCCCGGGGAGTTCCTGTCTCCCTCCAGGGGAGCACGACACGCTGGGAGCCCGAGTCGGCCCCACACGTGTCCCCTGGGAAGAGGCCGCCAGGAGCTGGCCCCAAGGCCCCGCGGCTGGATGGGGAGGAGAGGGCGGGCTGGCTGGGCTTGGTTCTGGGTTTTGTGGGGTCTGAGGCAGTGGTGAGGGCCCTCTTTGGGAAGAGGGAACACAATCCCGGGCGCCATGCTGGCTGGGAAAGTAAACTGCTTTCTTAGCAGGAGAAAGTCGGTGGCTACAGAGTCCTGCGTGTATGCGTGAGACCCTTATCCTACACTTGTTGGCTCCTCCCCCTTTGTCTGTCCTGGGCAGTAGCTGTGCCAGGAGGACGGTGGGGTCCCAGGGCTCCAGTGTGGGGCTTGGCCTCGGTGCTGGGGCCGGTGGGACCCTGGGATGGTGAGTGGAGGTGGGGAGGAAGGCAGGGCGCACCTGGGCCGAGGTCGGTGCTAAGGAATTCTCTACTTCTCCCCCCACCCCGTCCTCCCTCCCTTCCTGGAAGAGGAGGCCACGTTACAGATGGGATGCAGGAGGGACTGGGAGACCCAGGGCCCTTAGTGAGTGGGCGGGGAAACCGGATCAGAACCCGGGGCTGAGTTCCAGGAGCCAGGCAGGGGCCTGGCACCGTCTTGAGCAGACACTGTCCTGGCAGATCGGCCTCCAGGCGCCCAGCCGTGGGGTGGGGAGGCCGGCCGTGGGGCCCTGATGTTTTCAGAGTGGGGCCGCCCTTTTCGGTCACCCTGCACGCTGTGCGTGAGGGCGGAGCGTGTGAGCACCGGGCGGTCGGGTCCCTCAGATCCCCCTGAAGCTGGGGCAGTTTGGCACGTTGGTGGGACTCGTCGCCCCCTGCACCTGTGACACCCACCTGAGAACCCGCGTGGCCTCAGCCAGAGTCCTGTCCTGCCTGCTGGACCTCCACGGTACGCGGTGGGCGGGACATGAGGAGGGGGCGTGGCCTCTGGCTGGACAGGCCTGGAGACAGACTGGGTGTCCAGGAGAGGGAGCAGAGTAGGGAGAGCTGCTGGAAGCCGAGGCTCCTGCGCTCGGGTGGGTCAGCCAGGGCCTGTGCAGGGATGAGCTTGCAGACACCAAGGGCGTGGCAGAGCTGGCCGGAGCTGAGCCAAAAGGCACTGCAGGCCGTTCACCAGCGACAGTGGGAGCAGAGGCTCCTGGGGCTGGGGGCGGGGCAGGAGGCTCTGTGGCGTGCCTGGGCCAGGCCCTGTGTCCCCCTCCCCCCATGCAGCGAGCCAGACCTGCTCCCTGTGGGGCGCTTCCAAGGAGAAGGAGCTGGAGAGGTGTGAGAAGGACCTGTGGGGCGCGGATGCCGACTCGATTCTCGGCGCGACCGCCCGAATCGCCAAGGTGACAGGGGGCTGGCCTAGGGGCACCCGGCCCTCCCACAGGTGCTGGGCCTTCCCTGGCTGGCTGCTCCCCCACATTCCCCCTGGAGGTGGCTGCTGCCGGTGGCCTCGGGCCCGAGCGGGCTCCCTGGAGCAGGGGACCGCAGCGGCAGCCGCTCTGCTCCCAGGCAGTCTGCGTGGAGTTCAGCGGCGGCGAGCTGGTCTCCCTGGTCCAGAAGCTCTGCGAGAACATCGGGGCCTTGGGCCCGCAGCACGACAAGGCCTCGGTCACCTGGATCAGCACGTTCCTGCAGACGCGGGCCTGGGAGCTGGAGGACGAGGTGCAGGGCCCGGCGCCTGGGGCTGGGCGGGGCGGAGCTGGGCAGGGGGCGGGGCGCCTGGGCAGGGCGGGGCTTTGCGGGGGCGGGGTGGGGCCGGGCAGGGCGGGGCCCCTAGGGCAGGGCAGGGCCCCTAGGGCAGGGCGGGTTGCCTGGGGCGGGGAGGGGCGCCTGGGGCTGGGCTGGGCGGGGCGGGGCGAGGCGCCTGGGGCTGTTGGCTGCACCCAGACTGGGGGACCTCACAAGGCTCCACCAAGCCCCTGGCTGCCCAAGGGGAGAAGGAGAGATGTGGACGAAGGGCACACAGAAGGGTTCCCGGTAGGCGGGTGGCCCGAGGGGAAACCGGCCCCCTGGGGTTTCCTCTCCTGGAGTGCCGGAAACCCAAGGAAATGCGCTCTAGGCGGGGGGGCGGGGTGTGTGCTGGGGGTCCCTCAGAGACGGGGTGCCCGTGGTGATGCCCCGCCCCTCCGCAGGTGGCCGAGATCCTGGGCGCCATCCTGGTCCACCTGCCCGTGGCGGAAGACCCGGACGTGCGGCGCCTCCTCATCGAAGGCATCCTCCTCCTGGCGCATTACCACCAGGACACCGTCCTCACGGCGCTGCTCAGGCGGCCCCTGCCCATGGAGAGGTGGGTCCCCCGGGGGCGGGGCCTGAACCCTCTAAATCCTCCAGATCCCTGTGGGAGGGGCCGCCTCTGGTGCACCCCCCATGGGGCACCCCCCCGTGGGGCACCCGGGCACCAGCCCAGCCGTGGCGCTGGGGTCTGGCTCCTGTGGCTCCTCTGGGCCAGCACCCGCGGAGCCCGGTGCCTGTGGCAGGTGGGTGGGCCTAGGATCCGAGCAAGCCTTCTGAGATGCCGCAGGCCCGGTGCTCTCAAAGCGTGTGGCTTGTCCGAGTCCCCGGGGATAACCCGGCCCGACCTCCAGCCCCGAGTGACACGTGGCAGCCCCTCCTTTCGTGGCTTAATCTCTGCCAGCTGTGCCAAGTTCCCATGTGTGGACAGGGTCTCTCCACATGTGGGGAGCATTATTTGGGTGGAGCCAGAACTCTCCTGGGGGTGGATGGGAGCACTTGGGTCCCTGCCATGCCTGTGGGAGACCGGGTTTGAGTTCCTGGTTCCTAGCTTTCGCCTGGCCCAGTCCTGGCTGCTGTAGGCATTTGGGGAGTGAATCAGCAGCTAGAAGACCCCTCTCCGTCTCTGAGCCTCTCACATAGGAATAAAATACATAAATACAAATTTCAAAAGATGCGTTGGGAGGGTTAGGTGGTATCCAACACCAGCAAGCTGCCTGTGCTGGCCTGACGCAGGTTGGGGGTTTGGGGACATGTCGGGAAGGTCCTCAGACAGTGGGCCGGCTGGGGACCCCGAGGTCACCCAGCAGGGCAGCCAGAGTTCTGAGGGGATTACGGCTTTCCTAGGGGCACCGTGAGCCTGAACAGAGAAAGGGGCCAGGCAGGGAGCCAGAACGGGGTTCTAGCTCCACCAGCTCCACCAGCTCACTCCGCCTCTCTGAGAGGCAGCCCTCGGGGTTCAGCCCCTACTCAGGGGGCTGCTGAGGGGGTTCAAGGGGATCCCCCCGTGGCAGGAATCCCATAACGCTTGCCCCGTGTCTGGGCAGCCACCTGACGGAGGTGTGGCTGGCCGTGGCCAAGAGCACGCCCTTTGCAAGGACCGTGCTCCGTGGCCTGATGGGCCGGCTGCAGTCGCGGTTCACTCGGAGGGTCAACGCCACCTCCAAGGCGGACATTTGGCGCATGGCCGCGGTGGACCCCCTGATGGTGAGTGCTGGGCTGGGCGCCGGGGCTCCTCAGGGTCTCGGGGAGGAGGCGCCCCCGACGCCCCTGGCCGGTCTCTCGGCAGACGCTGTGCACCACCCACCTCCTCATTGAGAATGTGGACGACGACGACGAGCTGTCCGACCTGGCCCCTGACCTCATCTACACCCTCCTGCTGCAGCTCGGCTGCAGCTACCAGCCCGAGGCTGCCTCGCCCGCCCTGAAGACCTGGAGGCTGGTCCAGCCGGGGCCCCTGCCCGAGGAGCTGACCCTGCAAAGGTGCTCGGGGCGGCCGGGCAGGTGGGCAGTGGGGAGGCCAGCACGGGTGCAAGGCTGTAGCCTGGGTAGGACTGGCCTTGTGCTGTCCCACAGGGGCCCAAATGTCCTCTCCCGGTGGGGAGGAGCAGTTTCTGGAAGCTGGTCTTACTCCTTCCTGTGCATCCAGCATGTGGGGGCTTCAGAACTGGCAGCCCCGTTCTCTCCTGTGACCACACCCTCAGCCCCCCGGGACCCCGACCTCATGGAGCGGCAGCCACAGCCCACGCCCCCGCCTCCTTCCAGGGTCGCCGTGAAGTCCATGCAGCTCTTGTTCCGGAGGCTGCACAGCGAGCGCCTGCTGCGGGCCCTGGAGGAGCAGTCGGTGTGGACCCTGCTGGAGAGCAGCGGGACCTTCCTGCAGGGAGTGAGCCTCCTGGCCAGGTACGGCCCGCGCTCTCCCGGGTGGGAGAGGCTCCCCCGGGAAGCGCACCCTCCAGCCGTGGCTGAGTGCCTCGTTCCCCGGGGGCTGACCCGCCACGCTGACCCACTGACCCGGGCCCGGGCTGGAGTGACAGCAGCGTGCAGGACATCGGGAACCCTTCATCGCAGGTGCCCTGAGGTCCTGGAGGGGAGGGGCTTGCCCAAGGCCACCAGGGCCAGGATGGGCAGTTGCTTGCTGCGTCCTCATCACGCATAGAGCAGAGCAGTCCTCGTTCGTGACTCCTTTATACAAAGGAAGTGGAAAGGGACCGGCAACCCCACCCGAGCCCCTGGAGGAGGTGGGAGAGGCCCAGAGGTGTCCCGGATCTGCCCGCAGCCAGCCTGTGAGCCCCGCGTCCTGTCTGCAGGCTGTGCGCGTGGCTCCTGGCAGGCTACCGGCAGAGACTCGCGGAGCTCGTGCTCAGGGGCATGGACTCGGACGTCCTGAGCTGCCGCGTCAGCAGCACGGCGGTCTGCGTGGAGGTGAGGGCCCCGCCATGTGCGAGTGGCGGTCTGCGTGGAGGTGAGGGCTCCGCCGTGGGCCGGGTGTGAGTGGAGGCCTGCGTGGAGGTGAGGGCCCCGCCGTGGGTGGGGTGCGAGTGGAGGTCTGTGTGGAGGTGAGGGTCCCGGGTGTGGGCCGGGTGCGAGTGGAGGTCTGCGTGGAGGTGAGGGCCCCGCCGTGGGCCGGGTGCGAGTGGAGGCCTGCGTGGAGGTGAGGGCCCCGGGCGTGAGCCGGGTGCGAATGGAGGTCTGTGTGGAGGTGAGGGCCCCGCCGTGGGCCGGGTGCGAGTGGAGGTCTGTTGAGGGCCCCGGGCATGGGCCAAGTGCGAGTGGAGGCCTGTGTGGAGGTGAGGGCCCCGCCGTGGGCCGGGTGTGAGTGGAGGCCTGCGTGGAGGTGAGGGTCCCGGGTGTGAGCCAGGTGTGAGTGGAGGCCTGCGTGGAGGTGAGGGCCCTGGGCGTGGGCCGGGTGTGAGTGGAGGCCTGCGTGGAGGTGAGGGTCCTGGGCGTGGGCCGGGTGCGAGTGGAGGCCTGCGTGGAGGTGAGGGCCCCGCCGTGGGCCGGGTGCGAGTGGAGGCCTGCGTGGAGGTGAGGGCCCCGCCGTGGGCCGGGTGCGAGTGGAGGCCTGCGTGGAGGTGAGGGCCCCGCCGTGGGCCGGGTGCGAGTGGAGGCCTGCGTGGAGGTGAGGGCCCCGGCGTGGGCCGGGTGCGAGTGGAGGCCTGCGTGGAGGTGAGGGCCCCGCCGTGGGCCGGGTGCGAGTGGAGGTCTGTGTGGAGGTGAGGGCCCCGGGCGTGGGCCGGGTGCGAGTGGAGGCCTGCGTGGAGATGGGGGCCCCGGGCGTGGGCCGAGTGCGAGTGGAGGCCTGCGTGGAGGTGAGGGTCCCGGGAGTGAGCCGGGTGCGAGTGGAGGCCTGCGTGGAGGTGAGGGTCCCGGGAGTGAGCCAGGTGCGAGTGGAGGCCTGCGTGGAGGTGAGGGCCCTGCTGTGGGCCGGGTGTGAGTGGAGGCCTGCATGGAAGTGAGGGCCCCGCCGTGGGCCGGGTGTGAGTGGAGGTCTGTTGAGGGCCCCGGGCGTGGGCCGAGTGCAAGTGGAGGCCTGCGTGGAGGTGAGGGTCCTGGGTGTGAGCCGGGTGTGAGTGGAGGCCTGCGTGGAGGTGAGGGCCCCGCCGTGGGCCGGGTGCGAGTGGAGGTCTGTGTGGAGGTGAGGGTCCCACGCGTGGGCCGGGTGCGAGTGGAGGCCTGTGTGGAGATGGGGGCCCCGGGCGTGGGCCGGGTGCGAGTGGAGATCTGCGTGGAGGTGAGGGTCCCAGGCGTGGGCCGGGTGCGAGTGGAGGCCTGCGTGGAGGTGAGGGCCCCGCCGTGGGCCGGGTGCGAGTGGAGGCCTGCGTGGAGGTGAGGGCCCCGCCGTGGGCCGGGTGCGAGTGGAGGCCTGCTTGGAGGTGAGGGCCCTGGGCGTGGGCCAGGTGCGAGTGGAGGCCTGCGTGGAGGTGAGGGCCCCGGGCGTGGGCCGGGTGTGAGTGGAGGCCTGTGTGGAGGTGAGGGCCCCACCGTGGGCCGGCTGCAAGTGGAGGGGGGTGGGTGCCCTGGGCTCGCCTCCAGGGCAGGTGCTGAGTCTCTGAGGGACACCTGGGCCGGGGACAGGAGAGCTGCCTTCCGTCGTGCGTTCATTCACTCATTCACTGGTTCCTTCATTCATTCATCTCATGAGAGATTCACGGTGAGGCGCTGTGGGGGTGAAGGCACTTGTGGGGTGGCAGCCGAGCCCTGGGTGACACGTGGTGCTCAGAGGGTGCACCTGGGCTCTGGGGAAGGCTTCTCACAGGGCTCAGAGAGCAGGGAGGCGGGGGGGGGGGGTGCTGTGGCTGTTGGAGCTCTGCGGGGGCCCGAGGGAATTGGCCAGCAAACTCTCAGCAGGAATCCCCTGACTGCAGGACGCCCGAAACGCAGTAGGAAGCAGACAGCCCAGGCGGGGGCGAGCCCTTTCTGTAGAGGGTCATGTAGCAGATTTTTATTTGAGGGGTAAAGAGAAAGGGAGGGTGGAGATCTCCCGTCTGCTGGTTCACTCTCCAAATGCCCACGACAGCCAAGGCCGGGCCAAAGCCGGAGCCAGAAGCTGGGCTCTCAGTGCAGGTCCCCGCGTGGGTGGCTGGGAGCCACTACCTGCGCTGTCCCCGGGTCTGCATCGGCAGGAGTCAGCAGTCAGAGCCAAAGCCGGGAGCCGCCCGAGGTAGCCTGGCGTGGGATGCGAGTGCCCCTCCTGCTAGGCCAGACCCAGCCTCCGGGAAAGGCCCCTTCCTGACTGTGCGGCCGACTGGGCTGTTGTGGCAGGAAGTCAGCGCCGACACTGGCGACGTCGGGATTCCGACAGAGCCGAAACGTAAACTTCAAGTGTGATTGTCGTGTGTCACCTACGTCCTTCAGATGTTTTTTCTTACTTTTTAAAACCGCGACGATTCTTGGCTGTGGGCCACCCAGAAGCTCCCGGGACATGCTCACCAAGCCTGTCCCAGTTCAGTGGGCTCCTCCCAGTGTGAGGCTGCCTCTGCAAAACCTCGAAACAAAGCTGGGAAGGCGAGGCCCCCCCCTCTGCCTCATGCGGGCACTGGTGCAGCTCAGTCCCAGGGGGCTGCAGGCAGAGGCCCAGCTCTTGGGTGCAGCAGCTGTGCAGCCAAGGACAAGTGGCTTAGGGTCTCTGTGCCTCAGTTTCCACAGGGGCCAAGCTGGGGCCGCCCTGGGGGCTTCGGTGAGACTCCGACGCGGTGACATTCTCATTGCCGGGCTGCCTGGCTCACTGCTAGCCAATGACTCCTGATTAGGTTCAGCTTCTAAGAAGCCAATGCCCTAAACTCTTCAAAACCCGCAGGGCTGATTATCCAGGGCTCCATTTCCCGTGAGAGGAGTGATAAGACGTTAGGACTTTATCCCAAACGGCGTTCACCATCAGGTGTGTCTCAGGCACGACGCTGGCCTTGAATAGGAGCCCAGTAAACACTGCGGTAAACTGAGGCAGGCAGGACGCTCCCGCCGCGCTGACGTCAGGCCGGGCCGGGAGCGAGGCAGGCACAGGTGCAGAGTGCCTGCCCTTCTCCTTTCCCCTTGGACTTATGGATCGGTTGCTTGGCTTTCCTGAGATCCCTTTAAAACACACTCGGGTGCCTGTGCGTGCACGTGTGTGTGTGTGTGTGTGTGTGTGCGTGTGCCTGCATACATGCACGCCAGGGCCTGAGGTCTCGGCCAATAGTGAGCCTCCCAAATAAAGGAACACAGGCATCACCCTGCCTGTGGCTGTTCAGCGGTGGGTGGGCGTGGCTCCTGCTCCCGGCGGTGCAGGCGTGTTCGCTGACAGAGATGAATGTGTGAATCGGCCCAGCATTGCCCGCACATTGTTACTGAATCCTCATGGCAGCCCTGAGTCGGGGGCAAGGATATCACCCCCCGTTCACAGATGAAGAACCCAAGCCCTCCCCAACACACAGCGGCCACGTGAGCTGCCGTGGCCCCCTGCCCTGTCGGGCTGCCGCGAGCAGGCCACGCCCCGTTCTCCCCTGCAGTTCATGGGCGAGCCGGTGCTGCACCAGGAGAAGCTGCTGAGGCCGGCGGTGCTGCTCCTGGAGAGGGGCGCGGAGCAGGAGGAGGACGAGGCCCTGCGGGTGCTCTCCCTGCGCGCCCTGGGGAACATGGCCCTGGGGGCCCCCAGGAAGGTGTGCAGGGCCGGGGGCGGCGGGCTCCCCCGAGGAGCTGGGGGGAGGCTGAGCCGCTCGTGGCCCTGCAGGTGAAGCAGTACCGGAAGCTCCTGCTGGAGACTTGCCTGGGCTCGCTGCGGGTCCCGGCGAGCACCCGCGCCACCGCGGAAGGCATGGAGGCCCTGACCAAACTCCTGGCCGAGCTCCGCGAAGGGGACGTGGGGGCCTCCTTCGACGCCATCTCCGAGCACTGCAGACTCTTCTTCGACAACGTGAGTCTACGTGGAACGCGGGCTGAGGCGGCTCGTGGTCCCGTGGTGGGGAGGCATCTGCTATGGGGCTCGTGTCCTCACCGGGAGGGGGGGGGGCTGTGGTGAGCAGAGCAAGTGCACCCACTCGGGCTCGCTTCCTCCTTTTTTTTTTTTTTAAAGTGTGTATTCAAAAGGCTGAGTTGCAGAGAGAGACAAAGAGAACTCTCCCATTGGCTGGTTCACTCCCCAAGTGGCGCAATAGCCAGGGCTGGGCCAGGCTGGCCAGGAGGCTGGACCTCCACCCCCACGTGTGTGCAGGAACCCAGACACTCGGCCCCTCCTGGAGCTGGATCCGATGTGGAGCACCTAGGCTAGAACTGGCGCTCGTGTGCAGGCGGCGGGTTAACCCGCTGTGCCACGGCTCGGCCCCTCCTCCTCCTATTACAAACCCAGTAGGGCCACCCTGGGGCTCCTCCCTCGAGGCTCACCTGGTTCTAGTCACCCCCCAAGCATGTGAATTTGGGGACTGTTCCTAACTCTTGGGGGACATTCAGATCAGTGAGTGAGCAGCACCTGTGTCATCCCCAAAGGAATGGCACGCTTGGGAGAAGCAGCCCAGCGTCCCTGCTGGGGCAACAGGCCGATCCCGGGATCTCGCACACACTCAGTTCTGCGGCAGCCCAGGGCTCACGGACGCCCCAGCCTCAGCAGGAGGGGAGGCCGCGCCCCTCAGCCCTGCACAGCTCGCGGATGCGCTGTGGGCAGCTGGGCCTTGCTAAGAGGGGCCTGTGTTCAAATCTGGCCCAAGTCCTGGTCCAGGGAAGACAGTCTGGGACAGGGGCCAGCACCCAGGGCGCCGGGCACCTGCCCCAGTGTGACCCCCTCGGTCCAGGAGAGCGAGCTCCTGCGCTTCAAGGCCTTCGAGCTCTTTGGGAAGCTGGCGACGGTGGTGGGGATTTCCAAGAAGCATTTCTTCAAGGGCGAAGTGAGGAAGGCCTGGGTCCCCCTGTTGCTGCACTGCCAGGACCCCTGCTCCAACACTGCCCAGGTGAGACGTGTCCCCGAGGCCCGGCCCCTGGGACCCGCGGGCCGTGCAGAGGGGCTGCCCAGGTGAGACGCGTCCCCGAGATCTGGGACCCGCGGGCCGTGCAGAGGGGCTGCCCAGGTGAGACGCGTCCCCGAGATCTGGGACCCGCGGGCCGTGCAGAGGGGCTGCCCAGGTGAGACGCGTCCCCGAGATCTGGGACCCGTGGGCCGTGCAGAGGGGCTGCCCAGGTGAGACGCGTCCCTGAGATCTGGGACCCGCGGGCCGTGCCGAGGGCTGCCCAGGTGAGACGTGTCCCCGAGGACTGGCACCTGGGACATGCAGGCTGTGCAGGGGGACCATCCAGACCCGCGAGACCGGCTTATCTTGGGGATTCTCGGCTGCCCAGCCCTTCTCCCGGCAGACGCCGCGCCTTGCGGCACTTCTCGGTGTTAGGACTCAGAGTTCTGGTTGAGACTCACCAGCGATCTCCCTCTCCACCTCCCGGTGGGGCAGGCCCACGCTGGGGCTGCTGGCACCCGAGGAGGAGGGAGGGATGCCTGGCCTGGCCTCTCCTCTCCCTCCTCCCCAAGGCCCAGCTCCTCCACGCTGGGGCAGGAGGCAGAACGGTGTCTGGATCTGCTCCTGTGGCCGCTGCCTCTTGGGCAAATGCTGGCTGCCTGGGACCCCTACATGGGGACTGTCCACCTTGGGCTCAGGACCCCAGTCCCTTTTCTTCCCATACAGACTGGGGGAGGGGTGGTGAAGAGGTGGCTGAGATGGGGGTAGCCCTGCCTCCTCCCCCCACACTTCAGGGGTGTAGCTGGCCCCCAGCCACCTGATGCCACTCAAGCCGTGTCCCCGCCCCTGCAGGCCTGCACGGCCACCATGTTCCAGTGTGTGCACTTCTGGGGCTGGAAGTCCCTGGAGCGGCCCCCAAGGCAAGGCAAGGCCAGCGCCGACGACCTGGCTGTGTTCCAGACAACCATGTGCTCCGTGCTGGTGAGGGGCTACTTCCCCGTGACCCCGATTCCCTTCTAGCCATGGACGGCAGGGGCAGCACTGGAGAGGGAGGGCACTGCAGACAGCTCACGGGACACCTGAGCTCGCCCTGGGGCACACAGGACTGGCGTCTGCCGTACTCATCCCCGTGTGCTCCTGAAGACCCTGGCGCGCGTGGGTCCCACTTGTTTTGCACCGAAGTAAACGTGTCCTCATCCCACTTTCCCTGGGAAGCACCCTGGGGCTGGCCAAAGGCCCATGTTTAACTTTCAAGCAGCCACACTCAGAGAAGTGGGAGGACGGGAAACGCCATAATAATTTATTTCATCCAGTCCACCATAACCACAATATGATCACTAACGTGGAATCAACATTCAAATTGATGCTTTGCACTGTCTTGGGTCTAGCCCTCCGAATCCACACAGCACACCACACTGAGACCAGCCACATTCCACGTGTTCAAGGGCCAAGGGTGGCCAGCGGCTACTGCTGGGGACCACACAGCCCCACCTCCCACCCCCGCAGGGTCTCCCAAGAACGCAGCCAGGGGCCGAGGGTCCTTAACTTGCCCAGCTGGCTCGCTGTGAGTCTGGGGTGGCGCAGGCCGTCCCTGTGGAAGGGAGCACCCCGCCAGCAGCCTGTCCCCCGAGGCTGCGCGTTGTCCCGTGTCTCGCAGACTCAGAAGAAGCCGGCGGTCCTCTACTGCTTCCTGCTGGAGACGCTGACCTACGTCAGCAACAATCTGTCCAGGATCAGAATCGCCTCCTGTAACCTGGCAGGTGGGCGCGAGCTCAGGTCTGGCCCGACGCAATCCCAGGGCGAGGGTCTTGCGCGGCGCCACCGTCTCCTGCTTCCCGGCCGGCCTCCTACTGCCGGCCGAGTCCCTCTGCTGTCGTTTTAGGGATTATGATGAAGCAGATGTCTGCCCACTACCTGAAAAAGCTGGACTTCCCCTCCCTCCGCAACTGTGAGTGCTGCAGCCGAGGCTGGGGGCAGAGCCAGGTGACCTGGGCTGCTATCCTGGGGGTGTGGCCAGGGAGAGACGGGGGCACGGCGGGGCGGGGTCTCTAGGAAGAAACACCACCTGCACTATGCCAGGCGGCACGCGTTTCCTCGGCAGCTCGCAGGTGCTTGCCTGAGCTCTGGCCAAGCCGTCTGTGGCGGGCGGTGGGCCCGGCTCCTGCCGTCTCTGGGTCCCACATGCAGCAGGCAGCCTGGGGGGCAGCAGGTCTTTTCCCCTTTGTGCCCGCCCCCAGCGCTCCAGGAGCTCCAGCTGGACACGGACCCTGGCGTCCGGAGGGCCGCCCTGGAGACCCTCCAAGTCTTGGACGGCTGCAGCCAGCACTGGGTTTCGGCTTTGCCAGGAGGAAGGTCCTAGGTGGCTGGTGGTTCCTGGTTCGGACGGGTGGAAACCACGAGTGTGCCAGGTCCTCCACGGCCGCGCGCGCTGTTGTGCACTTGAGTTTGTTTTAAGATAAACTTTGCTTTCCTTGTTTTTCAAATAAATCTCCTTAGCCGTTTGCAGTGCAGCTCAGGTCCGCGAGGTGGCTGCACCAGGGTGTGTCACGGCCCCCGCTGGGACCCCAGTCCCGTCTGCAGAGGGTGCGCCCTCTGCCAGGCACCAAGCAGTCGTCCAGCTTCCGCACCAGGTACCCTGCTCCGGAAGGGAAGGGCAGACGACACACAGCCAGGGTGGAGGTGCTGTGGTGGCCGCGTCAGCCTGGGCACAACCCAGGATGGCTTCGTGGGGGAAGCCATGTTCACACGAGGCTTGGCCTACAGTTACCAGGGCACATTTGGGTTGCTGGACCAGGAGTCCAGGGAGGCTGAGTGTGCAAAGGAGGCATGGGCCCCACGTGCAGGAAGACTTGTCCCCCAGAGCAAGCTGTCTGGCAGTCCCCGAGCAGTCACCCCGACTTCCAGGCTGTCCCCCTACACCTGCTGCAGGCAGTACCAGTGGGCTGTCCACAGGTGATGGCTCCCAGGGACCCGTGAGCTGGGCTCCGCCTGGAGCCGCACGGGGCTGCCGCTAAAAGCCGGATCCCACAGACGTGGCCAGCAGTGGCGCTGCACTGACCGCACACGGGGCGACGGCCGTGCTCCGTGCAGTCTGTCCCAGGGCCTGACCCCGCAGAGCGCCGTCGGAGGTGGCACTGCTGGTCCCAGGAGGCAGTGTCTCTTCACGACCGGCAGCAGAGCCAGCCCCGCCAGGTGCTGACTGAGCTCTGTGGCCACGTCAACAAAACGCCATCGAGTTAAGCGCGCCCCGGACGCAAGGAGCCTCCTGCAGCCTCTGAGCTGGGGTTCGCAGAACTGGAGCCAGAACGCACAAGGTGGTGACAGGAGACCAGCAGAGAAGCAGCGTCCTGGAGCACGGGCGCCGGCCCTGCCATCTGTGCTGTGACCGTTCACAGCCCCGGGAGCCCCCGGGCACCGCAGGCCAGAGCAGCCGGGCCAGGCCCTGGGGAAGTGAAAAGGCAGTAGGCGGGGACGCCAAGACACACCTGCCCTGACACACAACTCTCCTCCAGGTGTGTGCCGAGGACGGCCACCTGTCCCCGTCTGCAGACAACCAGGACGGGGGAGCACAGTGTCTACCTGGAGCTCTTAACACGCGAGACGCCCGCCGGGGCAGCCCCCGGCCCTGGCCCTCCTCCACAAGACGTGGACGGAGATGGGAAGCGGGAGCACGCAGCCCGGCCGGGGAGACTCGGCACCGCCCCAGCACCCCGGGCAAGGATGACGAGGGAAATGCGTGGGCCGGGCTCTCAGCAAGCAGCAGGCCGAGAACGGCTAGAGGGCGGGCAGGGCCCCTCCGCCAGCCCCGACTGAGCCAGGCCGCCTGTTAAAGCCGACCCTGCCGAGGGGCGAGGCTTTGGCCGGGTTCTTGGCCACCAGCAGGCTGACCGCTCACGGTGCGGTGGGCTGACCCGTGGGTCCCTCACATTCCTAGGGTGGGGTTCCAGCTCCCAGCATACCTGACCTCGCTGGCATCGTGACCTCGGAAGCAGTTAAGCCACTGACCTGGGCTCCAGCGTTATTTCAGGAGGCTGAGCTGAGCCGTCCGGTGTTGGCGAGGCGGCTGTCTTCCGGGAAGCCGGGTCTAATGAGACAGTGCGCTGGACGGTGCCCCGGCGACACTGGGGCCGCGGGGCCCACTTCTTCCCGCTGTTTCCTTGCTCCTGGACGAAGGGGCTCCGGGCTGTGAAATCCCCCCACGGGGAGGACGCGGAGCTCTGGCGCAGGGGCTGAGCTGCAGACGGCGCAGCTGCGGCCCCCTCTGCTCCCCACGGCAGGGCCTGCGCGGCTCCGTACCCAGACGACGTCCTCGTGATGCGGGAGGCGGGGCACGTGTCGCCGGAAACGTCCCCGTTCAAAGGAAACAGAAAGACGGGTCTCCAGAGACGTCTGGGAGTTTTTTAATTAAGCGACTTTATTTCCATGACTTCGTCCCGGGGCCCGAGCGCCGTCTGACGGAGTGGGTGCTGCTGAAATCTGTCTAAGGGCAGAAAAGCCAACCAGGTTCTCCCGTCTTTGTGATGCCGAAGAAAAAGCCACAAACCAGAGAGCAAGGGGGACAGCGCTGCACACTGCCCGGTGGAGACGCCGGCACTGCCTTCTAGCGACAGTCACTCCGTCCGTCTGTCTGGAAAGCCGTGCTCTCGCCTCTGCGGGCAGAAAAGACAGATCCGACTGCAGCCCCATCTGACAGGGCCCCCAAAGCCAGGCCCCACACAGCCCCCTGCCTTCCGGTCATCCCAGGGCGTGCACAGAAGTATCTGTATTCACGGTAGAAGATGCCCCAAGGAATCAGACACAAACCCAACAGCGATCCCCACACAGGCAGTGCAGCTGTGGCCCGTCCCCGGCTCTCCAATGCTGGCCACTCAGGACAAAGAGCGAGACTACACAGTCCCCGGCTCTCTGACGCCGGCCACCCTGCACTGCCCGTGTCAACACAGAGGTCCTAACAGTGAAGCTCACTGCCTCATTTACAAATGGGAGAACCCGCCTGCTCTGCCGACCTCATCCGATGGGAGGGTTCTCTCCACGCGGTGGTTAGCCTGGTGGTTAAGACCCCGTGTGAGAAGCCTGCATCCCACTGCAGAGGCCTGCGTTTGAGACCAGGCGCCACCTCCACTCCAGCTCCCTGCTACTGCACCTGGTGGGCAGCAGGTGGTGGCTCAAGTACGCGGGTCCCTGGAAGCCACATGGGAGACCCAGACAGCACGAGGATGATCTGGCCCCTTCCTCAGACCGGTCACAATGGTTTAACGCCCTCACATTGTGCCTTAAGATGGCGTCTGGTGCTGGCCACCGAGACCGGCGGTCAAGTTCCAGGGGGACCTAAGTGCCCCCCTGCAGGCGCCGGGGCGCCTGCTCACGACACGGACCTGTCTGTAAAGCTGTCCCCTCCACGTGGCCTTTAGGCCAAGCAGGTGAAAAGGCACGAGGTGATTTTGCACTGGGGTCAGGTGGGACAGGGGCCCGGGGGGCCCAGGGCGGGATGACAGTGAAGGAACAGGAGGCTGGGCAGGGCACTGGAGAAGAGTGGAGACAGCAGGACAGCACACGGCAGTTCCGGGGGCCCGGCGTGGCTCTCTGGGTGGGACTGTCTTCGGTGAAGTCCTGCCTTTTACGAGGACCAAGGTTATCCTCAGAGGGCAGCTGGCAGCAGCGTGCAGGCGTGGCACTGCGCTCAAGGCCGTTCCCTGAAGAAGGGGCTGGGGGCTGTCTGAGGCTTCCCCCTCCCAGAACCCCTGCAACGCTGGCCGCCAGTCACTCGGCTGGTGGGTTGGTCTTGTAAAGCCCAAGGGGCACAGGAGGGGGCTGAGGGGGCGGGGCAAATGGCCCGGGACCACCAGCGAGCCCAGCTCCAGGGGGAGCACTGGCGGAGACCAGGAGCCTGCCGCGCCGCGCCCAGGGCTGGGCCGCCCTCCTGGGCTCCCCCTCGGAAGGGTTCTGGCCGACAGCAGATGACGCAGCCTGTTCAATCTGCTGCTGGCGAGCCCACACGTGATGTTATACACACGTGACATCACAGAACACGCGTTTGATGCGTCTTTCTCACACACACACACGTGTGCACGCTCACACACATTCCTAATGGAAACGCTGGTTTAGAGGAAGGAAAAGAGGGGAGAGAATGCTTAGAAACAAATACCCAAGAATGTTCTGGAATTTGTCCAAAGGCACACGCAGGTCACTACCGCAGGAAGCCGCCAGCCCCAGCTACACAAACTCACCTTCTCTTCCCCGCTGGGTGGTCCGGGCCTGGGGAGTCCCAGGAGTCGGCCTGGGGTGCGCGCAGCTGGGGGTCTGGCAGCCTGCGGCGCTTCGCAGGGGACCAATGGTCACCCCTGGTGGCTCCAGCAGACGCCCCGTCCTCCACTGCGCTCGAGCCCAGTGCGCCTCTTCTGTGCCACTGGGCTGACAGCGACAACTTCTGGGACCGGGAGTCCGGGTTCGGTTTTCCCAGGACATCGTCTGTCCGGTGCCGGGCCTGCGCACTTGCCGTGTCTGGAGACGCTGCGACCGGCCGCGGTGCCGTGCTGCAGTACTCCCGATGCAGCTTGTCAAACTCTTCTTTAATCTCATCGTAACGATTCCTCCCGCAGCCCAGAGGTTCTGTCCTGGGTCCTGGAACAGCTCCGCCGGGTGACGCCGCCTTCCTAAGCAGGCCAGGGCTGCTTCCCGGGACAAGGCTCCTCGCCTGCTGCGGGCGGCCTGGGCTCGGCACGGGGCTGGGCCCTGCAGGCAAGGGAGAGGGACCGTCCTCTGGCCGGCCTTGGCCTGAGTCCACGGATCTGCCCAGGCGCTCGAAGGCCTCCCTCAACGTCTTGCCCTTCGCTCTCACAGACAGACCCGGCCTGTGGGTTTCGAAGCTCCAGGAACCCCCTGGGCTCACCGGACCGCCGCTGTACAGGCCCACGGCCCAGGAGTCCGCGAGGCCCGTGTGGCGAGGCTGTCTGCCGGGGCTCAGGGCGTACTCCCGATGCAGTCTCTCAAATCGGACCCGGATCTCCCTGTAGCGCTCCCCGCGGGGGCCCTGTGGCGTTGCTGGTCCAGAGATGAGCTTCACAGGGGAAAGCAGCCACTGCAGCATCCCGAGCCTGCGCTCCCGGCCCAGGGCGCGCACCGCTCCGACGTCCGAGCCTGCCGGAGCCGAGTTCCTCCGTGGCGTCAGCTGCAGCTCCTTCCAGCCCGGATCGGACGTCTGCACCTGGGATTTGTTGCCTTCAAGACAAGCCCTTTCCAATTTAAAACCCGCCTTACGGCGAGAAACATCGAGTAGGTTCTCGCAGTCTCTCAGTGGTCCCGCACCCGGCTCCGGCTCCGGCCCCGGCAGGGGTGGGTGCGAGGAGCTCCCCCGGGAACGCCTGCCCGCCTCGCAGTACGTCCTGTTCAGCCTGCTCCTCCACCTGTGCCGCCGCCTGCAGCTCCAGGCTTGAAGCACAGACGCTCTGGTGGAGATGACGCACGCCGGCTTTGCACTCAGCAGCCGGCTCATGGAGCGCAGCATCCCCGCGTACAGCTCGCTGATGGTCACGTCGCACAGCTCCTCAGCCGCCCAGGACCGGCCGCTCCCGTCCGTCCCCAGGGAGCAGAGGCTGTCGTCTTGGTGTTCCGTGCCCGTGTCTGTGGAGCCAGGATGCAGGGGGCACTGCTCCTGGGGCGGCGAGGCCGGCTTAGCCGGGCCCCCGGGGCTGCTTCCAGAGACCCCACCACGGCACCCTGGGAGAAACACACAGTCACACGTCCCTGTGCAGACATCATGGAACTCGAGGCCGGACCGCGACCTTCTCAAAGCAACGATGACAATAATGACAATGACAATGATAATAAGAAGCCCCAGGTTCCGAGGGAGAGGTTCCTTTCCAGGCATCAAAACTAGACTCTTGCTTTCCCACCCCGGGACTGACCTGGAACCTGCTGTCTTCGAGAGCTCACTGGAAGGCAGGAGGTGCCCACACACTTCCCGCCAGGTTGGGCGGGAGTGAGCTAAGCATCCCGAATGCACTGCTTCGCGCAGCTGTGACTTCTGCAGGATGCGAAATGCTTTATGTATTGGGAAAAAAGTGTCACGCTCACTAAGCAGAAGGGGAGGAGGGCGAGAGGTGCCGCCCTGCGGGGCTCCTGGGCTCTGGACAACCGGCCAGGTGAGCACGCTTTACTGCGGTGATGACCCAGAGGGATGGACATCGAGTCGGGGAGGGCCGGCGCTGTGGCGCAGCAGGTTAGCCCTCCACCTGCAGTGCTGGCATCCCATGTGGGCACCGGTTCAAGTCCTGGCTGCTCCACTTCTGATCCAGCTCTCTGCTATGGCCTGGGAAAGCAGTAGAAGATGGCCCAATCCTTGGGCTCCTGTACCCACATGGGAGACCTGGAAGAAGCTCCTGGTTTTGGCCTGGCCTAGCCCCAGCTGTTACAGCCATCGGGGAGTGAACTAGACGATGGAAGATGTCTCTCTCTCTCTGCCTTTCAAACAAGTAAATAAATCCTTACACAAAAACAAGAACTGATGGGCACAGCTAAAGGACACGGAGGCCAGCCTGAGGGGCTCCCCAGGCCCAATCCAGGACCGCCGGAGCACTGGCCCGGACGCCAGCAACAAAACACGACATGAATTTAAAAACGGCCCGCGAGTCCTGATTCTGAGACAGTAAACACCTGAATCCTGAGCGTGCAGAGGAGACACAGTGAGGGGACAGCCCCCCTACGCAGAGCAAAGCTGACCACGGAGCCACCAGCCTTGGCCACCATCGCCACTGCACGCCAAAACCACTGGGTGGAAAAGGCCGCCACAGACGGCACCCAGGGCTCTTGAGCAGGCCCCACCTCAACTAAACCACCGGACCCAAAGGCCAGCAACGATGGGACAGGCTGGCCGGAACCTGCAGGGCTCACAGCACCACCCAGCGAGCGCGTGTGCCAGCAGTGCTCCCACGAGCACAACCCCAGGAAACAACCAGGCACCTCCACGCCCAGGGCCGCCCTGCAGAATGACAGGCCTGGACCGCTCCAGAGAGCCAACGCCAGGGGTGCTGCGGGCTGGGGGGGTGACAGCTGAACAGTGAGGGACCCACAACTCGACCCGCACACACACAGCCACACAGACACACACACGGCTACGACAGACGGGGCAGGTCCTGTCAGTGTCAGTGTTTCATGTCTACCATATGCTCAGCTTCTTACACTCCCCTGGGGGGTGCCCTGTTCTTAGGGGACAGTGTGCACATGGATGTGCGTCCACGTGCGCGTGTGCACAGGACGCAGCTGGTTTGACAGGAGGGTCCCTGTGGCGTGCAGGGCAGCCACGCCCACCGCACTGCTCCTGTGCCCGAGTGAAGGGGATGGGCCACACTCACCAGGGGCAGGCGTAGCCGGCCGGGCCAGGGTCTTGTACGTGTCCTTCCCATCTCTGAGAGCTGCTCTCTGAAATGAAAGCCAACAATCGCGAGAGCTGTCAGGTGCCGAGGCCCTGGGCGCGTGGAGCCAGTGCAATGCCTCCCCCGAGGGCGGGGTAAGGAGCTGCTCCCCTTTCAACACACGGCGGGCAGCAGCGGGGCGGTGTGGACAAGCACGTGGCCGTGACACTCCCAGCAACATCTAGCAGTCCACATGGCTCCAGGGACTCCCTCCCCCCACGGGAGGGCTGGTGGCCTCTCTTCACCATCCACTGTGACAGCAAGCACCTCACGGCAGCTGGTGACGGGCGATGACCCCCGGGAGCTGCCCCGCCCTCCAGTCCCCTGGCCAGGTCACACAGCAACCGAGAGGACGCCACTCGCTGCGGGCGGTGGAGACAGGCCCCTCCAGGACCCGTGGTGCTGCCGCGGCCGCAGGCACGGCAGGACCTGTGCTGGGAGAGGGGTGCTCTTCATCGTGCCGGGCCCTGCCTGCCTGCTGGGAGCCAGGGCGTCCTCCTTGGTGTGAGTGACGTTGACAGAAGGCAGGAAGCTGAAGAGGTGACCCCTGTGTCCCTGCACTGCCAGGCTCCGTTCCGCGGGCAGAGCTCCGGGAGCAGCTGCAGGGTAACGGGCGCTCAGGCATCCAGGGGCCTCCTCCCTTCCCACCAGAACACGGACCCAGGGCAGCTGGGACGAGCCGGAGCCCCTCACACCAGGGAAGGGGGGCTCTGGTCCCTGACTGTGCAGCTCAAAGCCCCTCTGCCCAAGAGCTCGAGCCCCACGCACGGCCCCAGATTTCTGCAGTGGGCAGCGGAGGGCACACCCCCAGGGCTCCGGCCTCCAGCAGCTGCCCCGGTGGTGCTGCCCCAGGGCAGGGGAGGTCTCAGAGCCTGGAGCCGTCCTGGCTCGGAGCAGTAACACGGGCACAGCGCGTGCAGGGCGCCCTCCGCCTACGGGAGCCGTCCTGGCTCGGAGCAGTAACACGGGCACAGCGCGTGCAGGGCGCCCTCCGCTTACGGGAGCCGTCCTGGCTCTGAGCAGTAACACGGGCACAGTGCGTGCAGGGCGCCCTCCGCTTACGAGCTCAGGGCACCCAGTGCACCAGGCAACACATTACCTCAAAAAACTCCGCGTCTTGCAGCAGTATATCCACTTGGGTCAAATACTTCCTTCTCAACTCAACTTCCAAAGGGCCCTGGGGCGCTGCGGGCTGACGGGGGAGAGGCGGTGTTGAGAAGGCTGACCCGGTGAGCTCTGGACTGACTGGCAGGCTCAGAACGCACAGCTCCCTCCACCGGGCTGTCCCGAGTAACCTCTCCTCCCACCGTGCCAGAGGTCCAGCCCCTCTGTGCTCCCCCGGCCCAGCAACCTGGCCCTAGGCCGGTCACCCAAGTACAGTTTAATAAATAAGTCTGGCGAGGTTTATGACAGCGTTCCTGGAACAGGAAAACACCCGGAACAACCTCCCAGGAGTTCAGGGCCCAGCGCCAGGAGTGAGCCCTGGCCTGTAAGGAGACCATGACCAGCCCAGGAGGCCAGGTGGCTGGCTCCACAGCCCTGCTCCACTCCTGCACCTGCTCGGGGGAGGCAGGGGTGTGGGACCAGGAGGTACCAGCCACTTGCTGGGGCAGGGCCAGCACCCCACTCCTCTGGCTGAGGACACCCTGCCTGTCCCCCAGCCCTGCAAGATATTTACAAAGTGCCCCCCCCCACGCTGAATCACTGCCTCTTCTCCTAAAAGTGCCACGTGGGTGCCTGGCCACAAACCTGCACCCAAAAGCAATCCCGTGGTAAAACCAGACGCCAGCTCTCACGGTGTCTGACGGCAGGCGACCGGGGCTGGGAGACGCCTGTGTGCACCCCACCCCCATTCCCGACCCGCAGGAAGGCGAGATGGCAGGTGGCCTCTGTGACCCGCGGGGCACAGGGGAGACCACCGTACAAACACCACTGTTGACGTGGTGCCAGCTCGCAGGTCACATGAGCTCGCGAGGGCCAATCTGGAAGCGCTGGCTAGAACACCCCCTGGTGGGTGACAGGCTCTGGGCAAGAACTCGGAACCCTGCATTCAAGCCTGGGGGCTCAGTCCAGGCAGGGGGGACCACGCTGCCAGGTGAGTCGCCCCACATCACTTAGAGCCACGGAAGCCAGGCGCCACGGCCAGCCTGAGAGGGAGGCACGTGCTACCTCAGGGGGCCTCAAGGGGGAGCCAGAGAACGCGAGGCCTCAGGCCGCCTGCCGTCCCTGGCGCACACAGTTCTCACCACCACAGCCCGGGCAGCCGCAGCCTCCCGCTCCGGAGACGCATCCACATCGCTGCCTTTGGAGCCTGAAAGAAAGAAGGAAGGAAGGAAGGAAGTCGACGTCAGAGCTGCGGGGAGCCTGCGTGTTCCCCTCCAGGACGGTGCCTGTGCCGCCTGGAGGATGGAGCAGGTGCTACTGTGAAAACCTCACGGCCTCGGGAGCGGCCCTGAGGACGGGGCCCCGCGTGGCCGCCCACGGAGGGGGCGACCCTGAGGACAGGGCCCCGCGTGGCCGCCCACGGAGGGGGCGACCCTGAGGACAGGGCCCCGCGTGGCCGCCCACGGAGGGGGCGACCCTGAGGACAGGGCCCCGCGTGGCCGCCCATGGAGGGGGCGACCCTGAGGACGGGGCCCCACGTGGCCGCTCACGGAGGGGGCGACACTGAGGACGGGGCCCCGCGTGGCCGCTCACGGAGGGGGTGACCCTGAGGACGGGGCCCCACGTGGCCACTCACAGAGGGGGTGACCCTGAAGATGGGGCCCCGCGTGGCCGCTCACGGAGGGGGCGACCCTGAGGACGGGGCCCCGCGTGGCCGCTCACAGAGGGGGTGACCCTGAGGACGGGGCCCCACGTGGCCGCCCACGGAGGGGGCGACCCTGAGGACGGGGCCCCGCGTGGCCGCTCACAGAGGGGGCGACCCTGAGGACGGGGCCCCGCGTGGCCGCTCACAGAGGGGTGACCCTGAGGACGGGGCCCCGCGTGGCCGCTCACAGAGGGGGCGACCCTGAGGACGGGGCCCCGCGTGGCCGCCCACGGAGGGGCGACCCAGAGAGCCCGCCACAGTCGTGGTGGTGGGAGCACAGCTGTGCACCACCCCAGCTCCTGGAAACGCGGCCCCCCAGTGCCCCCTGCCGTGCCGTCCAGGCAATGGGGACTCTGTGAACCGTGGGGGCCACGCGTGGCCAGGAAGGCCGAGGAGCTGGGTTTGGGTTTCACGTAGTTTTCAGAGAACTTGGACAGTCACAGCTAGCTGTGGACACCGTGCTGGACACCGTGGCTCCCGAGTGAGCAGTCTGAAAAATCCACACACCTAAGGATTTACAGAGCTCAGTGTGGCTTCCTGCCAGCAACGAGAGATCACCCGTGAACACCTCGCTCCATCAGGGTCTTCCCTCTGCTCTCAGAGCACCGGTCTGCGCTGTGGTGCAGGCGAGGCGCGGGGCAGGGGCCGGGCGGGGCGGGGCGGGGGCTGCAGGCGGCAGGTGTCTAAGGGTCCGGTACAAGCTGCCTGCCGCTCGAGGGGAAGCCCCGTGTGCGGAGCCTTCATCAAAGCGGGGTCTCTTCTGGCCGCGGCGGTGGGTGGGTGGGGGGCTGGAAAGGCACCATGCTCTGGACCCTGGCCTTTGCCAAGAGCACAGGAAGACAGCGTCCGGATTCCCACACGTGTCCCTGGGCACGGGAGCCGAGGCAGGGACAGCAGCCGGCACGACCGGGTGGCATCAAAGGCTCAGGACGGCGACGCCCCGAGCAGGAGGAAAGGACAGCAATGGCGGTGGACGTGCACCGCGGGAGGAACCTAAGGGAGGGGGAGCCTGCAGGTCTGGACAGGAAGTGCCTGAGCAGGGAGACGCTGGGCGCTCAAACAGCCCCAGCGAGTGGCCTGGGCCGGAGGCAGAAGTCAGCACGAGTGGGTGGGGAGGGAGACGCGACCCCACGAGAGGCGGGGACCTGCAGGGCGCAGAGCTCGCAGGCCAGGGCCAGGGCTCCCAGATGTTTCAAATGCCACCGAGGGGAGGGGAGACACAGCCAGAGAAGGCACGCGGGTCTGGCAGCCTCACGCGGAGCTCAGCCTCAGTGGCGTCACAGAAGCCAGATGGGGCCGGGGCAGAAATCACACAGCGAGGGCTGCGGAGGGACCGGGACAGAGGGAGGTGGTGAGGAGGGGACAGACGGGGCTGGGGGCGCCTCCTCTAACACGCTCTCCGTCAGGGCGGAACCCGGGCGTGTTTGAACACTGCCGGACACATCCAGAAGAGAGGAGGAGGGGCGCTGCAGGGACCCCAGGGCGGGCGGGGCGGGGCCCAGGCAGAGACCCCTGAGGGCGGGGCGCCGGCGAGGGGCGGGGTGCTGGGGAGAGGCAGAGAAGCTTTGCTGCAGAACCAAGGGCAAACCCGGCCTCCCATGAAATCTCCATTGCTTTACTTGTTCACGGCTGTGTGAGCGCCACTCACGTGCCAAGCACCACGGACGCACCTGTGGGCAGGGCTCCCTACCCGCCAGGAGCCCGGGGGCAGACCCGGGCACTTTAGGATGTTTAGTTCCTACGATGCATCCTGGAAAAAATAAAAACCTCAACAGCGAGGAATCCAGACTTCAAACTGTGCGGCAGGCACGGAGCAGCCTGCTGCCCTGCTGCCACCAGAGGCGACACTCACCGGCTTCCGGGCCCCGCGTGCTGTCCAGGGAGACCTCATGACCTTGGGACGCGGTCTGCAGGGGGCCGTCGCTCCTCCTCACCTGCTGGATGGAGGACGCTTGTCAGTCACAAACAATCCCCCCGCAACCCCGAGGGGACCAGAGCTTCACCAGGCTCCCCGTGCGCCCCCTTTAAAGAAAGCCCCAGAGCTCCTCAAGACATTTCTTTATTTTATTTGAAAGGCAGAATCAGAGAGAGAAGTCTTCCATCCGCTGGTTTACTCCCCAAATGCCCGCAACAGCCGAGGCTGGATCAGGATGGTCAGAAGTCCAGAACTCAAATCGGGTCTCCCACAGGGCTGGTGGGGCCCCGGAGCACGGAGCCACCACCCACCGCCTTCCCGGCTGCGTATCAGCAGGAAGCCGGATCGGAAGCAGAGCAGCCGGACTTGAGCCAGGCCCTGACACAGGATGCAGGCATCAAACGGCAGCTTCACCGCTGAGCCAAACGCTCAGCCTAGTCAAGATTCTTCCTGTGAGTCCCGGTTGCCCCTCTTCCAGTCCAGCTCTCTGCTGTGGCCTGGGAGAGCAGTGGAGGATGGCCCAAGTGCTTGGACCCTGCACCCATGTGGGAGACCCGGAGGAAGCTCCTGGCTCCTGGGAGTGAACCAGCAGCTGAAGACCTCTCTCTGCCTCTACCTCTAATTCTGTCTTTCAAATGAATAAAATAAATCTTAAACAGAACAAAACAAACAAGAACGGCAACAGGCAATGCGGCGAGGCTGGGGAAGGCGAGCCCCCACGCGCGGGGCTGCAGCACTTCCCGTGCTCCCCGCCGTCAGCCTCCCCACCCCGCAGCACGGCCATCGTCGGACATCAGATACCTGGGCTTGTGCCTCGCTTCCCTCCTGTATCAGTCGTCCACCCCACATCCGCCGGCCTTCAAAGAGAAACCAGGCAACGTGAGCAGCCCGCGTTCACAGGCAGCCAAGCCAAGTCCCTGCCCTCCCGCCCATGTCTCTGGGGCTAAGGGGTTTTTGTTTTAAGTCCACATTAGGGAAATTTGTCATTAACGGTCCTTCATTAATGGGAGGGAGCAGCCTGTCTAAACCTAAGCAGGGAGCAGAGCCATGCGAGGGCTGCTCCTTCAACAGACCCACGCGCCACACCCGCGAGGGCTGACGCCCTGAGGTCACCCCCCTGCCTGGGGAGCTGAGCGGTCTCGGGGGTGCTGGATTCGTTCCACACGCGGCCCAAGCCCGGCAGTAGCAGATCTGCGGTTCAAGGACGCTGTCCTGCCTGCCGCTGCCCGGCTCGCAGAACCCGGCCTCAGTGAGCCAGGACAGCCGTCAGCGACAAGGGCACACACGCACCGCGTTCTGAGCCCTCTGCAAGCGTACACGCAGTGCGCACACACAGCCCGTCCACAGGCAGGGGCCTTCTGCCCGCGTG